CTATTTATACTGCTGTCTTTAGTAATTAGAATTAATAATTGGAATTATCGAATTTAATTGCATCTTAATCAGAGCAGTCTTTTTTCCTTTTTACAAATCTTTGGATAAAATTTCAAAAGTATAGAATTGGTTTCGAGGCCAGAAGGACCTTTGGGAATCTTTTTAAACAGATATGGTTGATTTATTCTCTTACGAAACAAAATTTTTAAAATTTATTTTGGATTGCTTGGGCAGGTTGGGTAGCGTATCCTAAGTAATAATTAATTCTAATAACTAGAGATTATTTGAATTTAGATGAAATTATCGAGATCTCCATTACCATTTGACCCAATTACTTAATAAGTCCATGAGATATTTTCTTAATCCCTTATAGTTTTAAGACTGGCGTAAAAGGCATGTTCTTTATAAGGATTCAATATGAATTTAGGTATACCATAGATGATATGGGTTTAAGGGCATTAAAGTTAATTGATAATAATGATGCTTAATTTGATTGAAAAATCTTTTAAAACCAAAATTTTTATTCTTAAAATATTAAGCGATCTTCTGGAATAATTGTTGCCATTTGTCCTAATTTTATGTGAAATATAGTGTTATCATTTTGAAGTAAATAGCATAGAAGACTTTTCCGAATTATACATTAATTTATTCACAGAAGATTTTAGGACAAATATTCTCATGAAATTATGACATAAAATATATGTTGTTAAAGGGAAATCCAAACTTAGTCATATAGAAAGAAAATCATCAGATAATCTAGCTTGTAAAATAGTTACTTCGCAAGTTAATATATCATCAAGTAAAATACTAGAACACCAAGGTGTAGCAAAGTGACACTTTGAATGTAAAGGTTCATCATAACTCGTATATGTAGTCAACATTCTATTCCCCATACATGATAAGCCAGTCTTGCAAATTACAAGTTCTACAAAATCAAGACACTATTAGCAATATTATCGTAATACGCCCTTACACAAATGCAATTTGAAATATTCACGCGATCTCTTTTATACTATAAACAATTAGTAGATGTGTTTGAACATGTTAAACATTTATTTTTACATTCTTAAATAATAAAACGATTATACAGAAAAAATGTATTTATTGTGCCTCAAAGTATCCATCTTGACAAAGACATAATTCAGTTACTCTTCATTCCTTACAAGTAAGACAATAGAATGCTTTAGGAGTTAAAAATGTTACATAAAGAATCATCACAAATTGGAGCATTGTGTCTTGATTTACTTGAACAAAGTTAGCAATCTTTTGAACTAAATTAAAAAAGTTTACAAGGATAACTCCATTTTTTTCCATTCTAGGGTTAGACTATAATCATAATATCCATCTTTGCAATTGCAATTTTGAATATGGTAAATCTATTTGAAAATTAGGATATTTAGTAACTCTTGATTATCTTATGTAATTTAACAATTGTTGAATTTAAGGCTACATTTTAAATTATATTTTGCCAAATTACAATAACATATTTTATCTACATCAGAATAAAACCCAGCTATACAAGGAAACTTTTTTATGATAGAAAAGTCAATTCTAAATTGAACCAGTAAAGTTAACTTTTATTTAAGAGCATGTTAGACAAAAATTTGAAAATTCTATTTCAAATGGGTATAATTACTTTGGCATTCAAGTATACCATTATCAAAGTAGCCTATTTTACATGTGCAAGTACAGGATTAACATATTTTACAATGTTATTCCAATATCATGTATCCTTCTTAGCATATACAATATTAAGTGTTGTTTAAGATTCTAAAATATAATGGTTCACAGGATGAACTTTGCAAAGATCCATTCACACATTTTTAACAACTCAGATCACTTACTATTTGATATATAATTTATTACTTGAACACCATTTAGAATATTTCATAGTATCCATATCTGCATGGACATTTTAGGTTATCTTAATTAAAATATCTAATATTATATTACATGCAGAAGGACAAAGAGTGCATTAATCTCCCCAAAATTAACAGAATTGGCACAGGAATGATGACAGATTGCTAAAATATAAGGCTATGCAATAAGTGAACTTATGATATTGTTTAAACCCTTATCTATGTAGGCAGAGTCACATAAGCATTGATAATCTATAGTTAGATGACGATGAGAATATAATGAACAAGTTGTACAATTTGGTTATAATGGTCCTGAACAATTTTCGCATGTATAATGACATTCTTAATAAATTTTTATTTTTGATTAGTTATCCGTATGTCTAAATCTCCCTCTACTGTATAACCTGTCTTACAAATGCATTTTATTTCATCAGACATAATTCGATAAACAAGTTTCGCATGAGATATAGCATTCAAAATGTGTAAGATGTTCTGTTACCTTGACAGATAAGTTCATCAATTCCTGTTCTTTAGTAACCTTTTTTTAAAACTAATCAATAATTAAAAGATTTACTTAAGCAATCTGATCCGTTTGACCCAGTGCACTAATTACAAAAACTGGGACACTCTTAATAATACAAATAAAAATCTCCAACTCCAAATGATTCTTCATTAGATGCTTCGTTGAGATTAATAGTATGCTGAATTTTAACAGAATTTGTATAATGATTTATTTCCAATTCTGTTCTAGAAAATAAAGTTAGAGACAAATTATGAATTGTTGCAGTAAGTTTTTTTCCTAGACCAAAGTTCCATCTACTATTATTTAAGTTGCCTCATTGCCCCATGCATCTATTTTAGCCCATAGAATAAAGATGTTGATTTTGTAATGCGGGTATTAGATATCAAAAGTGTTACTTAATATCGATCCAGCTCCTAATTTTCCGAATCCTCCTAATAAAGCAACAGCTAATATTTTCTAAACTGTATTTACGTCCAAATTTGTTCATTACTGAAAGTCCATTTACTATGTTCCATCCATAAGTTGTTATAATATCTAATTAATTCCAACTCTTTGCAAATAAATTTCCAACTTGAACGATCATTTATCGGCACATTTCTCCTCCTCTATGCTGAAGTCCCTCATTCCCCTATATCCCTACTTTATTAAAATTTTTTACAATACAGGTTTCATCCAAATTAGATGTTACAATGCTACTGCTTTAAGACTAGAGTGTGGCAATCTCTAACTAAAGTTCGCTTAATAATTATGAGAATCTAATCCCCTTTATCCACAAACCTGTTCCATCTTGAGTGCAAAACAATTTAATCTTCCCCAAAAAGAAAAACAATCCTAAACTTTACAAATAAGTTACTACCATTTTTTCTATTTTATAGATCCTTTTCGTCCCATTTGATTAAGTATTTCACTTATAGAGGATTTTAAAATTATATGAAGAAATGTCCTGTTTGAATTGATTAAGTTATTCGGTTGTCACTCTTTCTTGAATTTATAAACTATAAAATGAATATAAAAGAAGTGGATATCAAAAATTTGAATATAATTAATATTTTTCTTGACCATCCAGCATTGTTTTATTAATATGAATTAGTAAATATAATCAAATGAATTCAAGTAGTGCCACATCTTTGGGTTATTCTAATCCATACCTACATAGTGGACAACGAGGATCTCTTCCCAGCCACTATTTACAACATTCAGCATGGAAATAGTGTTCCTGATGACAGGGCAACTGAATTACACTATGTGATTCATTAATTTCTTAGTAGCAAATAGGGCTAACATATTAATTTAATATACCAATCATTTTATTGCATTGAAGGGCGTTGTTCTTTTAATTTTCTAAATTTGATGTTCTATAAGGAATCATAGAATCTAATGATTAGGTTCCTGTTCTATTGATAATGCAATTCTTGCCTTATTACAATGAACCATAGCATTACAAATGGCCAGATGAAACACATAAGCACAGGGATTATCCAATAAAGAATTAAAAGTACAAGATAAAATTGAATGAGCAATGGGGTTTCGGTAGTAATAAATAGCATAGTAGTTAGAGTGTAGACCGAAATAAAGTAGTACAACAACTTAATTGTAATGCAATTAAAATAAAAGGACTTTTGCTCAATAATATCAATGACAAGTAGTCCATTGACAGGACGATAATAGCTAACGAATTCCTGAATGATTATTTAAGTTATGGATGAATTCAAAGAGAGTAAATTAAGTTATCTATTATAGTTCTATATATCAATACTACCAATGTATTAGGTTAAAATTCTAAATAATTTTTAGATATTTACCCTATTATGAGATAGTGAAGGATGTTAATAACATCGTGCAAACCCATAACTAAAATAAGTATACTAAAGAGAGGTTCTACTATTTATTGATATTGGGACAAAGTAATAAATAGTTTGATTAGATAATAGAAGCATAAAAATAAACAAAGAGCATTTCCTTCTTTAATAGCGCTGGGAAGTATGGGCAAATAATTATCTGTAATTAGGAGTCTATCATCTAAATAGGAGCTTTCTGATCCAAAGTTGAGTGAGTGGTCCTGGTGCCAAAAGAAGTTTACTTCATTAATCATGCAATATTAATAAAAAAAATTAATTATTATGGAAGAAACTGAAGCTTTGATAAAATCATCTGAGCCTTAGCATACCAAAAACGTAATTTAGGCACTCTTGAATGAATATCAAATTATGTACGCTGGTCTATAAAATCAGTACTAAATTTATTTTAAGTATAGAGAATACTTGGATTATTGCTTCGTTAAAGGAGCATCTGGACAAACAGTCCCATTAGCCCTGTTATTACCAGTAGGGTTGTTCTTGGGAGTAGTAAATATATTGTCAAAAGCCACAACCAATATTATCGAAGGTTGATAATGATGTCAAATTTAGGTGATTATATCTTGTCAAATTTGGTTTATGTGATTCTCTAAGTCTGTGGACTCTGCATAGTTCTATATTTATTACTTAAAGCATGTGAGGTGATACCGAAGAAAATTCAAAATCCACTTCTTTTTGGGAGAGTAACAACTTACGTTTTTATGTGTTTACTCATCGCCATGGGAATTTTAGTTGTTGAGAGGATAGTTGAAGGACAAGCAAGAACTTATCATACATCTCAATTCTGGGTGGTTTTCGCTTTGATAATCTGGTAAAAGATATTGGTCTTATTTATATATGATTATAAAGTTAGATTTGCAGCATTTTTATTTTTATACACTTATTATGCCTTTAGAGTTTCAGGTGAAGAATTTAGATGGGCTTACAACCTCTTAAAAGCATCAGTATACATTATCCTGGAGTTGGTAATGGTAATAGACAGAGAATTGAAGGATTATGCTGACTATTAATTGGAGAATAATGTAACATTTTCTAAATCTATTTAGATACAAACCAAATAAGTACTAGATGAAGTAGTTCCTCCCATGAGGATGTTTTAACAATAATTCCTCCTTGAATCTTATCTAAAAGTGTTTCCCGTTGTAATTTTTGATCAAACAAAAGAATTACTTAATATTTCATCTGAAACTTTAAAATTGTTAGGCCAAAATGATTTGTTTTAGGCTGAAAAACAATTAAGAAAATTGGAGATAATAGAAGTTTTTAATCGAAAAGAATAAGTGTCAGCCAAAGAATTTACTGTTAAATTGACTAGATAAGCTAAATTTGGATCTACTTGCGGAGTAAACGAAAAAGGGGATTTATTGCATTCATTGATTAATGGACCAGCCTTATAGCAATTAAGAGCATAGTAATAAACTGACTAGCCAAGATTGCAAACTCAGGGGTAATTAGAATAGCTACTCAATGAATTAATCAAAGGAGATCAAGACTATTTAAAGGGACTGCTAGTATTGAAATTAAGTAAGGAAAAGTAGTTCTACTTCTCATTTCATTTGATTAGAAACAAAAAAATTTATCTATTCTTAGATGATGTTTCTGATATTATGAAATTGCAAATGAAAAATAAGGACGAAAATTACGAGACCAAAGAAATTAAAGATATTAATATCTTATTGTCCTAGATTCGATAGATTTCTACACTGAAAAGCTATCCTATTCCTACTAAGATACAAAATATTGAGATAAAATCTTGTTATTTGGAATAGAATTAATTGAGAATTAATTATGATAAAATTAATTTTGATCAAATGGTCATAAATTTACAAGAGTATTATAAACAAAGAATTCCCTCGATTAAATATCAATTCAAAAATCTAATTAAATTGAATACTAGCTTCTTTACAGATGAAGAAAGACTTCGATAGATTATTGATATAATTATGGAGAATAGTATTGAGTAAACAAAGGATGGATTTATTGGGATAACTTTTGAAAACGATGCAAGGCCCAATTGTATTCAAGTATCCATCCAAGATACAGGAATTGGGATCAATCTAGAGTTAATGAAGGATGAAATGGGTTCCAAACTTTCTGGGCTCTTCATTGCCAACTATTTAACTAAAATATTGGGAGTCTCATTTTTCAACAAAAAAATTAATGGACAAATCGCAAATAAAGGTTTGAGGATTGTGACCACATAGGAGTACGGGACTAAAATTTCATTTACACTTCGAAATATGTTATTCGATCAGAACAATGTGTTCTTTCTAATTGATGAAAATTTGGAAGAGGATGAGTAGAATCAAGATGAAATTCTAGAAAGATACTTAATTGAAGATTAAACTCAATATTTAAATAGATTAAAGAAGTATATAAAATATCTGTATTTATAGACCTATTAAATATATTGTGATGAAGAATGAAGAGAAAAAAGTTGTGTAACTCTTAGATGACAGATAAGTCAAAAGACCACAATTAAAAGGCATGATGAAACTATAGGAATCAGGAAGATTAAAGTCACTAACTACTCAAGTTGAATAATTATAAATTCCTTTAGAGAAATGTATCTGCGCAACTCCATTAATCATAAATAGTGATCACTACTTTTCTTCTACATTGAAAGACTTTAACTTCTAAATTGCAAATGAATTCGAAGCTTTAAAAATGATTAATATAAAACTAAAAGAGAATCCTTGTATTTAGAAAGGATGCCTTGCTTATAATAAAATTTTCATAAATTGTTCGAATCCAAAAGTGAATTATGATGAGTAATATTAAGTTTAATTTTAGTTTGGTAAAGAAATTACTACTATTAAACAAACAATTAAATATCATAGTCCTTTCATATCTTCCATGGGGAGAATTGTAACCTAACATCGCTTATTATCAAATGCCAACTAAACTAGATACCATATTTAAGTGATTTAAATAAATTTCACTAATACCATTATAAACTTCCTTTATGTAAACTTTCTATACAACTCCAATATTGAATATTGCTGATTTGTATGTTTGAACTTCATCTAATTAATTACATTGATATTTAATTCTAATCAACTCAAATTATCCAAATCGAGTTATCAATTTTATACATATATGTAATTGGATTTAAATAAGATTATGAATTTCTATAAAATATTTTTAGTAATTTACCTTAATTAGAAAACTTTAAATATGGACACATAATTATAATGCCGAAAATATGCTTTATAAAATTATTTCACATTAAATTTAGAACCTTAATTTCATTTTTACTTTAAAGTTATTATTTCTACTAGAACTTGTTTGATTAAATCATTTTATATATTCTAATCATAAGATTTTTATTAATTCTAATATTTCTCCATCCTCTAGTGTTATCTTTTTAATTTTTTGTTTATAATTAAATCAAAAGCCTTAAGATTTTGATTTTAAAATCATTTTATCATTCATTATTAGTCCTTCGTAATATCTTATTATCGAATATCGATCTGATTTTTGCGTATTTAATCTCACTTTCATTAAAATCGAAATATTTATACAACTCCTCTTTAATAATTGTATAACAAAATTCTTTTAAAACTCACTGTGCTAAAATGTATCATTTTCCTTCAATAATAATAACCTTTAATTATTTGTATCACATATAAAAGTCTGTAATTAAATAAGGAATGGTTTAATATTATAAATTAAAACAATAATAAAACGATATTTTCAAGAATAAACCCTTTTATTGAAATTTTTCAATGTATTTTAGAGATAAATTAATAACGTTCACAATATTTATCTAACTCATTACCTTATGACTAAAAAATATAAGTGTAATCTATATAAGTTTAGTGATGCTTTTGATATTGCTAATGTTGCTAATATATTGTTATCATATTATTTTCACTTGTTAAATTAAAATAAGATAGAGAAACAGTCTAATGATTTATCATTTTTTTCTTCTTTTGTCATGATTTCATTTGAATCATTTGGCTGTCTGTATTTTTATTTCTAATTTCTACTTTAATGAATTTTATTCTATATTGAATATATATAGAATTTAATAAAGAAAATTTGATATAAAACTATCCAAAGTTTTCAGATGCATAATTATAATTAAAATATTATGGGAAAATCACATTTGAAAATTTATACCATCTTAATGATAAGCAATGTATGTTCTATTGCTATAGGATAAATATTTGTGAAATTTCAGGATACATGTGCTTGCGAACAATTACTCTATGAGGAGGAATGCAAGGCTGATAGGATATGCAATTATTCTAATGATAAATGCTAAACTATATAATGCAATCTCTTGCCTGCAAAAGATTGTGGTTATAATGACAATTGTGCTTTGGTAAATAATACATGCGTTGATTTTAAATCATGTGCATCTCATAATGCTACAACAGAGGATGCTTGTGAAAGTTTAAATCACAATTGTTACTTTGATGATGATCAAAATACTTGTGAGGAACCATAAATATTCAATATGGGCACATGTTCTGAAGACTTATTTTCAATATGCTTGGTTGCTAATGAAGGCCTTTGTTTTAGGAAAAATGGAGTCTGCTAAGAAATGAAGGTTTGCGAAGATGTCATTCCTATGAGTTTATAATGTATTGCCGCCTTTCCAGCCTGCGAAAAGGGAAATGATAAATGTGTATCTCATTTTTAATGCAGTCAATCAGAATGGCTTGATTGTAGAATAGCAAAGGAGAATATCAATGGTGATAGATATAAACTTTGTATGAGAGGACCAAATGGATGTGTAAATTTTGACCCAAATTAACAAACAAAAGAATCTTGTTGGAAGAATTCCACTGCATTCTATCATTGGGATGGCTAAGGATGTTCAAGATGTTCTTGGGCTTCAATAATGAAATCTGTATTATTTGTAGCTTTTTTAATCCTGAGCATTTGAGGATTACGTACATATTAATCATATAAATAATTTATTTGGTTCTTTTGATTTAATTTCTGATTTAATACTGAAAGTTTCGTTTTAGGTCTTGAGTATCTTTAACAAATTATAAATTTATGAAGAACTCCATAATGAATAATTAAATAATATCATCATTATGTATATACCAAGTGTTGAAGTTACATAATAGTCGTGATTGAAATTGAAATTCAATTTTTATTACTAAAAGCTATGTAATTATGTATATAAATAAATAAGTCACATGGTTTTCTATTACTTTCTTTATCTGGTTTATATTCTTGAATTTGTTCATTTTATCTTGTGGGGACGTTGAATTAATTACTGAATTTTTAATTGATTTCTCTTTGATAGAGGGAAATAACATTGGAGTATTTACAGTAGAATTTACTCTATTTACTCAAATACTAATATTAACTAGTATTTGCTATTGCGTAATGTATAAGATTTGTTAAATAATGAATAAATTTAATATTTGAATTGATTATTTGAAATATAAACACCATTGAATTTTATATAAATTTTATCACATATTTATTCATGATTTAATTAATTACAAAGATTTATGAGGTTTTCTATGTGTCTAGTGTTTTAGATTTAATTAATTTAAATCTCATAATAATAATAATAAAAAGCAAAGCATGAATAGTGAACTCTTGATTATGGAATCAACATTATTTAGTGCTTCTGTGATTGCTTTGCTAATTTTCAAAGAGTCCCAGATTAATCAAAAGATAATTAAATTACTGTTTTCTTTGGCAAACATTACGATATTTTTATTAGAAATAAAGCATATAGGAGATTCTATTTGTAATTATATATTTTTGAAAGGTTAGATGTTTTATTAGCTATTTCTGCCTTTCTTGTGAGTACATATTTTTATAAAGTGTTGAAGAGAGTGAAGGATGAGATTCCGCAGATTCAGGTCTTGAATACGTAGCTTTCAGAGAAACAAAATAGAGTGGAGTCGGAAATAGAATTGCCATAATAGTTGCCAGTGATTCCATCGATTCATGAAAGCAATTCCAGCATGAATCAAAATTAGAATCCTCCCACAACTGAAAATAATAGACGACATAGCAACATTTCAGGTGATTAACAGAATGCTAGACAGGAGTAGGGAATGAATTATTTGGGGGACAACAAAAGGCCTTCATACTAGTAGAGAAACAATGGACTTGGAATTCTAATTACTCGTTAGCAGAGTGTTGCTTAGATCTAACGTAATAGACTTATTTATTTTTAATAGCCGACCTGAATGTGATTAAGTTTCAAGATGACTTTGGAGAGATTAAATTCGGAATACTTAAAACCCTTAAGTCAGTTGCTTATGACTAATTAGGCAAGGAGGTGGAAGGGATATTTCATACGGATAGGCCCTTTACAAAATTATTATCAACAGTTGAATAAACGAATCAACCCAGAATGCAGATTTTGTATGAGAGTTAAGCGCAGAACCAATATGTTGACGACGCTTTAAGAGGAGCAATCCAATTAGGGGACATGGGATATGGTGAAAAGAAGGAAAATAAGTAGATTACATGGTAAAAAATATTAAAAGCCTTAATTTTAATAATTATTTTAAATCTAAATTTAGTTATAATAGATAACTGGAATTTGCAATAATTGATCTTATTTTTTGCCATTTTGTGGAGACAAATATTGCAATTTAAAAAATTGATGGCACACTCATTGGAAGTGAAGTGTGAGTTAAGAGAAATCCTGATTTGGTTTGCTTTGATCACTCTTCCAATTTTGATTGTGTTCGTGATCAATATGCTAGACAAGAGTATAGGGAAATAAGTGTTGTAAGTTGCAAGTTGGATTGCCTTGATAATATCTTCTAAGTACAGTAAGAGTTGCGAGGAGTATGTAAATATCAGTAATCCTAGATATCTTTATGGTTGCTTATTTTACATATTTGTATTGACAATAGTACTCTGTTTTATTTGAATATGATTTATATTACTCAAAAAATGATTATTTAAGTAATTAATATACATCTTAAATTAATCATGAATTAATAGTATTTAAGGAACAAATTTAAGATCAGAAAGTCTGTTGATACTCCTCTTATTCCAAAGATAATGTCAATGAAAAACGAGCAATCATCATTAAACGAAACCAATCGAAAACGCTACATTAAAGCATTTAGTCCTCAACGTTATCATTTGCCGCAGATTGTTCACCATTAGTTGGATACCATTACACCATTACGACAAAGAGGGAAATCTGAAAGCATTAGAGAACATTCTTAGGGATTCTTGGGGCCAATTGATTTCGCTCGGTTGCTACAAACTGATCAACAATTGGGATAGGAATTTTGTTATTTAAATAATTAGGGTAATCCATACGAGTGGAAAGTGGTCAATTATGAGAATAAAAGGTTGGAATAATATATGACGATAAGCGGAGGAGGGATTATAATTCATCATAGTAATTTTGAGGAGTTTGTGTCTATCTAATAATTTGAAAAAGATCGAAAATTATTTTATAGATTACAAAAAATTGAGTTCTTCAGAAATTATCTTAAATAAAAGACATTTGCTAGGTGGAAGAAGTTAAGCATCAAGAATAAAGCTTAATCAATTTCTAAGGATCTGACTGCATGTTTCTTGTTATTGGATCCCTCTCTCAAGTGCCCAATTGAGGAAATTCATAAACACACTCAGAACATCAAGAGTTTAGTATTTTTTATCCCTAGTGAAATGAGTCCTGTAAACAAAATTAAATTCATCCAAAAATTGTAAAGATGTTTGACTGACTTCCAAAATGAATTAACTTAGAACATTAAATTAATACTTAACATAGTAGTTGATGCATGCCAAAAATCCTTTAATCTTTTTAGAGAGGATCAAAAATACAAGGAGAATATGGAATTGATACGCAATTCTTAAATGGAATAAAAGACTCTGATAATTGGTGTATTAATGCTCTACTTATACATAGGACAATTCTACTCAATAAATGCCATTCACAATCGAATCAAATCTAAGATAATTTCAGTAGAAACTAATCAAATTTACAAGAATGGTCGATTACATTCAATTTGAGAGTATGATCGCATTGATGTACAATTCCATAGTTAATTTCTTGAAGGTAATGAAGAAGGCCAATAAGCATCTTAAAGTTGGGTAATTGTTACTCCTATTCAATAGAACAACCTAGTTCAGTTGGATTGTTGTGGATATTCATTTGAAGGAGGGTACCATGGTGTTTGAACCTTCGCTCTAAGGCATGTAGGACATCTTTGTTGAGACAGTTGAATAGGCGATCGATATCATTGAATAGAGCATTTAATCAACCCGTAAACTGTAGGAACTATAGAACTATGGAGTTGGTTCAAGCACAACAGATCTGAGATAAGATTTGAGAGAGTATGGAAGACACAATTTAAAGTCATATGATTATGTAAGGGAACTTGGGTAAGAGCTACAATTTAGTTACAAATAAATTGAGCATTACATGGCAAATATATAGAATTTATTGGATAAATTCGCAAAGAGTGAAGATCAGTTGTTGAATGCAGATGTGCTGAAGCTTCAATTCTAATTGATCTCAGAAATGCAATCTGAAGTAGAGGCTATAGAAACCATTGTGGATATTGGGTTTTTGAGATTGAACATCAAGCTCTTTAAATTGTAGATGCAGGCCTATTTCAAGAATAGGATTTAGGTGATCAATGAGAAGGTGGATTTGGAACTTAGTGTGAGATGCAAAATAATTTATGAAACAATTCAAGATTGGTTGGAGAAGTTGAAATTGAAACCAATGACTTTGAAACAATATGTCACTTATTAAGAGAATTATTAGTTGATTAAATCTAATTATGAAGTCATTGATCAATAAATAGAGGAATTACATACTTATAACAAAATTTATATTAATGAGTAATAAACGATCCCTATTAAAGAAGTTTGGGATAAGATTGTTAGTTAATATTAATAATTTTAACATAAGTTTAATGATTTATAAAGTCATTATGGATTGGAGTAACATAAGTTCGAGAAGGAGTTCAGAAAGCTGACTCCGTTTTTTCATCAAAGGGTGTTATAATTTTGCGAGAAATTTGAGAACAGCAAAGACATCAATGATATAAACTCGATTTCATAATTGTAAGTCGAATTGATTGCTTTGGAATTGGAATATGAGGATTTGAGAGAGTATTCTGACTCTTTACAAATAGGATAATATTAAAATGAATAGTTACATGAGATAAAAAGCAAATATGTCTAATTTAAGTAATTGCAACTAGAAATACGTAAGATCAACAATTTGCAGTAGGAGTGGATGAGAGAACATTTTTTGGATCTGAATCTGTCTCTCATTAAGACAACTTATTAGAATTTGTTACATTAGATTGAAGATTGTAAGATATTTGGACAGGGCTAATTAGTGCAGATAAAGAAATAATTGATGGATGAATTAAAACTATTTAATGTGATAGAAATCATTTTGTAGATCAAAGATTATGATTAGAATATCGTAACTTAAGTGTGCAAGAAGGATAAATTGTAGGATAAAAACTTATTATAATTACTATTGTAAATTTGTAATAATCCCTCACACCCATAATTCACTACTCTATTTTTGTAGCAGTTAGACATTGCTGATCAATAAGTTAATTTGTAGTAACTATTAATTATTATTTAATATGAAAATCAAACAATGAACTCATTGATTAAATTAGAAGAGTTTTGGAAGAATCATAAATTGATCATTCAAAAGGTCAGAGGAACAAAGGATCAGTATACCATAACTAATTTAAGTTAATTGAATGATCTATTGGATGAGAACATTTTAAACATCAATACTATTCTGGGTCAACCTAATATTGATGATCTGAGAAATAGAATCGATTTACAACTTAAGTACATATATTACCTACAGGAATACATCAATTAGTTGATTCTCTTACAAGATACTCTATAGTATTTAACTAATGTGTTGTAGATCCAAATCAATCAAAAGAATTAGAGTAAGGAAATGAAGATGTATGCTCTCTAAGAAAAGCAGTGGAAATAATTGATACGATTTATTTAATAGCAAAAGAGTTTGGAGATATGGATTAAAGATGAGAACGAGAAGAAGTTCTTAAAAGAGATTCAATAAGATAATTACAATTGTAAAACTATCATTCAATCATTGAATGATTAATTTGATAAGAAGAAACATGTATTCCCAAGATTCAATTTTCTCACAAATTCTAAATTTACCAAAATTGTCTCTGAAGTCAAACATCCTACTGCTATATAGCAATACCTTAGCCTATTTTTTCAAAATATCCATCAATTTGATTATGACGAAAATAAGGATTGTATCAAATCTTTGTATTCTAAGGAAAATGATTAAATCGCTGTTAAGTATTGTCCAATCAAAGGAGAGATCGAGGAATGGCTCAAAACTATTGAGGAAGGCATGACCTAAGGATTGAGACAGCTTGTAAAGAATGCTCTAAAGCAGGCTGAAAACTATAAGCATATTGTGCAATATCCCATTTAGATTATTTATATCTGTATGACGATTACATATACGATGATGTTGGATGATATACTTTAAAATGATGATAAGGATTGGGATGAGTTTTTGGAATTTAAGCAATATGAAATCCAAGAGCAAATCAAACAATTGCATACAGTGAAATAGTCAGTTAAACAACAATTAAGGTAGATTGCAATCATTACGATATTGAATAATCAACAACATCTAATATAGGAGATTAATTTATTTAAAATCAATAGTGATAAAGATTACTTCTACGTAAAATAACTTAAATATTATTATGATGATGAAAATATAAATGTTAATTTTTTGAATAATAAAATCCATTATTAATTTGAGTTTTTTGGTGATCAATTTAATTATCATTCATGGAAATAATCTGAATAATCAATTTTGCTTATGAATCAGGCATTCGAAATTAATAGATTACCTCATTTAATTGGCGACAATAGCAAGTATTATATTATTACTCAATTTTCACAAATGTTGGGTCGCTATTATATGCAAATGTAAATTGCAAGTCCAGATTATGATTTCTAGTATTTATTGTAATGCATATTCGGATCTATACAATCGAATTCATTTTTCTTTATCTCAGGATACTAATATATATAATAACATGATAGATTAATCTTGTAAACAATATTCAATCATATCTCCAGTGCCTTAAGGTAATCACTATCAATTTAGGATTTGGATGGGAGACAATTGAAATTATAGAATAAGTATTTTCTAGCTCTAGTATCAGATGTTCATTTTCCCATCTTATCGTTTAAGAGTATACATGTCTATTAACCAGATACTATGATCTTATGGCAAGCACTTATTCAAATGGTATACAATAAAGAAATAGGTGAGATATTGTTGAAATTAATGTAAACGTTAACTAATGTCTTTGGAACTGAATTGTTTAACTTTTCTAGGTTCAATACATTCAATCAAGTAGCTAAAAAATTGAAACCCATTAAATTTAATGATCTACTGGAAGTATTGTAATATCAGATGAATGAAGAGGATAGGCTCTTATTCAATTAAATAGTGAATGAATACTTTCCAAATAGGGATGAGAAATCGATATCACATGGAACAATTGAATTCATTAATAAATGAAAACAATCTTATTTTAGTCTATGGTAATCCGAACAATGGAAAGACCAAATTGATTTAGGAGTTATTTCAATTTAAACTTTAATCGGTAAATATTAACTAAACACAAAATCCCCTTCTATAATCGGTTAAGTAAAACAATATTCTCTATCTTGAACTTGATGCTTATGACGATGAGGATTTGTTTATGATTTTGTAGAATTGTTAAGGGTTAAGTTTTTATCATTTCATTATCAATTATAAACAGAAGCAGATTTATTTTCAATAGGAGAACTTTATATTTTTCAATAGCTTAATTTATTCAAATAGATCTGCAATCTTTGAAAGTAATGATCTATCAACGTAGGATCCTGGATTTTTGGCGAAATTTACTCTATTTTATTATAATAACAGTATTTCCAATCAGCAATTTCTCGTTTATGAATTGAAGTACATGAAGAATTTAGAGTTACAAACTTAATTGGCTCGTAATTTGATTAATTAAATAGAGTAATATTAGCAATAATTATCAAACTTTCCGTATTCATTTTAATATTTATTGCGATGTTCTGCAAAGATACTGAGTATTTACTACAACGAATAGTAGTATAGTAAGTTCACTTAGTTGGATGTAGATAATATTAGCACATATGCAATATATATACTATTCTGTTTAATTTTGGATCAAGAAAATAGATCTCGTGTCATAGACCAGATTTTAATGGTTATTTAAGAAAGAAAGTTGGATTAGCTTTTCAATCAGAAGTCTTCCTATACCAACACAATTTTGCAATTCTATTTTAATCAGCAAGAATTATATGCTATCCAAGAATTGCAGAGTCATCTACTATTTTATGGTGACATATCTTGTAATAAGAGTATTTTTGCTAGGTTGAAGTCATAAAGTAGCTTGTACTTTAGTCATCAAACCAAATCAATTCAATTTTAGGAGTTCATTGATAAGAAGTTGATGACTTATAGAAAAGATAAATAATTGTGCTTATCTCCTCCCTTTGGTTAAATCAAACACTTTATAATAGAGGATATCAATCTATCAAATTAATGCCGCATATATATTAAGTAATTGAATGAATGCAATTACATGTTTGATAAGAAGAATAATTGTTAACTGAAATACGTTAGTAACATTTATTTGTTGGGAACTTCATAGGAAAAGGCCATTTAAAAATATAACCAATTCAAGCATTTCATCTTCATCAACACTAATAGATGTCCATTAATTTAAAGTATCTACACAGAAATAATAATGAGTAGGGCCAAATATTAACTAAAGTAGTATTTAGAGTTAGGTTATATAAATGATGGTATTTTGAAATTGTAACACAGATTCAAATAAAAGTGGAATAAACAATGGTGTTATTCATATTTATTTGACAACAACACCATTTGGAATAGGATTTTAAATCCTTTGGTTGTTTTAACTGATCCTCAGTAGTTCGTGAATGAATTCTATTAGAATATCATGAGAGTTGTAGGTGGGATGATGGATATTGTCGATTTGCATAATTTGGATATGTTTGTGAAGGAAATCAATTTTGGTGATTATAAGATTGAGGTTCCAGTTTCAGAGACAGAGTAGACTTATGATGAAATCAAAAAGAGGAATATTCAAAACCTATTTTTGCATGAAAGTCATCTATAGAAGATTGTATGGATAATGAGAGGTTGGCAATACGATCAACACGTTGTAATTCAAGGTAGAATTGGTAGTGGCAGGAATTCCTTCATTAGATTAGCTTAATTTATCATGTAATATCAACAGAAATACGATGATCTGGGACTAGAAAATCTCCTATTGAATTGGGATTAGCTGAGCCATATCATTTACATCACTAATATAAAGGAAGATGTGTATCAATTCATCAGTTATCCGATTTAATATTGTAACAACCTATATGTATTGAGAAATGAATCCATATAATAGTTGCACATTTGTATATTGATTGAGAATTTGATGGAATTAGATTAGTATAGGAGAGTACTCTATAAATGTTAGATTATCAGTTTGTTTGATTGGCCCAAGACCTTTCAATAAGAGGTGGCATCTTAAATTCTGAATGATGGATCCATTGATACTAAACTATTTTGTTATGTCTACGAATAATCATAAGGATACATTCAACAATTCCTTGATCAACTCTATTTATTTCAAAAATAGTATCAGCAATCTAAATCTGAAAATTAGAGATTAATTATCATCTATTAGAAAATTCTTAATAAAATTCAAGAGGCTAACACTGAATTCACGACTATTGCAGCATAGTACAATGCATTAAATCAGGAACATTAGATGGTCACTAATTAAATTAAAATTATAACGAATGAGATATCTTAGGATAAGTTGGAATTGGGAAATATCAATCAATAAATTCATAAATTGAATGAGGATATCAATAAAGGAGAGCAGAGAATTCATAAACAATAATTACAATTAAACTAACAAAACCAATAATATAACAAATAGAGATTGTAGTTCTTCCACATAATTTAAGAGTTCCCTTTCTTGTAACCATTATTGATGGAATTGGTACACTTGGTTGATTTGCCTTAATTGGAACAAGATTAGATTGAATAAATTATAATGAAATATCCTTAATCTTTTTAATAAGTCTAAACTATTTATTAGATAGCAACCAACATTTGTAAGTATCAGCAAATCTTGATTTAATTAAAAAACAACCTCCATAATGATAAGGTAACAGTTGAGGAGATGAGAAATAAACAAGAACTGCGAATTGGGATGATACAATAATAGGAACAATAAATCATTGTCTATCAATAGAGATTACACATTTTGACAGAGGAATTAGAGAAAATCTCCAAGATTTATGAGGCGACAAGAAATTGTCTACAGTACTTGAATTCTTATTAGGTTCAATGGCAATAGAATATTTTAAATTTATAATAGCAATAACTCCAATTAATGGAAATCAATTTTGTACAAAGTGTTAGTTAAAGTTATAATTAACAAATAAGGTAGTAACTCATAGATAATTTAAACTTTCAATATAAATTGGATTATGAAAATATGTAATTGCTTTTGAATTTGAAATTTTAGAATCAAAAAAACATTCTATTGATCATCGATCCTGAAAACCTCTCTCAAGATTATCTTCAATAATATTATCCAACAGCATAAGTGAGTACATTCAGTAGAAATAATATTAATGAAATCAAAAGAAATTTAAGAACTAATTAATGCTATATCATAAAGGATGTAATTATTGATGAGATATTAAAATGTTAACAATGGAGATCATACATTTTATAATATCAATAACAATAGGAGAATAAAATATATTTGATTACTCATTAAATAAAAAAAGAGACTCGAGCTTAATCATTACTCAGAACCATTTAGTTTAAGAAATAAGATAGGGAAATTGAGTCCTTTGTTCTACTGAATATACTTCAAATGGATAACCCTGACACATTTGATAAACTAATATCGTAATATGATGAAGAGAATTTAACTCTGATAAATTTGGGATCCCTCTTCAATGATGATCGTCCCATAATGGACTCCCACTATGAATAGCAATTGAGTCTATTGATATCCTCTTAAGTTAATAGTCTAATTAACTTAGATATTATTGCATAGATCCAGAAATTTATTGATCAATAGGAGCAACAGAAATAACATAATAGGTAATTCAACTTCTAAATATATCAACCCTTGATGGTGAGATTCTTATTAATTTATAAAAGTTTACAGTAGGCTTATGTGTTTGATCGTCGTTATTACATCACAATGCAGCAACTGATGAACAGGTTAATTTAAGTGATGGATTAAATCAAAGTGGATAATAATGAACGATATTGGCTAGTGAGTAATCAATTCACATCTCAAACAATACAATTAATAGAAAATCAATTCAGAATAGAACATCATTTAATCATGAAGTTCATCTTATTTACTTAAATAGATATAGGAGATAATGTTATCTCGGAAGAATAGTACTTGTATGTTATAGGTTAGAAATTAAAGAAGGATTTAAGTAAATACCCAAAAATCTTAACTGTTTCATTTATCAAACAAGAGTAGTTGGATGAAATCAGACATGTAATGAGTTTGTCACCATCATTTAATGATTTGCAAAACTATATCTAAAGGTGTCCTAAAGACTGGTACAAATGGATGGATGACACAATTACTATGCCAAGTGAATACGAAGAGTAGTTATAAATATTCGAGAAACTTATCTTAATCAAAGCATTCAAACCAAAACTCCTTAGAAGATTCATCAATGAATACGTAAAGGATAGAGAGGCAAGACACTCCACATAAATTACAATGAACTTCAATCATTAGACTAGTGAAAAACAGATCATTTATGTATAACAACAATTAAATAAATTCTTTGAAGACATCAACATACCCATTTACAAAGGATAGCAAGAATTAAATTAGCAGTATTTATTTATTAATCTCTACGAATATCCTTTGGAATTGCAAGAACAAATCATACAGAGTAAATACCCTCACTGTATTATTGAAAATTACGATGAAGACAGTTTACTTGATAAGACTTTGCTGAATTCTTAGAGGTCATTTCTACAATATAATGAATAAATACGCTAGAATATCAAATAATACGTTCCTAAATCTGATGGCAAAACAAGTGAAATGAAAAAGTTCACTTACAGTCTCTGTTTCATGCACTTTTTCATAATTCAGAGGAATCTTCTATTGAATCTACAAACTGCTACCTATACTTTGTAAGATTTAAATTTGATCTTGAAATATAATTTGCCATACTACTTTAATACCAACATTAATAGCATGTTTAGAGTTATTACTGATGGGGTATATAATGTTCCTCCTGAAGATCTATTGACTATTGAGAGCATAATTACCAAACATTGCAACTAATAAGTGAATAATGAAAATTATTAATACTTACATTTTCAAACTCTTACAGTTGGCAATGATGCATGGTTAGATGAGATGGTTAAGCGTATTCCAGATACTAATGATCCTTATAGTATTGGATATGGATATAACAATTTTACAATTTATAATTACTAAAATTAATAGATAATTTAGTAGTTTTCATTATTAAACAATAGTTCGGAGAATACTGCAAATAATCAAATAACCCCAGAGATTAAATTAACTGAACCTCTCGGTTTGATAAAGATGGAGTAAAAATTAACTAGAAAGTATTCATTTCAAAAGAACGATTCCAAACCTTTCTCTTAATATTATAGAAAAACAGCGCTCAATATCACAAACAAAAATAAACAAAATATCTAGTATACTGATGCAGTTGATCAGTACATTAATATTCAGATCTCAAAGTATAACGTATTGATACAAGTATTGACTGAATATCTCAATAAAAATTAAGAAAACTTAGCAATGTACTGTCCAGAAGAACTTTATTAATATTTGTGGTTCAAACCAAAAACTAAATTGATCATTCACGATTTAGTAAAAATGGTGAATTACAATATGAATCAATTAAAACTATTAAGAGATTAACAAAATCGAAGATATTTTGATTTGAGTTACCTTTTTATACCATAAGCATTAATGGAATACTTCAAATTGCAATTTAGTCGTAAGAATGGTCTAAATCCTTAGAATCTTAATGTTTATACTGATATCTCAAAATGTACAGAAATGAGTCACATATTTCAATTGCAATTGAATGATGGGTCTTATTTACTAGGGGGATTAGAATGCCAGAATTGTCAATGGAGTTTAGAAAAGAATAAATTAATAGAATGTGGCAATTCACTCTCGACCTTTATTCCATTCATCCTCATTTCAACTTTGGAAGGTGAGCAACCCAAAAAATTAGAAGTTCCAGTTATGGACAATAATCTAACATTAATGACTATCGACTTGTAATCTGATCTAGATGAGGATACAATTAATATAAGATAAGCCAGAATAATAATAAAAGGCAGATGATTTTATATCCAAGAAATGATTTTATACACATATAAATAAATGAATTTTCAATTTGATTACATAGATTTACTTGTTGATCTTAAGTGAGGAAATGAGTTATACTTTCTTAAATATTGATTTCTTTTTATTGAGTCCTTCATCTACTTTGAATATAGCTGAAAATTATTAATATAGATGTGTGTTGGTTACCTACAAGTTGTCTGATAAAAATGCATAGATTAGATAATACTTTCTTCTGTAATTATGTTTCTTTAATTCTAAAAATTTTATCTTCTTTCTAAAAGTCTTGTAAGAAAACACATTCAACATAAGAATTTTTATCAATGATCCTTATTCTAGGAGGTCAAATGTCATAGGCAACAACTTGGCATTTCAAATGAACAAATATTAAAATGAGTATTTCTACAATTTTTTTCTCTTTAAGAGCAAAGCATTAATAGATCTTGTTATGGGTATGGATGAAGTGTGGTATTATTGAGAATGCGTGCTGAGAATGTTTATTTAGAGCAAAGCTATGAGTAGTAGCAGATATTCATTTTAATTATTTTAATGGATTAATATGAATATGGAGAAATCGCAGGTGAAACCCTTACTAATGAAGAAATCAATTATGAGGAGGATTTAATGGGAGATGAAGATCAACAAACGCCCAATAATCAACAACCAAAAAAAGAATAGGACAAAAATCCAATTTCAAATTAGAGAGCTCACACACCAAACCCACCTGAGGAGGAGGAGGAAGGTGAAGTCTATGAGTATGAAGACTAGAGTGAGGAATTAGGAGATGATAATAACAACGAAGAAAATGTAGAATAAGAAGTAGATGAGGAAGTCCCAGATGATAATGATGATTAATATAACGAGGAGGAAAATGTAGAAGAACAATAGAATGAAGATTATGAATAGAATGAGTATGAACAAAACAATGAGGAGTTTGATAAAGACGAGGAGGCTGAATTACCTAAAAATAACCAATAACACAAAGAAGTTAAAGATAATAAGAATAATCAATCCAATTAACCAGCTCCTATTATAGAACCTCCAGTATAAAAGAAGAGACCGCCTTTGCCCACTTAACCCGTGAAGTAGAAACCCACATATTAGGAGAAATATGCAGAGTTAATGGCTCAGTAAGATTACTCGAATTGGAAACCAAAACAGTTGCACGATGAAAATAAACAACTCAGACAAAAACTTAAAGAAATCTCTGATGAAGTAGGCAAACTAGTGGAACAGAATGCTTAACGTCTGCCTCCACAACCGTAACCACAGCCATAATTGAAGAGGTAAAAGACAGCCTAATCTCAAATCTCAGGCGGAACTGTTATTGATAAGGAGATTGAAATAAATCAAAAAAAATTAGAGTAACAAGAGGAGGAGATTAATAAATTAAATAATAGATTATAATAGATATAACAAGTCAATTACATGATTAAGTTAGAAGATGAGATTAAGAAGTATGAGGAAGATATGAAGAAGTTGGAGCAAAGAAAAAAGTAAGAGTTTTTGTAACAGAAGCAACGAGGCAAAGATCTTGAAAAGTATGAGAATTAAGACGGCTTTGATAAATTGAATAAGGAGAGGAACAATCTCAATCTTGAGATTGCTAATTTGAGGAAGAAGATAAAGGAATAATAGGATTAATTGTTGAAGTAGAAGGAGAACATCAGGAACACCTAAGAAGAGGAGCTACCAAAAATAAATAAGGAGTTGAAGATTTTGGAGGAAGAAGCTGAGAAGTATAAAATTGATGTAGGTGCTGAAAAACCCTTCAGTAAATAGAAGGATCAATATTATCAGCTTTTGACTCAAAAGGAGAATTTGTAGAAACATAATCTTATTATGGAAAAGAAGGATAAATAACTGGATATTATAGAGAAGGAAATCAAAGAATTGAAAAAGGAAAAAGACTTCATCGATTAAGAAATTAATACAAATGAAATGATATTAATTGATTAGAGAAGATTGAAAGAAGAATTAAGGGTTAAAGTACCAGCTGATTAGGCTAAATACCTTCCTGCAACAATGACATAATAAAATATTTCGGAAGCCTTATAAAATGAAAAGAAAGCAAAGGAAAATCAACGAAAATTATAAAGTGCTAAACCCCCTACTTCTAAACAATAGTAAGATTAAAGTAGTCATAAAGAATTAAAAATACCAGTTAAGCAAGATGAAAAATAAAAATAAATAACATCAAAGAATGAAGTGGAAGAGGAGATTATATGTGAAGACGAAACTGAAATAAAATAATAACCAATAAAATAGGAAGAAAAAAAATAAATTCAAACATCATAATCAACTCCAATAAAATAAGATGTATATTTAATATAATAATAGTAATAATAATAATAATAATAATAATAATAATAATAATAATAATAATAATAATAATAATAATAATAATAATAATAATAATAATAATAATAATAATAATAATAATAATAATAATAATAATAATAATAGTAATAATTTTAATCTCCTAATCACCAAAATAAATTAAATTCAAAACCATTTAGTAATATTAAAAAGTCTGTTGATCAATAACCTTCTGCAGATTTAGGTCTCAGTAATGTAAGTAATTAATAAAGCAATACTACTGACGTTTAACCTGAATATACAGGTCCTTCTAGAATGATGAAGATGATGAGAAAACCATAATAAAATTAATAAGAGGAAGCTCCTTAATTTATAATTCATCCTTCTAAACCAGTTGAACAACCTAGAGATCATCAAAATGAAATCACTGAATAAAATAATAATAAACCCATCGAACAACCTACTTAATAGTCATAACCTAAGCCTGTTGAAGAATATCAACCTACTTTTTAAAGCAGAAGAGGAGCCAATAGACCGAGAGGATTAGATTATAGTTCAAATGAATAATAATAAAATTAGTAAACCGTAGAATAGCCCATCCAAATTGATTAGAAACAAGATTAAACCCAACAATCCGAGTATCCTACCAGAAGAAGAATGAGGGGTAGTTAAGAAGAGTAATAAGAGTAAAATAATGCATAATAGTAATAACCTTAATAATAACCCTAATAATAATCATAATAACAATCTTTATCATCATAACAATAATCCTTATCCTCTTAATAATAAAGCTATCAACCATCTGATGATGGAAATAGATAAAGAAGAATTAAATTATTTACTGATGAAAAGCAACCTGAGGCTCCAAAAACTGAAGAACCTACTTATGAGTTCTAACCAAAGCAAGAACCCAACAAAATTGCAAGGCAGAAGAAATAGAGGCAATAACAAATTAAATATTTGGGAAGATTAGCCAGTTTAGAAAGAGAATATTGAAGAGATTTAAGAAATAAAGGACATAAAATAAATCCCAGAAGTTCAGCATAAAGAAGAGAGGGAAAAAACGTTGGATGAAATTTTGGGAGCTCCAAAACAATAAGAAGAATATAGGCCGAATCAACAAAGAAAAAAGTTTGAAATTCCTAAAGAAGATAATGAGACTTATGAACCTGGTTTTGGTGGGGGTGGTAATAAAAGAGGGGCAGGAGGTCAATAAAAAATTGACAAGGTAAGAATTTGATAATAATGTATTAGGAAAAGGAATTGGCTTAGAAAGCCGCTAAAGGGGACCTATTAGATGATTTTGACTTTTGAATTGAAATTTATATATATGAAATATTAGCTTTAATACTTTAATTAATTCATGATTTAAAATATTCTGTTTCAATAATCCTAATTTGTTCATTCAAAATATTGCTATCAAAGGAAAAGAATTGTTCTTCCAAGTAATAAGGATTGTCAAAATTAGGGATATTTAAAGTTCTTTTTACCTATCTAAATAGTATTTCCCTCTTAAGAGACAAGAAAAGGGATGAAATTCCCATGCAAATAATGATTTTCAATGCAAGTAAGGTTTGTTCCGCATCATTATTGGAACTCCTTTATTTTGAACGATAAAGGTTTTTCAAAGTCATTCTATATGGTATTTTAAAGTCATTCGATGTTTCGTTTACAATTGACTAATTAATAATTGTTTTTCAATTTACTTCTGTAATCGATGGTTTAATTTAATTAAAGAAATGCTCATCTTCTCTACTAAGTTGGTTAAATTAACACTTCTTAAAATAGGAATTTATAATGGCGCTGTCTCCATCAAGTTACATTCCTAGATCCTTTATAAACTTTTTTGCTTATCCACTGGTTATAAAATTCTACCATTTCTCTTATTCAAAATCCAAGATCTTAGTACTCCATTAATCAATAAATTCTTTTCTCATGAGTATGGACATTTTTAGTAAACAATAAACTGACCAAGTTTCAGCAGGATTTCCATCTTATTATTCTTCCAATTGCTCTTTTAAAGAATTCATCAAATACCATTTGTATGATTCAAAATGTAATTCAACCCAAATATCTTTATATTAATTAAATTCCTAAAAATATCTTATAATTTACTGTTTGATTTCTGCATTTATAAGGTAAAATGACTAAATCAGGATAATCATTTAGAGGACTGGGGTTGGAAGGGTTAGGGTATGGATCTACTGATCGAATAGGTAGTATAGGTTAAGAGTAATAAGCCGTAATGCCTATTCTTGGATAAGGGTTCTCTTATTTTTGAAGAGGAGGGTTGCAAAGTTGAATTCTAGTTCGAAAAGGATTCAATACTTTTGGCAATTCCATTTATTTAGTAAATTCTTTAGGCTAGAATATTGAAAAAGATTGTATATACCACAGCCCATTCTATAAAATTATCGTCAATTTATTCTCTAATTTTTATCAATTAAGAGTAATTCTAAGATAAAAAAATAGTTTTGTAAAATTCTCTGACTTCCTCTTAATTGTTATTCGAAATTTCATGATGCATTGAAAAGAATGTACACCTCTAAGCTTCGATTGGATTAAGCATGTTAATTAAACGATTCTTCCAATCATTTTCAATTTGTAATGATTAAATCTAATTATAAAATGACCGATATTCTTTAATTGTCATAAAGTTATTCAAAACTTCACCAGTAAACAACTAATAAATAATACAACCAATCAACCAAACATCAATACTCTAACCATAGTCTCTATTCTGACTTTATTCTCTCTTTTCTAAGGATTCGGGAGGAATTAGCTATAAATTAGGATAAAATCCAAAGGCAGCCATTTAAATTGAATTATTTTGATAATAAATATTACCAATGTGAAAGCATCTTCCTAGACTGAATTTTAAATGAATTTGATATAAGGCCTGTAATAATTATTCGTAAATCTATGAGATTTGATTAGTTGATAATTTCCCATTCTATTAGATAAATTGCAACAAAGTCACACCTTCTGGAATCAGGAATGAATATTATTTCCTGCCTATCACTTGATTTTAGCTTCTTAAGTATTAGCCAGTGATTTGACTCTCATATTCCAAAAATGCATCTAAATCATCACAGAGAGCTTCCACTAAAACTTGTTTTGAAGATCTTTAAGCCACCTTCTCTTCTAAAATGGCTTTGTTTCTATATAAACACTCAACATCTTTCATCATGTGTACCAATAAGTGAAAAATAAAATAATGAATTCATATTAAAAATAAGGGTTATTCTATTTACATCATAAATGTAAATACATTAAATAATTATAAATATATTATTTTTTTTTTTACTATTTAAATAAGATGTTCAATCTATTTTTTATTTATAAGATTTATTTTTTCGAATGCTTCATCATTCTAAGAATTTTTTCAATAGAATTGCCGATTCAACTATCGAGACATTCGATATTTTTGGACAAATACCGAACTTTAGAGTCCTTGAGAAAAATAAGTATACTTCTGTAGTCGGATGTTGTATGACCCTTATAATTGGAACAGCCACATTAGTTTACTTAATAACTGAAATCAGAACTCTTTTACAGAGGTCAGAACCAAAAGTTGTTTCCTCTGAGCTTCAGATATTTGACTCAACAGTAAGTATCAATCCTAATAAAAGTCATTCCCTCTTTATAATGATAATTTCACTCTTGCGGTTACTATTGCCACTAAAAACTCGGAGCCTATTTTGGGATAGATGAAATATTACAACTTGACAATGAGTCATTGCATAAGGGAGAGAGTGCTAAATTAAACAACTGGCAAGGTCTAAGTGTCCTTAAAGTAAGTTTAAAGGTTATTTAGCTGCTCTCCATTACCTATTGCCCCTTGTGTCACAGAAGATTTCGATAATGATTTATAGAAAGAATTTTTCAAAAGTACCAGATTAGGCGTTGTTCAATGTATCAACAGAACCAGACTTAAAAGTAATCCTCCGGTATAATTTTAACATTACTCCAAGGTGTTGCAAGGTCAAATTTCAGGTTACAAGTACCAATACTTAGTTATCGAATTGAGTATCTGCAAAAATAGTACAGATTATTAAGGATGTGCCCCAATAGAGGAAATCAAAAAAGTGTTGTCTGCAGGCCATTATTCTGTTTATGCTAGTGATTATTTGATGCAATTAAATCATCCTGATACTCCATACTCGCAATTTATTAATTTAGACATAAATAGTTTCTCCATTTCAACATCTAAAATGTTATAATGGACGTATAGAATATCTGAAACTCACACCGATAATGGGTTATTATTTACCACAGATAAAGTAGATTTAAATTTAATAAAATAAGACAGAAGAGAGTATACTGAATTATATAATGATGATTATCTTGTTTACCATTATATATAATTAGATTACAAGCAAACAATCTAACAAAGATCTTACATCAAGATTCAGACAATATTAAGTAAAATTGGAGGAATTTGGCAATTGTTCATGATAATCTCCTCTTTAATTTTAAATCAATTAATTAACAATCTGATGACAATTTCAATAGCAAATGAATTATATCGATTTCCAAAAACTGAAAAGCAAAGACATTAAAACATAGAGATTATTAATTTATAATAAAGCGATTAGGTTATTGATGTTTAAGAATAGAATAAAAAAAACAGAGAAAATAATACTGAAGAAAGACTTTCATCTGGGATTTATGAGTCTCTTCTAATCCTCTTAGGTATTCATAAAAAGAAAAAATAAATCTTCACAGATGTTAAATAAGATATACTGTCATAAATGGATGTGGTGAAAATCATTCAAAAACTGCAAGAAATTGATCTTCTGAAATTCATTTTATTGAATGATGAATAGTTTAAACTGTTTGACCTTCTCCCTAAACCTATTTTTTAGGATGAAAAGCTTCAAATGGAAGATTTGAGTAATGAATTTTGCTCTGAGGCTGGATATCAAAAGACCTTTAGAGCCATTAATCATAACAAAAAATTGCAATCTAAGAATCTTAAGGATTATTATTGTTCTTTCTCTTCATTACAGCAAGACAAAAGACGAAGTAGTGTTGATGACAAATTACTGTCTATGATCGATAGAAATATTGTCTAATTTTTTGAATAAATTTAATTGTCCTAATAGCGGCAAGGAAATTTAAGTCCATTAGATCCGTTGTTTAGGTCAAGAATAGATGAATCTATCATTGAACCGAAAATTTAAAGACCAAAATGAAGTTTTCTTTATATTTTAAATTAAACATATTCTTTAAGTTATATCCAAATGCTTTCAGCTATTTGACATTTTTAACAAGAGGTATTTAGAACAATTAACCAAAATAAATATTTTATGCTTTTTTTTTAATATTGAAATTTTTTGATTAAACCTTAAATATTTGTAATTAAAATTAGAATTTAACTCGCTTGTATAATTTTATTTATAAATTTTGTTATTTAACATAAATTATAATCAATGTGTTTAACCAAATATGCCCTTAAACTAAAAATCTTAAAAAATGATTTTAATAAACTAAAACAGATACTAATTAAGAAATCATTCTAATTCAAATTTATAATATACCTCTTGCATTAGTAAGTCATATAACATATTTATTTATTAAAATCTCACTAATCATTTAAGCTTTTTATAAATCTTCCCCTTATGGTTTAATTAAATAAGACCTTACAATTAAACCAATCTATAGGATCTGAAATTTAACTATACCATTCAAGGATTCGAATATATTGTAAGCAATTTTAATAATAAAAATTTATTAATTAGACATCTCAAATCTTAAAAAATTATAACTATCATTTTCCCTTCTTAACTTTATAATAATTTGGACAATTTTTCTTAACATATTCTTCTTCGTTGAACTCTCTACAAGATGATTCAATTTCTAGATATTACTCTTGTAGATTTTTCACATTTTGAGTCATTTAATTGTATTTTTCTTCCAATTGAATTATTTCACTCTAAGAATTAGAATAAAACTATAAAGTTTACATGCAAACTATTAATATTTAATTGATGCTCTTCTCTTATTTGTTCTAAATGTCTTAATTTAATCTAATTGGAGCATATGGATTCATCGTAGAGTTCCAAGAATTCTTTCTTACTTTTTTATTTGCCCTTCACATTGCCCTTCTTCATATGCTATGGCAATGCACTAATTAACTAATTCAATTTTTCTCTGATTTAAATATTTTCTTAGGCGAGTACGGTGTTTTCATCCTTTAATTTTTAGTAAATGTGTTCACTCTTCTGTGATTTCTGTATTTTACCCGAGATGATATTCATATTATTTTATAACACTTGTATTCTTTATGCCTTGCATACAATGGATAGTTTACTCTTTTTTATAGTTCTTCCCACTGTTTCTATATTATCTTTTCTAATTCATTTTGTCTCTTGTCTCCCATGGCATTGGCTTGGAGTTGATTTCTAACTTCAGCCTGAACTGCTTTAACTTTTTCGCTATCTTATAAATACTTTTCATTTTGCTTAATATTACAAAAGGCATTATACTTCCTATAATTGTTTCTCTACTTGAAGTTTAATTTATTCAGCTCTTTGTATTTTATTTTGATAATCATCTATTTTTTGAGTTGTTTCTTCAATTCTTTACTGTAAATCCCCTTCCGATTCCTTTGACTATTCGATACTACTTTTCATTTCTATGATTTCATTTTGGATACCTTCAAGATGCATGTACTAAATTTAAATTACATAATTTTACTAATTGACTTTTCAAATTATTTTCTTCTTTCATTTGCATATCAGATTCCTTTTTCTCCTCTATTTTCTATTTCCACTTTTCCTCAATATCTTGGAATGCAGTTTCATCATCAGAAGACTCTCCCGAATTCATTTCCAATTAATCTTATTCCTCCTAAATTAATTGCCTCAAATGCTCATTCTCATCTTAGACTGTCTCTCTCTTTTCCTACAGACTTGAAATGTTCTTAAATAATTCACTAAACTTCAGTGTCAAACTCTCTAACAGAACCTCGTCCATTATTTAATTACTATATTAATTGAATTCTCTATAATTAATATAAATGTAAAGTGTATTAACTGAATAATTATTGAATAATAAAAATTAGGTATTAAATGTCTACAAAAATAAATAAAAAGATATTATTCTTCAATTTTATTCTTTTTCAGATTGTTAATGTTCGCTATCATTCTCAGGTTAAATTTCATCATCCCTCGGATCGACATTTTCAGGTACGTCACTATCCTCAGTGATTATCTTGTTAAATATTTATCTTCCGTCCCTTTCATCTTCCTCCTTTCTTGACTACTTATTGTTTTTAGGAGATGTAGGCTTTATCGTAAAGATGCTTTATAATTGAGTGACTTAGATGGTGGAGTTGTTCTAAGGAACCTAAGAAGCTTTTGGGAAGAAATTTTATTAAGGCACTTTGTTATCAGTCTTATTTGATAGGGAGCATTTAAAATCAAAGCGTTTAGAAGTGGATAACAGTTATCCATAGCCTACACTTTCATTCGTTTTTGGTAGCGATTGCTATTTCTATGACTTCGAATTCTATTTATCTCCTTGCCTCTTAATCCAATCATAGGTTGAAATACCTTTGTATCTTTACATAGATTTATGGTTTACTTAAAGAAAATGTGCATTCCTAGTAAATAAGAAAGAACAATTAGGATTGGAGGGTCAAGAATGATGCTGACAAATGCAAGAACTTAGTAGGCATTTTTTTGTAGGAGGAGAACATCCTGAGTAATTCTCAGACACTTGAAACTTACAAGTAGGACAACTAAGATGAAAAAGTACTTGTAGTTCTTAATGCCGATGCAATTATTTAACCATATGCAGTGATGATCAAAACCTTCAACACACCTTATTAATTTCATTATGTTACTTGCTGCAACTAAAACAATGCTTGGATGTTTCGATTACATGAGCTTGACATATCAAACAATAGGTTTTGAGATCTGTTTTGAATTCCAATCTAAAATAGAAATAATGATACACCCTTTCGATTTAGAGTTGCGCTCCTTCAAAACTATACTGTCAGTAGGATCAATGAGAGTAGCCCTTAAGCATGTAAAAATGATGGCAGTTATGAGAATGGTAAGTGCTATTAGCATAAACTCCTAATTCTTAATTGGGCATTATCAACCTTGAGGCGTTCATCCATGAGGAATGAGATCAAAAATGAGGTGATCATGTCGAAAACAGTGTACATCCAACTTACTGCTTGATAGAGTTGAAGATCACTGCACCCATGACGACGGATGGGTTTCAGACGTTCTTTTTATATTTCAGCATCCATAATAATGATTATAAAGTGTTTTGAGATATATATTATATGTACATGGTCACAATCATTTTTCTTTGAATACAAATTATAGCAAATTGTTGAGTTCTTTGATTTGAGTAAAGTCAACAATGTGTACAAATATTCTGTTTCCATCATAGATTGTTGATATCATTCTCTGGATTTCATTTTCCTTTCCAGATATTTTCATGTCCAATCTATCATTGCCAATCAAATGAATGGGAACCTTGCCTGTCATTTTGTTTTCATTACATAACTTTTAGACTTAAACAATTCTCTTCTTGAACAACGAGACATCAAATTATTCAAAAATTATCATGATGCAATTAAAGGAATCATTGATTCTATTCTCCAAATCTAACAATCCTCCTTCACTTGAATCGAATTCCTTACACAATTAATCCAACAAATTACCCAAAATTGAATTTTTTATTGTTAATATAACATGCATTTAACATCTAATCCAATCGTTTGAGGTAAATTACTCACCATTGGAATTTAATTTATGAGACTACAGATGAAGGCTGTTTTTCCAACTGCTGTATTCATACCCAATACAGCTATTTTGTAGAAGGACCCTAATTTGATCGAGTCTTACGAAGAGACTGATTTACAATTGGTGAGATTTTCGTTTGTCGATTTTACGTCGAGTGATTTTTAGTAACGGAGCGAGATCCTTTTCTAAGTGATACCTTAAGTTGCACCCATTTATATTTAATAATAAATGTAATAACAAAAAAATAAAAAAAGGAAATTTCAGAAGCATCAAAGGTCAGGTCAACAACATGCGCAATCTGATATCCTGTATAGTGGATTCTTGTTGACTTGTGATAAGAACAGAGAGAGAGAAGCTGTAAAGGAGGCGTATCAAATCATTGAACAATATGTAGAATAAATATACCCGCAGGAATCATCAAAATATGAAAAACTACTTGAATAAAATACTAATAACAAGGGAGTCGTCAAAATGTTGTATAATTTCGAAACCAAAGTGAAGTGTGTGATTTTCATCAGAATTAATAGCCAAGAATTTCCATCCATTGATGTTGATGAATTGAGTAGAATCATCTTGAGTGATGTGTATGAAAAGTCACAACAAGTGGCCAGATATATCTATAGAATGATTCCCATACAATATGTATTCAGAGCCACTCTAGATGAATTTAAAAAGCATGCTCAATTGCTTGTGAATAAGCATTTCTAATTAGATCGTCCACATCCTTGGTTTCTGATATTCAAAACTCGATATACGGATAAAATCAATAAGCAATAGGTCTTATCCATCTTGTAAGAATTGATTGAGCCTCTGCATTATCAAGATTGGCAAGAGCCTGATTTCGTTTTCTTTGTCGAAGTAAATGGCGCAATTATGTACATAAATATACTACCTAAATACCACGAATATAGAGAGTATTCCATTAGGAAAGGTGGATAGCCAGTATTAGACACTATGCCAGAGAGAAAAAACAATTTCACAGACAAAATAGTGAAGAAGGTTAAAGGGTAAAATGAGTAGGAAGTCTAGAATGTGGTTAGCATGTAGGATCCGAATTCAGACTTCTAGAAAAAAGAATTTTTTGTTGAATAGGATGTAGATTTACTGTGATCTGAATATGAAGGATTAGATAATAAATAAAATTGTATAAGAAAATCCTCTCAATTCCTGCTTTGGTTTGTTAGTCTTCTACATTCTTAGATTTGTTTTTGAAAATCTGATGCTGATTCCTTGTCTTGGATTTGATGGCATAGCTTCTCACCTTATTGAAAATATTGTCTGAATTAATTCAATAATATTACAGTGCAGCTTGAATTTGACCATTGCTTCGATGACACTTGCCCAATTTAAAGTAGGCCTTGATGTTGGAGGTGTCAATGTATAAAACAAATTACAGCAACTCCATAGTAGCAGGTTTCTTCAACAATTCCAAGTTGAGTTGAATGTTATGAATTAGAGGAACTCCGAATTCTCTCCACATTTTACTATCATTTAATGCCAATATTGAGAGGTAATACTCATACAAGGCCTTGTCATATTATTATTTTTAGTAATATTTAGTGCCCTATGTTCTGTGATAATCAACCCATTCTGATCTATCTTCGTAATCGAGGTCCTAAACATTTTTTGTACTGAATTCCTTACTTCTGTTAACTTTCTTATTCTCTAATCGTGCTCAACTCTGCTTGATTCAATTTCTTGACTAAAGGAATTACTATGAATAGTTTTACAGTTTTCTTTCACTGGCGTCAAACTCCAATTGCACCAATTTCGATTTCACCAAAAGCGTGATTTCCTAAAACTTTGAACCCTCTATTTCCATTAATAAATAATTTATTTTATAGAGTATATGCTTTAAAATAAATAAAATTCAAATTGTCTCTAGTTTCCCTCTGTTATCATTCCTCAGTATGGATATATACACCTAAAGTGAATAGATAATAGATGATGTATTTTTTTGAATGAATAACAACTATATGACAGTTTAATAATTGCAAAGAAATAATTTAAATTCAAATTTCTCTTAGTAAAATATGAAATCAATATAGTAAAGGTTGACCCCCACTAAAATCAAGATTAAAGATGATTCCAATGTCACAAGAATTAGTTGTGTCAATCATGCAAATAAGACTGCCAAGTATTATCTATCCAAGGATAACACTGTGAATCTATGTTCCAAATGCACAGTGTAAATGATGGGAAAAGGACACAAGGTTGAAGAATTACCCGGCCTTGAAGAGGAATATAGAAGGAAACAAATAAACCAATTCATCAATTAGGTGAACAACAACATTCCTCATATTGATAAGATGATGAATGCTCTTATGACAAAGAGGGATGACATCCAAAAATACTACGAGTAGCAAAAAGAAAAGATTGAAAAGTTTCACACTCAAATTTACTAGGAATTAGAAAATGAAAAAAATAAAAAGTTATAACAATTATACACCAATTTCAAGAGTGTACAAAAATAGTATGATGAAAGCATCCAAAGTTTATAGTAATCTAAATCAGAAACTATATGTATGAAAAAGGACATAGAATATAATCTAAATTAAATTATCAAGTAGATTTAAAATGAACCCTTTAATGAAATTATGACTAGTTACAACAAGAATCTTCAGATATTCGTTGGCAAAACAGATCTAATAGCCAAAACTCCAATTGAGGTCTTGAAAGTGACTGTAAATGAATAAATCAATCTAAGTCATCTTATGTCAATATAGTAATTGAAAACATGTTTAATCAAGAAAAACCTTCAAGATTCAAATAACAAATAAGAACCTAATGATAGTGTCTATGAAAGTTTAGAGAAAAAGGAATACTTTACTTCGCCTAAGGTGGGTAGAATGGCATTATCCTCAGTGAAAACACCAAAGTAAGATTACAGCGTAAAGAATGTGGCCTCATTCGAATTAACAACTGAAGATTACTACGAGGAAGGACATTCGTAAATGATTGAAAGAGACGACATTGAGAATTCATACTAAATGATGTTGTTGGATGCTCATTCAGATCAAGAGCCAAAGAAAGTTGATTAAGATATTTTGGGATCATTTGGACCAGCCTAAATTAGTAATACTAATCCAAGTACTAGTTTATAATAAAACAATAACAAACTGTTGGTGTCCAAAATAATTGAAAGAAACAATTAAAAAAACTCAGATAAAAATTATGTGCTTAAAGCTACAAACACATCACTAAAGCTTATATGATGATATGTATTATCTACTTATTCATTTATCAATTTTAATTAAGAAATTATTAAATAATTTTTAGTATAAATTTATAAATCAAACATTGTTATCAAAGTAGATGCTTGTTATTATCGTACCAAAAATACCGACAAAACTTGCTATCAATTATATGGCTAAGCTTTGGGTCATTGCAATTCCAAGCACTGTAAATGGCTTATTCTCTTCATCATAGCACAAATCTTGATAGGCCTACTCAATAGCATTTAGAACATATTGAGAGTATAAAAAGAACCAGTTTTTGCTTCCATTCTACTATTCAATTCTATCGATTGTAAGTTTGAGTGTTCTAAACATGAAATCTTGAGGTTCCACATGGTATTCTTTCTTAATGAATGATTAGGTTGATAATTGTTGATATGTAAACATGTTTCTCTTCAACATCGTTTGATGTACCTCAGAATGTTTGTTGATACGAGCACCCTAAAACACAATCAAAATGGTTAAGAACATTATGGTCAAAACATCATATCCAATTTAAGTAAATAGTGAGATCTTACTTGAATCATCCAAATTGAAACAACTTACCACATCAAAAATATTAAGAATCGCAAATATGATCAAAACTAGAATAATTTCTAGACAAAATGATATGATTGCATTTTCTCTTTGATAATATTGCAAACCATAATCGACCAAGATTTTCCTTAAATTTTACCAAGAAAATAGAGATTGGGCACATAGGAAGTTTAAGGTTGGGAATATCTTGGTTTCATCAAATTCCTCTACTTGTTAAGCTGAAATTAAATGAGACAGTTAATTCAGACAAAACACTTTCCTCTGCAAATCTCTAAAAGTTATCAACATTATGAAGACTACAAAAAAGTATCCTAAAGTGTTCAATGTTGTGATGGTAATGAACATCAAAATTTGACACTAAGACCCATTCCAGAATTACGAGTAGAAGATAGTCAATAGAATCCTGAAGCAGCTAGCAACAACTGCTATCAAAATGTACAAATACAATGGAGATTGATTGTTATAATAATCTATAATTTCGATAGCCATTTTCAACCCGTCTCCAGCATATTTGCACTCATTCTTCAAGCCTTCAAATTTATGTTATATTTTATCCTTTCTCTTCTCATTTGGCTGAACTATAAAATAGAAAACAAACAATCCAGGTTCAATATGCATTCTCTTAATAGACTGTTCCAATTCAAACTTTATTAGCTCTGGAGTCTACTTGGCCCATAGAATTGGGTTGATTTGAGCTTCAAATTTATTTAAGATTTCAGAAAGTGGAAATTTCTCTAACAGTTCCAGTTTTTAAGGGTGGTAGAAAGCCAAAATAAGATTTTACAAAATAATCTCAGATATCTCTTGGATGATGAAGTATAATAATACTAAACAAAGTATAATATATATATTTTACATTAGAATGTCAAAGTGTCCATTGGTTCGAGTATAAAACCAAGGGTCAAGAGTAGGTCGACACAGTATCTTAGATAACTGAAGAACACCTTCCAGGTACACCCTAATAATTACCAATTATAGAGTATTTGTTTGTGATTCCACCCAAATAATAAGATATTAAGGGGCCCGAGGATTTAAATCATCAAGCCAAACAAAGTGTATTTTATAAATGAAATAACTTAGAAATGGACTTCGTGGGGTTTGCTTTTGTATTTAGGATTATTGGGATCGAATTAAGAGATGTCTAGGTTGTCTTCCTTGAAAATGTCATTGGTTAGGGATGTTTTCAATATGACTGGATCGTTCTAAATTTTACAGCTAGATTTAATCATTTGATTTTGAAAGTTAGCTATGATAGAACTATGAGAATAGAGGGAAGGTGCTATGCTGATCTGTTCATCGATGAGTTCTAAAGGGATTTCTTCTTCCATTAGCATAAATATAATTTAAATAATATCAACTAGACACTTATAAAATGAAGTTTAATCCCGAGGTTCCGATCAATCCCAACGCACTAATACATACTTATAAAAGTAGTTAATAGGTCATGGCTATTCCCATCACAGTATATGGCTGGGATTTTTCTTGGTGACCCAAATCATCATACTAAAAAGTAGTGACTATTTAATTACCACATTTTGGATTGAACGAATGCAAAACATGGAGTAGTTCAGAAATTAGTCATCCTGAAGTGCGCTTTACACTGAAGCAGTTTCAAGCAGCTTTTGGAATGCCTAAAATATTATAATTTATTACAGTAAAAACTGGATCTTCAGGTTTGAAGGTGTAATCCAATGACTTAAAAATTTGAAATGCCAATTATTGGATAAGGAATAGGTTTTTCCGCAATAATCCTCTATGAATACTCCAATGTGCATTGATTCTGGCTCCTTGCAATACCAGAGCAATTGATATCGATGCAATAATCACAAAATCAAAAGTCTATTAGAGTATGCTATTGATAGTAATGGCTCCCAAATAGAAGAGGAATGTCATAACGGCCATCATGATTGCATTGAGAATCATGATAAAGGACAACATGAAGGATTGTCTCATTGTGTATTGCAATCCATAATCGAGAATCATCTTTCTCAGATTGACCCAAGAATATAAAGAAACACAACACAATAGATTGAGAGTTGGGAACATTTTAGATTCCTAATACACTTCAACTTTCTCCGCTGAAATTAGGTGAGATAGTTGAGTCATTGCAAAGACCTTTCTTCTTAAGTCTCGATAAGTGATCATCATCAAGCCAGTTATCATGTAAAAGTACATAAATTAGAAAATGCACATTTACACAGCTATACCATAATCCTTCACAGATTCATTACAGAAGTTCATTATGAGGACATAGGCTGCCACTCTTACTAATGCAACAAAGATTGAGAATTTATTTATGAAATTAATGTGGCATTTCTTATTGAATTCTTCGACAATTTCTTTTGCCATTGAAATACAACTAGCTGCCACTTCCTCATAATGCTTCAGTTTGTTATCTCGATATTCAACTTAAATTCGTTTTAATTTCTCTTGACTAGGTGCTATCATAAAATATACAAGAAAAGAAGTTGGTTCAATCTGGTTTCTTTTAATTGATTATTCGAACTCCCTATTGATTATTGATGGTAATTGCTATATCCAATGATATGGGCTTAGGCTCTATTCGCATAGGTCTCTAATAACATTGAGGTCAAATCTTTCTACGAGGCTCAATTTAGTGGGATGGAAGAAGGAAAATTTGATGGCATAGGTAACATTCTCTGTTATAAAGAGGATACCAAAGAATACAATTTCGTAATGCATCATTCTGAATCCATAGTTTCCGACATAATAAGCAAAAGAGAAGAAAAACGCATAATTAGATACCCAACAAAAATAGTTAAAGGCTGTTGGTTTTGACCACCCATAAATTCTGAAATTGCCCATAAAGTTTATCCATCCTTTGTCAATTAATCCATAAACCAACATTAATGGTCCAAAAATAGAAAATAATATTCTAAGTGTCAGATACTTAATGAATATTTTGATTCTGAAATGGACCTCATGGGGTTAGGTCTGAATAACGATAAATCAATATGTACTCTATATTTGATCGAAGTTGGATCGAAATCACTATTCCTAGATCTTCCTAAATCCTCCCTGAAAAATAGTGAGGAGCCATTTTTGGATTTACAGAAAGACTCTCTTTCACTCCTTCCTGGAGTTATACCTAAGTTGGTTTCGTGTTTATCTTCAAATTCAGATTGGCTCATCTAAGATTTCAGTCAAATTGTGTTGTTACATGATTTACTGACACAATCTTATCTTATATCAAAGAAATCAGAGATATTTTTGGGAACTTCACTTTGACTTGGTTCTTTTCTAGATCATCTAATTCGTTAGCTACTTATTCGTCAGACATCTTTAATTTATTTTTATTATGGATGAATTTATTATAAATATATATATATATGTAATTCATATTTGTATAATTCAAATATCCCTTTATTCTAATGCTTTGTTGAAATTCTCAAATTTACTACTATTTTCACAACCAATTATGAATTATTGGACAATCTTGGATTCCATCTAATGCGATTCCACATCCTCGATTGATTTGTATATTTTCAATGAAAATTTGTATTTATTTTTACAATCCACACACCTACAACCAGAATTACAATATTTTCCATCTTGATGACAACTACAAAACTTGTTTTGGCACTTGGATTTTCCACAAGTGCATCCTTTTAAATATCTTGATGTTCGTTATTTGATTCTTTTCTGTTTGATCAGTTTCTTCTAAATTTTCTCCAATTTCTTATTCATTTACTTGTTCTAACAGTTTTGACAACCACAGTGCTTACCACAAGTCTTGCCTCTTGCAAAACATTCACAATAACTTTGTTGACACTACGACTTATTACATTGACATTTAATCTGAGGTTGTAAATCCTTCACTTCAATAGGATCTACTTCAGAACATCTTAAATCATCCAAATCCTCATTCGATTCTTATTTAGGACCCTTCTCGCCCATAGATGAACATTCTGTAGAAAATTAGACTGAATTTGGGGCACTAATCTGTTCAAATTAATCATCAATCGAGTAGGCTCTAAATAATGAATAGAATGGATTACCTATTAATTTGGCTGTTTTCATCAAAGAAGCCTCTGAATGATTGACAAATTGATTACTCATTGGCCTCGCAATCTGATTCACTAAAGTACTACATTAATGGTTTCATCTTTGTTCAATATAAATATTTCTCAAGTTTTGGTGGGAACAATATTGCTTATATACCTAGGGTCTTGGGGATTCCTTAATAAGATACTGTATTTTCGGAGCTTTTTTATTTTTTGTCGGAGGCACTAGTAATTTATATTATATATATATATATTAATATATATCAATACAAATTCATGTGAATACATTAATTTAAACATCCTTTATTATTATGTTTTTTAATGACACTACAAGCTAATAATAAATTGCACTTACTCCTGATTCAAAAATCACTGAAAGAGTGAAAATTCCTTAAACACAAACGAAACAATAGATCATTGAACATCATTAAGGCATTAACAAATTACTCGATAAAATGAATGAAACCATCGGCAGAATATTTAAAACCAAAGAGGATGAATTACGAGGCAATATCAAATAACAAATCGACGAAGCCTAAGCATAAGTAATATAACTGACTAATGAAACTACAGAAGATTAAGTGCAACGGAAATTGAAAGAGAAAAGATAAGAAATAGAAGAAGAAAGATAAAAAATATTACAATCATCCATGGAATTCTCAAACAAATGTATTGAATACAAGAACAGTCTCAGCAAAGTTATGACTACAACCAAAGATCTAATCTCAGAAATACAATTTCTAGACACCTAGTTAATGAGTGCCAAAATTACAAATTAGCAATTAAAGAAACAATTGGATAACATCTAAACCAATACAGTCAATCAAGATTATTTCAGTCATGAATCAACTTTCAGATAACCAGAAATACCAGGAATGGATATCGAAGGAGTCAATGAGCAATATCAAAAGGCAGAGTAAGAGCTAATTAAAACCAAAAAGATTTACGAGAACATTGAATAAGTCAAACAGGATTCAGCATTTGAAGAAAATTAAATTGAAAAAATATTCCTTGTAATCTATTCACATTAACTCCATAGGAATGTGTTTAAAAAGTCAAGCAGCACAAACTTAATACTGAAATTCAAAAAGTTTAGTAGCTGAGTAAAAATCCTAGACAATTACTTAAACCTATTCAATCATTAAAACAATTTCACAAGCAAACAGAAGCATTAAACCAACAAGACTTCATATTTTCAGACATTGAATTCAATGACATTCATAAGAAAATGATTTTCGATGAATTTTTATCAAGAAATGAAATCAAAGCCCTGATTTACAATTTGCTGTGATATTGCGATTTGAGAACAGTCCAAATTTTTATCTACATTAAAATAATTAATTATTAAAAACAATACATATTTGATATCATACACATAAGGTCATCTTTTACTCTTTTTTTATTGCTACTTTTTCATAGGCTGGTGGTTATTTTACAGTTTATTTGTCAATTCCTCTAGTTTTAATTGAACTTATCTCTCAATCTCCTTTTTTTATTCCTAACGAAGGGTTTCCTCTATTCTTTTTAAGTCTTACAAGCGTTGCATTTCCATTCTGTGATACTCAATTTGTTATTAAGTAACACTATGCTTTTATTCAACCTGTTTAACCTTTACTTCTTCTTCCTTCTTCTCCTACACATTCTTCAATGCTTTCTCCTACTTTCTTTGTTTGCTTGACTTATTCTTCTTGGTTTTCTCATTCTCCTTCTTCCCTGAGATCTATTAATATTGCATTTAGGTATTTTATTGATTCTGTCCTTCCTATTGTTATAACTAATTTTATTGCGGGGCTTATTCATCATCCCATTTCACAACACCAAAGCACTTCAAGAAAAGCATGATAAAATAGTAGAATATTTTGAGCAATACAAAGAGCCCGAAAATAGCTTAAATAGTTTATAACATTAATTTATTTAACTATTCTCATATTAGTAATTTTTTTTATTTCTTAAAACTGAAACGAAAACACAATAAAAAAATAAATTAGCTCATCTAAAATTATATTCCTTAATAGAAAAGTCAGAGAATCTCAAAGAAATTAGTATAATTTTCTCTAAGTTTAATTCATAGTGAATCCCAAAACCTATTGCAATTCAAGACAATTATCATAGAAGATGATTTTGAATTATTATAAAACATCGTAATTAAAGGAAATGTGTTGGTTAACAATCAATAGTCAATCAATAGATCAACTATATCAAAAACGGTTTAAAATAAAGAACAACTAATTGATTGCACTAAAAAACTATAAAAAAATTATATTTAATTCAATTAATTATATTTTTTCAACCTGTATAGATTAATCTTTCATAATAACTTAATTTAAAGTCTCTTATACCCCATGTCATACTTACCGAATTGCTGGTGGAAATTAACAAAAATACTTGAGAATTTGTGTGATCGTATATTTCTTCTATTGAGTAAAAGTAACTGTTAGTAGATGCATCGCAATACTTCATAGTTTTAGGTTGAAGATATTTTTCAAATGCTCGCTTTCCATCAATATCAAAGACTAGGATGATATTTTAATCAGTTACTGCTTTGAGTACAATTTTGAATTAAATTTTAATTTTTTCATGTTCAGGAATGTTTTTAATGATTTTTCTCAAACTTGAATTCTAATCTAATGATGAAGTGCCTCCAAAAAAGGTTTTGGAAGAACAAAGAGTTAATTAAAATGTGGTTGGTGTGTATACCCAATCCTTGTAATCATTGCTATCTAAAATGTAATCTGTAAATTCAGTTGGCATCTACCTCTTATCAATTGTTAATGCAAAGTTCCTTATTCCCCAATAACCAGTTGCTCCTGCAAGTTAATTAGTGTATATTTGTACAATTAGTATATTTTATGAATGAGCGATTCCAGGAATATTAACAACTATTCTTTTGTCGTAATCAGCATTGCTTCCACAAAAAGGAAGTCCATCATTAATTGTCGCTGTAATTAAGGACACTTATTTGACTTCAACATCATCTACCAATACAAACAGTTTTTCCCCTGTAAACTAATCAATCTAGTAAAAAGTAAATGAAATTGAAATCGAAGTATGAGTTTGTGTTAATTATTAGGTTTTTTGAAAGTAATTGCCCCCTTAAAAGAAAGTAGCAGCAGCAACAAGACTATCCATACAATTTTTAATTGATAACGGGGTTGCCTTTATCATTTGCCAACCATCATAATTAGTAAAAGTTGTCTCTGTAAATACCGAATAGAATAGAAACAAATTATAACGAACATCATCTATACAACCTTAAGGACCTGGCCCTTTGCAAGAATATATACATGAAACATCACATTTTTTGATATAAACTTCAAAATCTCGTATTCCCCATTTTATTTTTGAATCACTAAATATGTAATTAGTGGGATAAGTGGAATAGGTTAAAAATTGTTTGGTATGACTTGCTTCAAATTTAATAGAATCATAAATTTCTCCAGATGGACCAGCATCAGAATATTCAAAAATACAAAGATGAGGTGGTGTGCTTAGAATAAAACCAAAAGATTTTGTTGTAATTATGATTCCATCAATTTCCATCACCCAATTGTATGAATATCTAGGGAGAGTGTCGTATAATAACTAGTGATAGGAAATCTTGACTTTATAATGGAGAGGCAATTCTATGGTTTTAGTAATTTATTAATTTAATAAACCGAAACCAAAGTAGGGAGTATCAAAGCTGGTGCCTAAAATTTAATTATATTTACTATGACAGTTTTCTAGAGACATATAAGTGTTTTTGTCCGCATTATTAAACTTAGTACTTATAAACCATCCTTCTGTGTCAAATGTTAAAATTTGTTGACCAATTAATGATCTATATTGCAGTTTCCAACTGTTACAAACCAATGCATTATCACATGATTCGCATCCACTTGGACATGTTTCAACATAAAAGTAAAAGTCTCTTAGGCCATAGTATGTTTGATTTTTTTCATCCGATCCAAATTAAACTTAAATTAAGGCTGAAGTAGCATGGTGAAACTCAGTTACATCAAAATTACTTTTTATATAAATATTTTGGTTATTAGGATCCCGATAGTACACTCTCATAAAGTTGGTCATAGAAATTTTGCCATCAACTATGATTCCTCCCATATTTTAAGCATATTCACCAGTAATTTTACTTTCATATTAGATGATAATACATCATAGTCGTCCCCTTAACTCTAATCGCATAATGAGGTGGCAATGAATAGAACATTTTAGATATTCCATCTGCGTTCAACAATTATCCTGCGAATGCATTCAATCCAAAATAGTTTTAACCCTCATAAGCTTCAGCAGTTAAGACTACGCTTCTATTTACATATTCATTCCATCCTATTTATCAGAATAATTATTAACCTTCATTTGTCGTAAAGCCATTTGTGGTAAACGAGGAGCCAAACACAACTTCACTACCAAGGACTTCATAAGTGAAACACAAAAAAACCATTAAATACATCACCAAAAATTTAATATAATATAAACTGTTTCTCCCCTTTATAAATTCTTAAATAAAAATCAAAACGATAACCAAGTTGCTGCTGGGAATGACACCTTCTGAACATAAAAACACTCAAAAAAAAAGAGAACCCATTCCAAGATTCTTTAATAAAAAGGTTTTTACATTTCTCATTCTAACTCTCAATTAAAGTAAAAGATATGATAATTATAAGATTTAAAAAAATAAAAGAAATTACACAAATATATAAAGCCAATCAATTTAATTACAATATTAATTAGAAATTATTGCGATCTTTCTTAATATTAAAATCCTTCAAATTATTCCTGGCTTTCTAGTATCATATGTTAATGCAATCTTATGATTTAATTGTATTCTTCATCCTCATAAATAATCTGTGATTTATCAAAATTATCTTAGCTATTAGGAATGAATGGGGCCTTTAATTACTTTTGAATTAGCAATTCAAATGAAAAATTCATAAACCATCTATGCTATCTTGGAATTATTAATCTGTTCTGTGGCTTCCTTTATAATAGAAATTTATGAAATCAATTGACTCTTTAGACCATCCTTCATTGGATCTTTGGATAAAAACTTATTTAGCAAAGATCTATTCTCTAATTTCCCGTCTATTTCCATAATATGGCCTTCTTCCTGTCATGAATTCATAGCAAATTACTCCAAAATCAAAAAAATCGATAACTGCTCCATGATCTTATCGGAATATGACTTCAGGTGACATAAAACCAGGGGTGCCACGTGTTTTCGAAATTTTAGCCAGTTTTTTTAACAGCTAAACCAAGATCAATAATCTGAACATAAACTGAATTATCCAAAATTAAATTTTATGGTTTGATATCTCTATGTATTATATTATTCTCATGCAAATACTCCAGTCCCACTATAACACAAGCAGCGAAAAATTCTATTTTAATAATAGGAGTTTTGCAATAATTGTTTGTTATTCTGCAAATTTCCTCTATCTTCCTAAGTGATATGGTAGATCACCACCTCCCAAATAATCTAGAACCAAATAGAGATTCTAATTATCTTGAAAGGCTGCAAAAATATTGATTACGAAATTGTGTCTCAATTGAGTTAAAAATTATAATTCTCTCATTATGCAATGTACACTTTATTTCAAAAGCACTAAAGCTTTACTGATTTCTTTCATGCAAAGACTTATTTTATAAATGACTTTCCAGACTCTTCTAATTCCACCTACCCCAATAACATATTACATGAGAACATGATATTTATTGAGAGTGATGTCCACTTCTACAGAATTGTCCCTTGAATGTTGTCTTGTATGGGTCTATATTTTGTGGGTGCCTTTTTCTCAGAAGTTCTCCTACGATTTAACATTTAATATTTTGAAGGAGACTATTGAAGGAAACATCACACTTGACTTGGTTGTTATTTTTATAAGGTGATGAATATCTTCTAATTTTTATTTTTAACTTTGTTTCTGTCATTGGATGACGCAAGCTAATTAATTTTAATTAATAAACAGCTATAATTATAATGTGTCAATCTATCCTCTACTATATTCAGATATGATCATTTCTTAATAAATGAAATTATTTATACAGAATATTTCTTTATTAATCATTATAAATTTCCATCTCCCACTTTAATGTTTATTTTAATTAAAAAGTCGTCTGTATTAAATTAATTATTATGCTATATAAAGTTTTAACTTGTCTTTCATATTTTGATAGATTTGGAGCTGAGGTGAAACTCAACTTCAGAAAAAAAGAGACTCATCAATCTCCCTTTGGAGGATTTTGTACAATTATACTAGTTTTTGTTTTAACTGTGATATTCACTCGAGGAGCGATTGCTCTTATATAAAAAGAAACATTCACTGTATGACATATTGATAATCTAACAAGATCTCCTCAAACAAAGTACTTAATGTTGATCCTCCAATCACTTAACTCCAATTCAGTGATTTCATGATGGCATTCTAAGCAGATAGCCCAATCGCAAATGGAACCAAACGATTGTTTAATTTCATCCTTACTTCTTATGTGTAGATGATTGATGAAAATGGAAATATGACCAAAACATAAACATAATCCTACAATTTAGAATAATGCACTATATCACATTTTGTTGAGTTTGATGAATCAAACACCTACAATGTAACAATTTTTAGTCACCATAGAAACTGCTAAGGGATCAATTGTCTGATTATTAATGTCTACCTCTTAATTACAGCCTTTAAATATAAGGTACCTACAATTCAAATATATTTTAATATGGTAAAATATAGGTAACAATCTGTTCGTCAGATGATTGTTATACATCCCCAGAACTTCAACAATTCGAACAACTAGGTTATTTCAATAACAGTTTTAAAATTAACACTCTTATTCTAAACAGGGTCCCAAATTTGAATATGCAGAGTAATTACATCTCTTATATTTACTCTGATTACTACGTCTAAGCTAAAATTGGATTAGAAACAAAGACTGATGTATTTTTAGAATAACAACAATTATCCATAGAAAAGTCAGTCATTCCAGGAATAAAAGATCTAGAAGTAGATTCAGTATTTTCATTAATGGATAATAAATTGTAAGCTTCCTCAGTTTTTACTTCGAACATTACAAAAGTTGCTTCCTTTTTTATTAGACTGTCATAATCCGAAATGCATTATTATAAACAGTATTATCGATTTGATGAATTGTTTTCCTATGTTGGAGGAATCACTTAGTTCCTTGCTACTATTTTAGGATATTTCATATTAAAATATAATTAAGCAGGATTATAGATCAAATTAGCCAATGCCTTATATTAGTTTGATATGCCAGAGAAGAAAAAAGGTGAGACAGTGTTCTCCTTTGAATCACTCGTCAATAAAATTTTTGAATCTCTCAAATCCATTGAAGATGTAGTATCAAAATTCAAAACTAGTGCTCATAGACTTATCACATTGACAAGATTGGCAGGAGCACTTAAATTTCCTAATTAACATGTCTAATAAACTGATAAAGTCGACGAAGAAATTGCGAATCAAATAACACTTAGACTAGAAACTTAAAACGACAATTTACAGTCAGAAAAATTATAATTTTCTCATGAAAGTAATTAAACTTTTTATTTGGAATAAGACAAGAAGAAATTTTTAACTCTTATCATCTAACTAATTTTGGAGAGTAGAAAAAAACTCTCCTTTGGTGTTCATTTTATTGCGAAATAAGTTTCTAGTTCTTTGAAAAAAAATTCGAAAGTTAATTATTAATCCTAATTATTCGAAAAGTCTAGAAATATGATATTGAGAGATATGGACATTCTAGTCATTATGAGCAAGGTGTAAGAGATTGAAAAAATTAAGCATGTCATTTTTAATAAAACTTAAAGAAAAGTATTTAACTATCTATAAAAACCTGTTGTTTGTGTTAAGGATAAAATCAACCAAGTCAAGTATGATCATAACTTAATTCAAAATGATCTCTAACATAAAAGAGATGATGCCTTAAGATTGACAATGTCTTCTAAGTCTTAACTTGGAGTGAGATAAAAATATAATACTGAAAAGAAATTTAAGAAGCTCTATGAAGCCTATGAAAATTTAGCACTTTCAGAGGATTAAGATGAAACTGAAAAAATAATGAATCAACGATTATTATAACTAGTGGAACCAACAATACAATACAGTTTCAATTCTCTTGTAGAAATTGAAAGATTAACTAGGTAACTGAGATATAATAAAAAAAAAAGAGTGGCGACTAACGTTTTGAAACCAAAAACATTTTAAATAGGATCATCAAATGATATTGAAGAGGATGGAGAAAGAAATGATGATATAGACTCCTTCACTCTCAATGGCTAAAAAAAAGATAATTTACACAAGAGATCCCCATAAAGTTTGAATGTGAATAGATTCAAGAATTTTAATAATATGTAGAATTCTCCAAGATGGCTTAAAGATGTGAAATTAAATCAAGTCTAATCGAAATAGGATTTAATGGATATTGAGATTTTATTTTGAATATATATGTTAAATCAATCTCAGCCTCATTGCTACTTCTTGAGTAGACAAAAGTAAGGCAAATCACTTATATTTTTATTAAATGCCATTTAATAATTAAAATAATCTAAGAATATTTTCGCATTATAAATGATTGTGTATCTATTTTGAGATTTTAATAGAACATTTCAGAGTGGAGTATATGAAATTTATTATCAAGTAAAATAATCTTATTACTCTAAAGCTTATTTATAATCTACACATATAAATACACCCTTTCTAATTTTAACTTAGAGAGAATAAATTGATTAATTTAATATAAAAAAATAAGGAAACCTTTTCTTTTTGATGCACAAAATTAATTAAAACAAATCATATAAAGTAGTTCCTAACATTTTGATGGCTATTGTGTTAAAAAATAGCTTCATATATCAGAAAGCTTACAATAAATTGCATACTTTTTTCTCTATAATAAAGATAAGATATTTGTTTACAATGGATCCCTCTGTCACAGATAAATCCAGATTACGTGCTTAGGAGTGAGGATTCATAAGTTTTATTAGATCTGGATAAGTCTAACTCATGAATAATGATTTTCAATGACTATCTAATCCCAAGTTGAGGATGAAAATTTTGAACTTCAACACACAAAACCTACAGTATTCTATATGACCAAAATGGGCCACCATCCTTTATCCGTCCTTTTCCTTTTTAGATGGAACAAGCGAAGCATTCGTAGAAGTTTTTTATAAGAAAAAATAATGAAGATGTTATTGAATAATTTAAACATAATAATGTAAGTCTAAGCCTACTATAAAATTGTTAATTCAAGAATAAAAAGAATTTAATATTCATGAATCAAACACATATGTCCAATTACATTTATAACAGTTTCTAAATATTTAATTATTTTTAAAAACTGATATTTATTATGCTGATTGAATTCTCTGTAGATAATTTATACATATTTAACTTTCATTGTTCATATGGTTCTCATAGGAATGGATTCTGAAAGGAATATTAAAAAATTATAAAAATCTCACAATTAATATATATTTATACACAGTATTAAGATATTTAATTTAAATAATATTATTACTTGGACGAATGTCTCAAATTAGACATTGCCAAATATGCAATACTGCTCATAATTTCAGTGTTAAAGGTCTTTTGTCCTATCCTAAACACTTTGATGACAAAACTATCCACAAATACTATTAAAGATTGATGAAAAAGATCGAGGAACACAACATCTAATAAATTCCATTTTCAAACGATCACATATGTTATCAAATAGAAAATGACATTTGTGAAAATTGCTGGTTGTTCATGCATCAAGGATTCTACTGCAATAAGTGCTAAATCTATAATCATAATAATGAAAATGAATATAAGATTTGTATGTTGTGCAATGTATAATATTGCATAAATTGTGAAAACACTTTGGAATTATTCTCCCAAAATAAATTATGTCGAACCTGTGAATATAATAAGAATGAATCATTAGGAACACCAAGCTTTCTAATTTCCTTTTTCATATCTTTACTTATTCCATGTTTTGCATGTAGTTTCTTTTTTAAAAAAATGATGAAGACAGTGGAAAAATTTCACTATACTACTTCCTAATACACTTTCGCTATGATCACCTTTGTAATAATATTCCCATTCATTTACTTTCTATCAATCATTGGTTTCGTGGCCCTATTGATCTTCAAAGTACTTGTATGGATTTTTCAAATTATGCAAAGCTTTAAGAAAGTTAGAATGATCTCTGATTATCTACATGTTTATAAATCAATGTGATATACTACATTTTTAATGAGTAATTCTCACACTTTCTATATAAGTGCTGTTAATTAAATTATATTATTGGTAATCCTTTTATGAATAAATTTTTAAATCTAAGAAAACCGTCAGTATATTTCATATTAGGAGGTACCTCTTACTTAGATAGTAGGACCTGGCTCAGGTAAGGGTACATAAGGTGAACTATTAAGTAAAAACCTAAAATTTGCACATTTGTCTGCCGGATAATTGCTAAGAGATGCTGTAATTATGGAAATTTAATCATGAGATAACAAGTAATTCGGAGCACAAGAGTACAATTGAAAATTGTATAAATAATGGAGTTATTGTTCCTGTAATTATGTTATTTGATATATTTTAGAGTCATGTAACCATTAATTTATTGGATAAAGCCATTTTTGAAAACTAAAGTTCTGAGTCTTTTCTAATAGATGGATTCCCCAGGAATTACGAGAATATGCAATGTTGGATAGATTTGATGGATCACAAAATTACTTTTAAGAGTGTTATTCATATTCTGTGTTCAAGAGTAAAAAGGTGTATTATTTTCAGTAATCTATGATCTCAAGAATATAGGAGAGATCAAAAACAAGTGGAAGATCAGATGACAATTTATAAATTTTAGAAAAGAGATTTGTTACTTTTGAAAATGATACTTAGAAAATAATAGAACATAATAGAAATCTAAATTAGTTGATTGAAATTGATGGAGACAATTCCATAGAAAAAGTGTAAGCATAAATATTAGAGTTATTTAATAAAAGCCTGATTCATTGAAGAAATTCGACAATTATATTTTATGAAAGAAATAAGTTGAAATTTAGAACAGACCACTAAATTGTTTTTATATTAAAAATTTATAATGTTACCATACGATGGAGTTCAAAGAGCTAATTAATGCTCCCCGAGGCTGGAGTATGATCTTAATTTTCATCGCATTCCTATCCTAGACTGATATCAATATCATCTAAGTACACATACGATGCTTGCTCTAAGATTTATTAGAATTATTCTCAATATTATTATTTATGTTTGATATGAATATTATTATGGGATTCCATATATCATATACTGTTTTCATAATCTAAGATTGCTTAATTAGGGATTAGATATAAAATTAATTCTTCGTTGGTTAAAACTATTTAAAGTGATTGTTTGGAAAATGACCAATATATAATGTTTTTCAAATCTATCAGCATTTTGAGTTTATATTTGATTGACTTTTTCATAGGGATTGATGAAAGATTTAATTGATTTTGATAATATTAAATGGTAAAACAGATGAACATAGAGAGTAATCTTATATTTAAGAAGAATTATGAATTGTATTTAACTCATATTTATTTCTAAAATGTTTAAAATATAAAATTAACGATTTTCAATATGGATCAATAACATTAATAGCATTTTCAAACTATAGAATGTGTAGTTTCTGAGAGATTAACAACCAGAGGCAAATCCTAAACTAAAGACACAATTCAAGTCTTATCCCCTAAACAAAATATAGTGTATGTCAAGAGATAGCCATAACAAATCATAACAACAACACAAGCACCAATCAGAACAGAAACCTTTGTTAAACCTATTATCTAATAAGTACAAAAAGTACAGGTAGTTGATAATAGAGATGAGGTTGAATTTTATAAGAGTAAATGTCTAATCTATGAAAAACAAATCAGTGAACTCAACATTGAAGTTACTAGATTGAGGTCTCATCCTACAATCTAAGAGAAAATCACTTACGTTGAAGATTCCCATAAAGTAGCTGAATTGGAAAGATAACTAAATATCTACCAAACTGAAATTAATAAATTAACTGCCTCTTTGAAAGAAACAAACATTGAAATTGAGACTCTTAGGATAAAGAATACATAAATAACTTCATAATTGGTTTATTATCAATAATAAAACAGCGATTTTGATAAATTAAAGAAAACTTAAATTGACAGTGAACAATATTATTAAAATGAAATCCAAAGATTAAATATTCTCGTCTAATAGAGCTAAACCTAATTACAATCCTTGCAAGCCACTTTAATAGATGCTAAGAAGTACGAATAATTGTACATCTAACTTCAATTGACCTAAACCACTTTAACTAATGAATTAGAGAGATGTACCTAAGTTTTGAAGGTAAAACAAGAGGAATTTGAAACCACTAAATTATAGCTAATTAAAGACTTGGAAATTTAATCATTGAGGCTGAAGGATTTCGATAGAGAAAATAAAGAATTAAAACAAAGGGAATATTCAATCTAATAATAGTTAGAAAGATTGAATAAAGAGTACTAAGAACTTAGTGATCGATACAATAGTGATATTCGATCAAAAAATGATGAAATTGCCAGACTGACTACAGTGACTCAAACATTATAATTGACATTCTAAGATACTTCAAAATTCCAAGAATATGAACATAGATCTAAATTATAAAGTGAAGAAATTTAATTACTCAACTAAAAGATTAGAATAAAATAGGACGAGATAGATAAATGTAAATTGCAATTACATTAATACAATCTCTAATTACAGGAATATTCTAAATATGTTGATTTTGAATCTAGATATAGAAGTATTTAATAAGAATACGAAAGGATTCACAATACTTTGAGAATGAAAGTAGAAGAAAATGATAATTTAAGATCTTGTATTTCTAAATTACAATTAACAATCAGTGACAAGTATAAATCAAATGATTATGAAAATAAAATTGCTTTGTTGAGTTAAGAAATAGAAAGATTACATCAAAGCTTAAAAGAGTAGATAGGATGAAAATGACAGATTAAGATAAGAACTTTACTAATTTTAATCCTCACAAAATGACTAATAAATAGCTGTCCTAAATAGTGAAATTGATAGGCTCAATACTCAACTAAAAATCAAAAGTGAAGAATTAGAAAAGAATAGAACCAATTTTAATTAGTTCTAATATAATGAATCTTCAAGACTTAAAGAAATAGAGTAGAAAAATGTTGTCTATTCAAATGAAATTGATAGATTGAGCAATTTAGTTAGAGTCAAAATTAATGAATCGGAATAATATAAGTAGGAGCTAGTAAAATTAAGAGATTAATCCACTAAATTTACTTAAATGTACAATGATAATGAAAAATTAACTACTTTAATAAGAGCCTTACAGGATGAAATAGATTAATCTAAAAGAAAATAAAAGTTTGATGAATCAAATATAAATAATGAAAAAGTTTAAGTTTTAATTTAAGAATTAGATTCTTGGAAGACATAATTCATCACTCAAAATAGAGAATTTCACAAAAATTAAGAATTACTTATTTTAGCATAAGCAGAATTGGATTCTTTAAAAAATAAAAGGACTTCTACCTTAAAAGTATGATATCATTATATTCATTAGACTGAATAGTATTCTGATTTAAACAATGAAAATAAAGTAGAGTTTAAGAAGAATCATACAACACAACCTAGTTACATATTAGGAATTTTAAATACCAAAAATTGAAATAAAATGCTATATATTTATTATAATATTTAATAATATTGTTATGAAAATTTGTTATTCTAAATGGATTTTCATTTAATCATTCTATTTGATTGATTTTTAATATCTTTAAACAAAAAAAAATAAAATTCTATTTTATTTCAAATTTTATCAATCAATATATATTTTCATTTCTATTAATAACTCTGAACATTTAATTAGTTTCAATTATATTAGAAAAATGGCATTTAATTACTATTTTTAAAAATGCAATAACCTTGATGGATCAATAAAATTTAGTATAGATTACTATCTTTGTCAAATATAGTTTTAAGAATTCTGAATTGAAATTTTAACCATTTCTGAAGGATAAAAAATTAAAAGGAATTAACTGAATTATAATTATCATTCAAATTTTGATTTGAAAATAGAAATAAAATTCATATATAATTCAACTCTATTACTAAAATTTACTATCATAAACTTTTGCAGATTTTAGCAGAGTTAGAATTTATTTGACTGAAATAAATAAAATAGCCAAATATCTTACGACTTCTCATATCAGCAACATCTTAAATATTAAACAGTAGGATAATTAAATATTTAGTTGATAATTCTAATAAATTATAAATAAAAGATCAAAAATCTTAAAATAAAGAAAAAATTAACCTTATTGATAAAACACAGAAAACAGAAATTCAAAATGTTTCAATTCAGATTACAAAATACAACTATGATAATAATTAATTTTAGTTTTAAGAAATGTGTAAAACCAATTCCTTAATTCAACCTGAAAATCTTTAATAAAAATTTTTATATAATAAACTATAATCTATAGTAAAATTTTTAGATGTTCTTCAACCTGAAGAAATCAATCAATAAACTAATATAATGATCATTGGTACTAGTAATTATATTCCGTAATTGTCTTAATTTGCCTTGTCTTCTTGTTCATTAACCATTTCCAATTCTAAATTTTCTCTATTCAATTAGTTTGATGTATCTGTTTCATGTGTGCCAGATTATTCATTATTAGTTTCAATTTTAGTAGATGAATCTTTATTAGAACCTTCCTCTCTCTTTGCAGCTGTTCTTTCAGATTTTCCTTCATCAGATCCTTCCTCTCTCTTAGCAGCTTTTCTATCAGATGTTCCTTCATCAGATCCTTCTTCTCTCTTAGCAACTTTTCTATCAGATGTTCTTTCATCGGATCCTTCTTCTCTCTTAGCAACTTTTCTATCAGATGTTCCTTCATCAGATCCTACTTCTCTCTTAGCAACTTTTCTTTCAGATGTACCTTCTTCAGAAACTTCCTCTCTCTTCACAACAGTTCTTTCAGTTTTTCCTTCTTCTCTCTTGACCACTAATTTATCTTAAGCTCCATCTCTTTTGATAACTGTTGTTTCAGATGTATCCACCTTTGCTTCTCCTTCTTATAACACTCTTCTTTCATACTTTCTATACTTATTTTCTCATTATTTCTCCCATCCGTTACTTCTATTGCCTGAGACAAAATTAATGTCATCATTAAAAAAACGAACAATATTGATATTTTTTACATTAAAATTAATAAATTTATTTTTTTTGAATTTTACAGTTAAAATATAATTTTAAGGAAGTTATGAATAATTTTTGAGATTTTTTATTATTTAAATTTTTATCAATCTTATTTCTAACTACCATTTAATTTCTTATGATGTTTTTTTTATCTTATCAGTATTATTTTCAATATTTTCTAAACTTACTGTTTTCGAAATTTTCACTTATTTTTATATTATTTTTTAATTCAAAATATTCTTTATGATATTTAATGATAAAATCAACTTTAATTGTTTAGTTAAAGTAAAGCATTTAATTACATTTTATAAAACGATTGAGTTATTAGAGAAATAATTATCTTAAATTTATGGACATATGTTTAAATTCATATTATTGATAATAAATTATATTAATATAAAATAGGAATATATATGATTTTAAATAAATTATTTTTTTTTTTAAATTCCTTTTTTATGTAAAGTTGATTAGATAGGTTTTAAATAATACTTTTACTCTTGCCAAATTATGAATATTTTCTAAAATCATTGAAATTTGTAATAGTATAATTCAATTAAGAAGAATAGTTGATTATGTTTTCAATTCATAAAAATTTTGGGGGGACTTTCGTTTTACTTTTTTCTTATGAAAGATCTCATGTAAAACTATTTTTGGAGTTTTTTTTAAAAAGTATTTTAGATATATTTTTAAGAGAAAGAAAAGTTTAATTGGGTTTTTATAAATTAAATTGAAATCAACTCTGGTTAATTTTGCTATCTTGTTAATAAAATCTTTACTCATGCTAAGTATTTGATTTGATAAGTTTGAAATTATTAGTACATCATTTTAGGAGAATCAACAGGATTAGATGGTTTAATATTTTAATTTAAAACTAATGCATATTAAATGTAAATAATAACAAAAGCTAATAAAATATAGAAGTAATATTTCTAAAATTATTGAATGTATTACTTTTACAACGCGATTATACAATCACAATTTTCTAAGATATAGGATGTCATTTTGAAATTTCAATATTAGAATCTGTGTTTTAATAGTGCTTAGTTTATATTAAAAAAGTTTTGTTAATGTAATTAAATCCAACAATTATTGTATTTTAATTATTTCTTTGATCAGAATAAGAATTAGATTAATCATTATATCAATTATAATAAAAAATGTTTTTTTTTCTTTAAATGTTTGACTATCCTTTCACAAAAGACACTGGAAAGTGAGCTTTTTATTAAGCAAATAATTTCATACAAGATTAATTATGAAAATTAACTGTTATTCTGACTCTAATTTAAATTGTTAGATCTGTTAGTAAAGAATAGGATGGGAACAGAAAAACATTAGAAAAGATGTTTTCTCAATCAGATCAGAATCAATTAAATAATAAAAAATCTTATAAAATGTTAAATTTAATTTATTTCTCAAGGGGATTAACGTTTATCATCATATCTAACACTTTCAAAGGTTCTTTAATCATGATCCACCGGAAATACTTTTGCTCCATTACTTTATGGTGCTATCATATTTTCTTAATTGCTCTATTGATGAGCTGGTAAGAGATTTTATTTCTCTTGGTTTATAAATGGAATTTCTTGAATTGAGGGTGGAGGAGTAGGCAATTTATATATTCCTGGATTATTACGAACTAATTTCATAAGATACCTTCTTATCATTTAAAATCTATTTTTAACTCTTTTCTGCTGTTGTCCGCGGTTAGTCAACAGCCTTTTGAAGATCCAATTTGAATTTATAAGACGAGGGTATTTTTTATTGATCATATCTCTAACCTTATCAATATTCTCTTGTTAATCTTCAAGCTAAGCCAATACAATTTCCCAAAGAATAATTATAATGAAAACCAGGTTGAATATAATTAAAAGCATATAGAATGGCCAAACAATTTCCTAATTGTTGGACAAAGAGGATTAATAAATTGTCATTCCTATGACAATGGATGTTCCACAAATAAGAGTACTAAATTCATCAATCAAATTTAAGAAAGGCAACTTATAAGGCCTGTAGGATCTAGTTAATACTTAATAAATAAAAACGATAATGAAGACTAAGGCTCCTTTTATAATGATCAAATCCTCATAGAATGTTAAAAATATAATGATAAATCCTTTTTCAAGTATTTTGACAATTTCCCAAAAATAAGCTTCTGTTTAGTATTCGTTGTACAAATATCCCCAATTTTTTCTGGTGTTTTCTTTATCTAAATGATGTCTTTGTTTATATAAACTGATGAACATGAATGCTGGAATAAAAAAGGCAAGAGTTAAAGTAGAAGGCAATATAAAAGTTAAAATCCAGTTGAAATGGGTTTAAGTATCGTACCTATAAGCTACATTGCCTTGAATCCAGTATAGATTAGAAATTTGTCTAAAGGAAAGTAAGGATATAAATCCACCAATTAAAGTAGGCTATAAATAGGTGAACAAATATATTGCTGTCGTTGTTATTGCAGATTTGTTTGGTTTAGCTAACCGTATTAATATCACAACGGCATAAATTATAAGGAATGTAAAAATGTACAACATGGGCATAAATAGAGCCCATATCATTCTGAAATATATGATATTGATATCAACAAGGTTAACTAGAAAGCAATCAAGGGAAAAACTCATGGCCTCTGTTGGATTACCAACTGATCTCACTGATGATTAAAGGGCACTTGGGAGTTTAAGTTAAAAAGTTGAGACAGCTCCAATAATTTACAAATAGTTTGTCAACACCTTTATCAACACACTTCCATATCCTGCTTTTGGATCTTTACGAAAGATTTTGAGGTGATGCATCTTAGATTACGTAATCATTTTATCTACAGTTTCTACAGTTCCCTTAACTGATAAAAAAATAGAGATCATTGTCCAAATGCTCACTAGAATAACTTTAAGTGTATTATCACCGATGTTATTGCAACTTCCGCATTTATAAGAAGTACTAACCGAATGCGCTCCTTGACCTCTAATATTATAAATATCACATTATTCACATAATGCTCCTACGTGTGCCTATGAACATAAATCATTTCCAGGATTCCATCCTCCCACACAGTTTTCAGGTAAATTCAGACAATATTCTATTTTATCGCTGCTTTCAAAGGGTCTCCAATATTCTGGTCTTAACATGACTCTGGCTGAAGAGACTTACTACATTTTGATAGGGTCTTTGATTTAACATTAATCACCAGCTTTAACATTATACTAATCAGCATTAGAATCACATAATTTACATGTTCCAAGTCTAGTTTTATATTCTCCTCTTTGACAAGGGAAAGTTTAGAGATTGACTCTCAATCTATAATTCGTGAAATAATCCTACAATAAATAAGGAGGTTTTTCTTCAAAGATTGGAATTTTAATTGAATTGCATGTTATTTCAAGTTATAAATATCCTATTGAAGAATAATCAGGATCGAATGTAATTTCCATTTAATCAAGATTGTAATCCTGACTGGTTGAATTGAATAAAACTTCTGTGATGCTAGTGAAATTAGTTAAGAATTCTCCTTCTTACTTATCAATAATTTACCTCCCCCTTATAAAACATTTACTACCTTCCAAAGACTTAATCTGACTATTCTCGTCATTCAGAGGTAATATTCTAAAAGTAAAATTATATGGAATGTAAGATTAGGTTATTTCATCAAAAATTTAGTATCCCCCAATAGGCTATCCACTGGGTAACATTATGTTATCATATTCTAAGCTTCCCATTTTATATTGCTTTACATCTATAATTTCTGTTTTATTGGTTGAATTTTTCTCAAGTATTTTTTTCTGCATGATCTTTGATCCTATCTATAAGGTCAATTAAGTTGGTTAGTTTGCTAAGTTATCACCAAAATAAGATGCTTGGTTTCCTTGGAATACGTTATTCATTTTTGATGGTGATTACATTTAAAAATCACTTAAATATAATGCGCCACCTACTTTTGCTTAATTATTTGCAAAAACTGAATCGTACACAATCAATTATGTGTCCAATTCATAATCGAAATACAATGCTCCCGCTACAGAAGATGCTATGTTATTTGTAAATTAACAATTTGAAATTACAGAACTCAAAGCTGATATCAAAATGGCCCCACCAAATGTAGCCTGGTTATTATCAAATAAACTTTTCTCTAGTTTAATAGTAGATATTTATTTATCAAATTCGGCTTTTTCTTAACCTAGAATTCTATTTGATTTGAACTTTGAGAATAATTGGATTTCATTTGTTGATTTAGCTGCAATTACAAAACAACTAAAAATTCCACATTAATTATCTTTTAAAATAAAACCATTTATATAAATTAGATTTTGATTTTATTCCTCATCAATATTTGTAAACTTCAAAACACCCTTTTAACAATTAGCACAGTTAATCTTTTAAATGTTCATATTATCTAATAAAATGTAGTGATTTGCTGAAACAGAATCGATTTCAAAAATGAAATTTGGATTTGTCTTATTCTTTATAATTGCATAGAAATTGTTTAAACTAATGATATAACGCTATTCCTAATCATAGAGGGCTTATAATGATGTTGGTTAATTAGAAGTCAGATCGCATTTATAAAATGATTCTGGAACTGTAGAAATTGGTGTATTTGGCAATGACACATCTCCTATTACTTCAGAGATATCCTTCAATTTTACGTTGATCAGCTAAACCTATGTCAGATATTCTAATAATTATCAAATCAAATATATACTTTTATTCAATTAAAGGCTAAGAATACTCCCACTGATTATTGTAATATTTTGGATCAAAACGGTATCTAATTTAATCTAGCTTGCCTCCAAAACTTCTAAAGCTCCATAATCAAAAATGTCAAAAATATTACAACTCCTTAATGTAAGATTGCCACGCTTTATTGATATTAAGTAGTTTTAAGTCTAAAGAGATATTTCTGAACTACTTAAATTTTAGATTTTCCCCAAATATTCTAGATATCCAATGTATGTATTTTTAATTGATAAATCAAACACTGTAAACTGCAAAATCAAAGATTTGCTACTGAAAGTTACAGGGAGTTTGAGGAATGCATTCTGGAATGAAAATACATTCTATACTGTATTGTAATATATTATAATGGAATTATTGTTCCTTGAAGGTTCAATAAAAATTGTCCCCCCCTCATTTCTACTATAACTATTAGAAAAGCTATTGTTCAGTATAGATAGATGTAAATCTGACTGAGAAGCATCAATAAATAGAGTTCCTCCTTATGACTTTTCTTTCATTTATAGATTTGCTTAACTGAAATTAAAGACGCAATTCTATATCGCAATTGACCCACTTGATTAAGTTCCAAAGTAAAATGCTCCTCCTTATAAAGCCAATGAATTATTGCTTGAGATATTTTACAAATTGATTTAATTTGCTGATAAATATCCATTCCCTCCTTTTGTCTTAATAGAAAACAGGGAATATAAGTTCTCAAAATAAACTACATCACCCTTATTGTATCCCCAAATTAATCGATCTCTCAAATATTTAAATTGCAAATCATTCTAGTTCTAAAAAATACAATTACTCACTTTAAGAGTGTTACTAATCAAGACTAAATTAGATCCTTAATTATTAGTCAAAACATTATTAGAGAAGGTCGATTCAGCTAGAACGATGTTTGAATTCGGATTTTGTATGAGAATTGTTGATGACTATTTGAAAAGTAAATCTTCTTAGTAATTGTGATGATGGTTATTAAAGCAGATCATTTTATTCAGAGTTATTTCTTACTGTTATTCTGATATTATGCTTAGAATTGTAGGCTATTCTGCAAGTTTAGTAAGTATCATTGTATTATTTGAGAATTACACCTATTATATCATTATGGTTTCTTTTTATCGATAATTTGATCCATCTAATGACTTAATTGTGATGATAGGCAAATTAAGAACAATCAATCCTAAAACTTGGAGTTTATCAATTTCAATAGTTTTAGTATTGAATATTTAGAGCATACTACCATATCCAATTTCAAGGCTCTACTAAATGCAAGAGAGCTGTTGATGAATTAACTAGATCTTAAATCCACTGTTTAAAGTGGCTTTTATATTCTTTAGAACTAGTTTATCTACATTATTAATTGATATTTCTGGTAGAGTGAAGGCTCGAACAATATTTAAATTCAAGATTGTCATCTAATTTACATCAAAGTATATGGAAGAATTCGAGGATGTCATTAGACTTGAGTATTGTTATAGAGTGAATTAATTTGATTCTAATGACAAGTCATCAATCTATATTCTTAGATCTTTAAAATTCTAACTCTAAATCAATTCAATGAAGACTTTGCTGCCTTGGTAAAAATTGTTTTTGAATGCAATTGTGTTTAAAGTGAGAGAGCTGATCGATATACTATCTTGATATAAAGCATCAACAACATTAGTGATTACTCTATTATCAGCACTTTCAAATGTGTTACCTTCAATAAGCATATTATTAATTGTGAATAATGGTAATTTGAATAATTTGACTTCTGCGAAGAAATCTCCGTTTTAGACAGTAATATCAGTTAGAATGACACTAAGTGCTCCATGTAATATAAATAGGGACGATTAAGTGAGTTGTTCTTGATCAGATAAAAATTATTGGATTGTGAATTCAGATTCTCTTAGTTGGTTGGGGAATTCAGTATATAAAACAATAGAGTTTGTGTATTTGTTATTATAGGATTTAAAATTATTAGCAATAAATTTTTGATTTCCTTAATCTGTGCCCAGGATTTGAACGAATAAGTTGGAGTTAAGGATTTAACAATTCTATATTAGGATTGTATCTATAGAATAAATTAATGTATTTTTTATTGGCTGAGTGAAATAGTATCTAATAATACCATCAATATTATTTAATTTTGAATCTGAAATTTCAAAATTCTTAATTGAAATTGAATTAGGGTTTTATAATTTGATTTGAAATTGAAGATCAACTGCATTCTTGATAGAAAATTGATCAATAAGGAAAGAGACTCCAAATACACTATTCACATTTAAGGATAAATATTTGCTTGTAGGGATGATTTAGACGTTCTTCAGTGTAACAGTTGAAAATTCTAAAAATGATACATCACCTTCCATATGAATAGGGATGTCATTTTAAGATTAAATTATTAATTCAATGTATTTCACTGTAAATACATTCTATCTAATTTGAGACTAAATAAAAGTGTTCTTATTGATTATGCAATCTCCACTATTTGGTAATATGTTTACAATGTATCTAATTAATTTGACACTTTTAGAATTTAATTCAGTGAATAAGTAATCTGTTTCTATGTAGAAGTGACTGGAATTTGAAGAAGAAAACAAATTTTGTAAGGGTAGGTTATATTTCATAAAATATTGTCTTGCATCTTCATCAGTCTCTTAATTAAGCCTCTGTTGAAATTATGTTGTTCCACAATGGACTTGTTATTGGAGTTCAACAAAAAAGTAGCAATCTTTTTGGTCAGCGTTTTTGCAATTAAGTTCTTGGCCTAAACTAGGATCATTATATAAAATTCCTTAAGGAGGATCCTAAATATCTCTCTTTAAACATTATTTTGCATATCCCTTGTAAGCAGGGTTTTATTAATTGAAATAAGGATTAATTTGACTGATTTCCTGGGGAGTAAATTCTCTACACAATTCACAAAATTGAGGGCATTGAGTGCACTTATCATTAATGACTGTTTTTATTGAATTTTAACAAGTGACACATTTAACTTATTCATTTTCGATGATACAACTTTCACAGGGACACTTAGGATAGCATTTTCCATTCTGTTACATTAGACCCTCAGCACATTTTAAACAAGTAACTTCATATTCGTCAATAGTAGTAGAAAGCACAAAGAGGTTAAAGTGATGCCATTCTTGTTTGGTTCTTAATTGATAACCAGGCAACAAGTCTGATTTCCATCCATCCTTGTAGAATTTATTACCATGTTCGCATTCGACACAGCCAGGCGGACATATGATGCAGTTTCCTTGCAATTTGTGTGCATAGTAAGGTTTAAAGCATTTAACACAATATTCTTGGGAGTAAACATAGTTTTGAATGCAGTATAAGCAGTATTAATCCCGGCATACTTGTTGACCTATCTCTTTTTATTCCAATACAATAGGATTGTATGATATATTGTTATCAACAACAGAATCTCCAAACAATATGTAATAATTTTCCATAGTATCCTTTAGCTATTTTTCATGATACCCTAGTTCGAATTTGGGGTCATTGAGTACTTTTTATCTCAATGCCTAAGGTAAAGGCTTCCCAGATTTACTTTCTATCTCATCCACTGTATAGCATCCATATTATTGACCACACTTCATGAAATTAACATAATGGGGGTTACACTTTAAACACAGGTCAAAAGTTGGATATGAGAAATATTAGGAATGTAAATCGATGCTTAATATATAAGTTGCATAAACATTAGTCTGATTGCTTAAGGTCATGAAAAATTCTTAGACTTGATATTTGCAATTATCTAGGTTTTTAGGTAGACATTGTGTGTATTCAGCAGCAACAAAGTATTTCTCGTTATCAACACATTTCACACATTGAAGGAGATTGAGTCTGCTTTAGTAAAAGCATATTTCACAAAACGCCCCACACTATTGACATTGTTCTAATGTAGAATTGTAATAGTATCGATCAATACAACTATTACAATAATATCCAGTAGAATTGTACTTACAATCAGGACAATAACTAGGACATTGATAACATTTAGATTAGAATAAAGTGTAATTCTATTAACAAGTCGTACATAGTTGATTATCATCACATTCATCACAATAGGGTTATAAATTAACGCATTCCCCATTTAATGATACATAACAATTCTTGCAGATGATCTTAGAAAGTTAATTCATTGTATATTTTTCAATGAAATTGATGGTGCTGTCAGTCTACCCTAAGCAACCAAAACAAGTTTCTAAGACTGCCTGATCCTAAATGCTATTGTAGTTGATCAGAAAGTATTCATAATCCTTTTTTTTCCTGTCTCTTCTTTAAAATACGTAGGTTGTTTTGTCAGTAAAAGGCATCAAGTAATCAATTTTACAGATTGGATTTAAATACCAAGTGTTTGGATTGTAAATGCAATCTATGCAATATAAACCATAAGGAGTGATTGCTCCAGGACAATCTAAACAATAAGAGTTCCCCTTCATCTTCACCAAGAACTGATTTCTTTGACAACCTGATGAGTCTTCAATTAATCCTTCTTATATCGTTATCCCACCTAAGACTGTAAACTTATTTATGCAAGTTGGTAAACCAACATCCAAGTAATTAATGATACATGGACAATAAGTGCCATTTAACTCTCTTTTTGAGACAGGTTTGCAGTCTATGCATTCGCTTTCGTTTGGTCCAAAACAAGTATTACAACTGTAGTGGCAATCTTATTAATAACTTATAATGAATACATCTATCAGGTTTATTATCATTTGCTTGGCAATAGGAGAAAGTTAGATTACGAACTTCGCCAGAGAAGGTTTTAATGAACTTATCTCCACCAATATTGAAGTAGTAAGTAGACTTTTCATAATGAATTTATGTCATTGAATAAGTTTTCAGTTCTTTATAGTTTCCGAAGTAAATGCTAAGTTCAATTTTTGAATTTGGCAATCCTTCTTGATACACAAACCAATGCCATGAGGTGATGGCACTCTAAAAATATTCAGACTTTTAAGAAATTGTGTCGCTCTCCAATGTTTGGTATTTTATATTGCTAGCTCCTTTGACATCGTGATAAGTGGATACCTCGAACCCATTATCCTAATCACGCATGGTGCTTTAAAAGTATTTCCAATATAGGGCCTTCTCTCCTTAATACTTGTCTCCATAATAGATCTTTCTGAAAGTGGCTCTAACCAATATGGTCTCAAGGGAGCGGATCTTTTTAGATTAGAGGAAATTAATATACATCTGCTAACTCATTTAATTTAACCCAACCGAACAATACGAATCTTTTATTAAAGAAGGTAACTTATTTGTTTAGAATAAAGCCGCCATTGTAGAAATCAGTTAAAACTGTTGTTTGGGCTGTAGCTGGACATTTATACAATTCACAATTGGTATCTTCGAGATGACTCAAAAACGTTGGGATGTTAGGATAAAAGCTTTACACATCAGTTCTAATGTCAAGGTCGCTTATCTCTCCTGCGAAAGGGCTCAAATCTAAGTTCACATTAAACTTTTCATTCGAATACTTAAATAATACTTTTGACTTTTACTTATAGTTCGCCTCCAACGGTAAAAGGTATGATTAGATTATGTTAATTTAAGTATTCTCCTCCTCCTGCCATCTGTACGTTAATAGTATCCTTGTCTACGTATACAAACATATTATATTGCTTAATTGATTTTGAATAACAGAAGTAAAAAAATACCCACTTTTACCCAACCAAGTCCTACTTAAGTTCTAGTTCTCTCATTTCGAAGTACTAGTCGTTTTATAATATCACTTCGAAATATATAACCTATGCTTCTCTATCCTATTTGATAAAGTAAATCAACGGAAATGATCCATCTAATAGCTAGGCAAAAACAAAATGGTTCAGAATTTTCTTGTTCAAACTGTCGTTATCTTCAAGTTGACTTTAGAATCTAGTCCAAACTCCTATTCCAAAGTCCGTATATAATGTGGTCGATAAATCTAAAGAAACTGAGGCTGCTCCTGTATCTGGAGTAGTAATAAACTTAAAAACATCGCAACTTGACTTGACCATTTGAAAACTAGGGTTTTTTAAACAATTGCTTACATCGTTGACAGCAATAATATTTCACTCAAAGTTCTACAAAAGTACATTAAATTGCAATTATTAAATTATGAAACTAGTCGAGATAATGTTTTTTTTTTAATAATGGAAGATTTAACTTAAAGTACTTAATTGAATCTAAAATACTTTAAATCAAACTTCAACTAATAATTACATTTTCAATATTCTAAAATTAGCACAACGTAAAAACATCTTGTTAAATTCTGAATCTTATATATTTAATCAACAATAATAAACAGATATTCAATTAAAATGATAGCTAAACGACAATAAAAAAAATTCCTTTAAATAACTAATAGCAATAAAGAAAAACGATTTATATGCTTAAATCTCTGATCTAGTTAAGTTATATTGATTAGCAAAAGAGAAAACTCATGATATAATTATTTCGTATAATAAATATATATATAATATAACATAATATAATAAAAATGAATAATAATGTCGTTGTTTTTAGCAGGGCTAATCAGAATGATGATAGTGAAACTTCCTCCGCTTTGCCTGATTAGATGGAGTCTCAAGTGGAGTATCTGAAGACAAAATTGAAATTATGCACCTAAACTTTGAAGAGTAGCTTATTCAATTAGACTTTATAGCATAGGAGGCTTAGATGAGGTAATTACGATAAGAGAATGAGAAATTAAGATAACTGAATGCAGATTACGTTAATTAGATGAATCAAATGGCATCAGACAAATACCAGAAGATCGAGAAAATAGTTGTTACTCAATAATTTTTTGAATAGAAGAATATCGATAAGCAATTGAAGGATTTTATAAGAAAGATGACATCTAATTTTGGCGGTCTTGAAAAGAGTCACATTAAATTGATTGATCATTGCAAAGTGATGGAACATGATTTGAATTATTATAAGTAACGAGTAGTGGATGCAGAAGAGATTATAGAGAATCTGAGAAGTGTTGGCAAGACCAGTGTTGCAGAACTAATGGATGAATTAAAAGGACTCTAGAACCAAGTGGATGATCTAACAAACCAATTGCAAAAATCTCAATTTGATTTGGCTGTCAAATAAGGTGAATTGGAGAGGAAGCAATAAGAATTGGATGATCAGGTGGCCTAATGCGAGTCATTGCTGCATGAATTAGATGATATAAAGACAAAGCAAAACAGGATTTTGAGTGATAATATAGAGTAGTAGAATAAAGACGCGAAGATGGTATGGATTGGATGTAACTTTTAGATTTATTAATTGAAATTGAAGAGTGACTTTCTGGAACATGAACGCAGATTGGCATATTAGGATGCTCAATGTGCAAATTAGGAGAAGAATAGTATGTTGGCGTAAGGAATGATTTTAAATTTAGTAAGCAATAAAACATAGAGACAGAATTGGAAATGTTGAGAACGACAACAGACAATTTCTTAAAGAAAAATAAGCACATCTTCAATTTGGCTGGACTGCCTAAAGTGTAGTTCAAATGATTAAATATCATTATGTATTATTGACATCAACCTTCTGTATCTTCCACACCATGATGCATTTGTCTTGTTCTGAGGTTGTAACCAAAGTTTCCTTGTCTGGACTGGCCACACATTGATTGATGTACATCATATGATCAGTATAGATACGCATGTATCCTTATCCAGAAGTACAGGGATAATTGAAAATCCTTATGGTTCCCATATTGTCAGTAACCTTGAATAAGATGTTATAATTACAGCCATGGACTTTTCTCCAATCAGAGTAATCTTACGAATTTTATTATCATCAGTATAACAAGAATGCACTCCCTTGGCTTTTTCAGCTAATTTGATTCCATCACTGCACCATTCCAAATCGAATTCCATATGCATGCTGTTTATGCGTTTCTATTGATCTAGGTCTATCAGGGCAGTCTCATCCAGGACGTCTTTATAGAAGAGATAGAAATTGTCAGTGGAGAAATCCAAGTATTCTACACTTGTATTCAGATTGTCAATGCTGCAAAGTAATCTAAAATTGTTTTCTTCGTTTTCAACATCATATATTTCGATTTTAGCATTTTGTTCTTGATTTCTCGCAAGAGCCAAAGCAAGCATCTTCTCATCAACACTCAATTTCATATCTGAGATTGCTGATTTCTATTTTAGAGAATAATTGGTATTCACACTATAATCATGATCATTCAACACGATGACTTCTTGTTCAAAAGCTATAAAGATTTTAGGTGATAATTTGCACACTATCAAATTCAAAGTGGCCTTTTCGAATGCATAAGAATACGTGCGTTTCAATTTCCTCAAATTCCAGACTGCAAACAATCCCTTTTGAGTAATCGAATACAATTTCTGAGCATTACCAGAAAAAGCTACAACTTTTGGTTGATCATGATCAGTGCAATTGATTCTTAATTTAACCATGTCCTTCTGTATTTTTGTCAAGGCTAAATTAAATCAAGATGTTTACATTTTAAATCTGCCTCATTGGGTCTTACCAACTCATAAATATCACCACTTCTTGTTCCTGCCAATATATAATTCTGTCCAATACAGACCGATTGAATGTGAAGATTTGGATTCAATCCAGTCTTCTGTAATTATTCATTAGCAATACTATACTCATAAATCTTCTCGACGACATAAGAATACTCAGATTTACTCAACGACCAGAGAATGACACGTCCATCCATTCCTCCAGATACAAACATCGAAGAATCTTTGCTTGTATATAAACAGAAGATGGGTTGATCTGGATGAGCCTTTTATTTCTTATTGATCTTTTTGTCATCCCAAACATAAATGAATCCATCTTCTCCTGCTGTAATTATTGCATCCTATACAAATATCACAGTTAGGAATGTAATTCTTAATCCATCTTCTTAATCATTATCTTGGACTCCTTCTTATTCATCATTCTGATTCTCCACCAATTCTACTAAATCTTTTGGATTCTCAATCTCCATAGCCTAAAATGTTAATTAACCTCCTGCAAATTACCAACAAGACATGTGCTACACTCCACAAGTCACAAATCTAAAGACACTATTAGGGTAGAACTCCAAATCCTTAATCTTGTAAGGTATTGAGTATGAGTAAGTGACTACTCCCAACACTTAGTGATTCTCAGAGTCAATCAATAGTATTTCTTGTCTGTATTCCTAAGTGATTGCATTACAAATAAGATGCCTGTTGTCATAGGCAAATTTGATATTCATAATCATTCCCACATTGTTGATGACAATATTCTTAACGCAAGTTCTTGAGCATATATCCCAAATCAACAATTTGGCCTTCAACTCAATGGTGCCAGCACACAGCAACTTCTTGTCTTGACTCAAAGTAATACATGAGATCTCAGGCGATGATGACGTATCCGATTGATCTAACTTAATGAATTATTGAAACACTGAATTGTTCTCTGATTGCAATTATCCAATATTGTATTTTTTGAATTGAGATGTAATCTTGTCATCCTATTCATCCTCATCATCCAAACTAGCAATCACCAAGTTGCATCCTGCCACGTAAATCAGTCTTTCATCATAGTCGTAAAATAGATTGTTCCTTCTCGTAAATGCTCTTTCTCCCAATGATACTCTACAATTTGAGTTCCACTTCAGGTAATTTAGTGTCATCCACATTCTTGACCTTATCCGATATCCCCTTAACGTAAGGGTAGTAACTCCGAGAACAAACTTTTGAATTTCTCCTTCTCTTGCACTTCCTAAAACAGATCAGCTTGCTTCTTATCGTAAATCAAGTAATCCAAATCCCAATTTTATTGTTCTTCTGTTAATTTCCACTTCATAATGCATTCATCCAATATACCAGTAGTATACAGATATTGAGCATTCTGATGAGTCTCTATTTGATTCACAAAGGAAACATGAGCAGAATAGGATTTGGCCAAACACTTCTACTTTTTACTGATTTCTGTGATGAAATCTTTATCATAGTAGAGACACGAGGATTTGACCAAGTGCAAATCTCCGTTGGTACTTCCACATAATAAAAATGGAGATAGATCAACCATTACTGACATCACTGGATTAATCAGGGTCTCATTGGTCAAATTGGTCTCCTGTTCTTACCCTTACTTCGGGTCACCAATCAACGAGTCATAAAATTGATATTAAGAATGCAGACTATTTGGGAAATTCAACTTCTTCCATTGAATGTTTTTGATGGTCTCCCAATTCTTGACAGATGTGTTTGAATTCAGATCCCATATCACATATGCACCTTGTGGATCATTGTTGATTCTAGTTTACTGGTTGTTTATCAATTGATAATAAATTATTAGGTAATTGCCATCCTAACTGAATGTCATAAAGTACGCAGCCACTCCTTACGTGTCGCTGTCATTCTAATAAGACTCATTTAATTAAGGACAACGAATATCTGTGTATTTCAAATATAGATTCTTGTCGGTTGCTCTATATTTCGATGTCCGATGAGAACCCCTATTAACCCACACTGCATATGAAAGAGCCCTCCTTTTCCAATTTTGAATCAAATGCGTCCTTCTAACTACGAGCATTATCATATGAAATGGCAATCATGTCCCCCTTATGTGAGAACTCTATATTCAAAACAGCCATCTTGTTATCCTTATCTTTGATGTTCATGATGATGTCCAAGGTTGGCAACAAGTATCGTTCACTCACTTTACCAATCGCATTCTTTTGGATCTTGGAGTCCATAATCACAACTATTGAATTTTGAAAACCAATCACCAACAAATCTCCATCTGGGGATAATCGTATCGCAGTAGGAGTCATACCCATATTTTTGACTAATAACAATGAATTGTTCTCAGTATCCCAGAGTATTAACTTCTGATCTTCTCCCATTGATACCATAATAGGTTAGGTGGGATGGAGAGTGATGAACATCTTCTTATTAAAGAAATCTATTTGTTGTTTGCTATCAAAGAATTATGATTGATGCGATCTCATGTATATGGAATAGTTGAATTTCAAAGTTTCTGTCGTTGTGTAAGGTTGTCTCTACTATTGTTCTGATCCACTGGAATCATGAGAATTGCTATGTTCATCATCAGAATGGCTTTCTTGTTTTTTGATTTGTTATAATTTCAAGCCTTAAAACTCTACTTGAAATGCAGCTTCCAAAATATCACCATTCCTGGTTCCAACCAACATCACAGATAAATTGTGGGATTCTTCCACTTCCTCTTCATTCAGATGTCTCTTTGGAACTCTACAAGAAAATATATCAATTGATTGAGCAGATAAATTCTAAATAGGAGATATAAATTTATTTTCATACCCTAATTGCAGGAGTGCCATCCTAAAAGAATCCAGTCTTACGGATGTTGAACTCATTAATCAAATTAAATTTGGTATCCCATATTTTGATGTACTCATCCTCTCCGCAAGTGATGATAACAACCTTATCTCCCAGTATTTCGGATATCTTCAAACAATTGATCATTTTTTGATGTGCTCTAAATTAAATTATGAATATAGCAGATACCTCTCTTTCACAACTATGTATTTACCACAAGCAACCAAGGCCAAATCTCCGAAGTTGTTGCCCACAATAATGTCACTTTCTATTTTATCCCCTAAGAGATAGGAGATGTAACTTAGACAAGTGATAAAGCAACCATTTGTATACTTGACCTCATCCGACAATATCACTTAACTCCTAATCAGGTTTCTGCCCTGTAATGACCATATGGTGATATTCTGGTATCCACATGTAGCAAACTCATATCGGTTGTAAGGGTTGAACATGACACAGCAGATGGGGAATGTCCCTGAATTTCGAAATGCTATTATGGTTTCATTCTTCCAAGATGTCACTTAAATTGAATAGGTTTCGTCTATGCCTATACTCACAATGAATAATGAATCTCTGGAGAATACCAAGTCGTAGATACCATTCTTATGATTTGTTTTAATGATCTTGACAGGCTCAGTGTTGAATACATTCCAAACGTGAATGCAAGGTCTAGGTGCACATTCACCTGTGGCTACAAAACACTTTAATGGATGGATGGCTAAACAAGTGATTTTGAATCTGTGTCCTTCATAGAATTTCTGCTGATTGTTCAATGGATTATAGACAACTGCTATTCTAGAAGTTATGTAAACGAAGTGTCTCTAACAATCATTATGAGAATCATCATAAGGTAATAAGGCTTATTTAGCAAAGAGCATTTCCTTTTGGAATTGGACAGGTAAAATAATACTCTATTGATTCATTTACTCCATTCTCTTTCTTTATTCAGACTTCAAATCTTATTATTGTTATCCTCCTCTCTTCTTCTTCTCTTGTTTATTATAGAAGTGAACATAGAATAGAGTTCTCCTTTTGTCGTAAGCCAAGAATCCATAGATGTAATCAAGAGTCAAAGACAAGGGAGGTGCTCGTTTCATAACATGCTGTTTTTTATCGAAGGGTGGAATCAGTTCTTGGAGTAATCCATTTAGCATCTTTTGATTGGTTGCTCTGAATTGAACAAAATTGTCTCTAAATTTGTCAGAGATATTGTTTAGGAAAAAGCAATAATCCTTTTCTCTTTTGAAGATTTCATCAATGGTTTAATTGAAATCCTATTTATTGGAAGCCATAGAGAAATTATTAAGACCAGGTTTGTTGATTTATTATTTGTCATCCTGTTAGAATGGTTTAGAGAAATCAGCTAAATCATTGATAAAATCAATCTTCCATTCAATCAATGTGTTATCATTAGTTCCGACAGTGTAAAAGACGTCTTAGGTTTTGGTCATCTGTAATCTACTCACATTGCTAGCATGTCCTCTCAAGAATCCACCACAATTAGTTTCCAATTATTCTCGATCTCTCCAAAAGTACACATATCCTCCTTCTCCTGCAGCCAAAAATATCTTCACATCCCCTCCAATCAAGAGTGGCAAATACTGTTCCTTCTTTGAATTCTGATTACCACTCGAAGTTAAAGGATATTGTAATACCCAAGTAGTTGAATTCAACTTCTCATTTTCTGAGGACAACAATTTTGATTTCATATCAGGCAATTCAATCTTATATTGATTCTTGTTTGTAGTTCCCACAATAAAGACTTTGCAATCATCAACGAAATCCAAACAAATGGGTAATTCCCCTTCAAAATGAATCTTCTTTGGTGCAGTCTAAAAGTATGATGTGTTATTCAAAAAGAACACATAGACAAATGCATCCTAGACTGCACAGACCAAACAAGAAGTATCTGATGAAAACTTCAAATCATTCACTTAATGCTTAAAATCATACCATCTCGGTGTTTCTTCCCAATCCAATCTCAAATACACTTTACCTGATACTGTTCCTAATGCAAATACTGCTCCTCCATCTTCAAAATTGATACAATCCATTGATGATACTTAATCCCCAATAGTCCACACATCCACAATCTCATGTGTCTCCAATGAAAATCCATATACTGTTTATTAAGATCCTGCACAAAATACCAATTTGTCATCACTATCCGGTCTCTCCAATATACACAAAGCCTACAATGTTCCACTCAGTTGAACTATATAATTGATTCTATTCGCTTTTAATTTATTGCCAAATTAATTGCTGGAGTGTTCTTGTTTCTATTATAGAAAGATCTCCACTACATCGCCTTCTGTTGAGGATACCAATAATTTATCTCCTGCTACAACTATATCACTTATAACATAACTAAACAACTTGAAATTTAAAGCTGTTAGATCTATATTCTTTATATTGTTTTTGAACTTAAAATCCCACAGATGAATGGTGCTAGCATCCGTTCCAATTATGATTCCATATTGATAACTGGTTATACAAACTATCTAGTCCTTATAAGATGTCATCTATTCCATTGTTTCAAAACTCTCCCACAAAATCACTGATCCATCTTAATGTCCTGATATTATCACTATTGCCTCTTCGGAATCATCTTAATAAGATTTTAAATTAGGTTCTTTGGCAACTATGCTTAATGCTGTTGCACAAGTCAAAGGCGATGATAAATTATACTATTCCAAATAAATCTCTTTGGTCAAAAAATGACCATCATAATATTGGAATTGGATTATCTGCTGAATTGTACAAACTACAAAAGAGTTTTCGTATTTCTTGAATGGATTAGGTTAACTTTACTGGCTTGTTTATTACTATCTTTGTTGGATAGTACCTCCAAATGACCCCACCAAATTCTTGATGGTCAATAAATCTACTGCAAATTCATTCACCTAAGTCGAAAGAACCAAAGAGAAATCCTTGATGTTATAAATCAAAATAGGAGATGCTGCTCTTATTCCACATGATGCTAACAATTCATCATTACCAAAAAATGTCAATAAATGCACACCCTTCTAATGAACACCCTTTATCACTCCTATGTTATGCAATGTATTATTATCCCAAATGTGAATAGCTGGTTACTCTGCATATTCTCCACTTGCCATCAAACTCAAATTATTGGCTACTGCTACACTTATTACTTCACTTTCGTGTTCTAAATAGTGACGTTGCTCATTTATTTTCGGGTAATACACAATTATTATACAAGCTGTAAAGAACACCATCTTCTCATTCAATGCTTTGTCTGTATTCGATTGCACCTTTATATAAAGCAAGGGTCGTTTCACATCCTTACCCCGAAATCCATAAACCCAATTCATTTTCGCATAAACATCCTTCTAAAACACTTGCGGTTAGGGAGCATACACTTTCTTTGCCAAACTACTTATCCATTAGATTTTCGAATGATATGCCTTTGACGATAATATTGATCTAAAATACTTCCTTATTCATACCCAAGGTTCCTCTGATCAAAGTAGGGACGCTTCGAATCTGGCAATAAGAGTTTCCTTCTAAACTCCTTGTTCGATACCTATCTTAGGACGTCTATTTTCTGACTCAGTTATTCCGCTTAAGCTGTAACCTTCAATTCCGGAGCCTCCTTTTTTATCAATTATAGGAATTGTCTAATTTCCTCAGTCTTCACACACCATTTCAAAAACTGGCTTATGTTTACTCTTTGATTGTCCGAAAAAAAATTACTTAAGAAATCCGAGATTTCTTCCTCATTTACTTCATTATTTATCTGCATTATTTTGAATGTGGCATTTGCACACGACAACAACATAAAATCCAAATCAATCTTAGGTTATCACATATATTCTTACTAAACTCAAGGAATTCAATTCATTGAAATCAAATAGATCAAATAAAAATCGCGCCTTTTCCTCGAAATTACTCTCTGCAAAAATTATTAAACCTGAAAATAATTCCAAAGCGTTGATCAATCTACACATATTCTTAACTATATTACCCGTTGTTGTCCGTATCCCATATCTAAAACATGGTTTCATTGCTTCCGAATATCTATTCGAACTCTGTCAAATCTATACTAAAGGTATCGCAAACAGATTGAAAAGACCCATGATACTCACGTAATTTTGATATTGAATTATTAAGTAATGGATTTGATTGGGGAGGTTATGCATTTTGTAAATGCCCTAAAAACTATCCCATTTTTGTATTAATTATTAATATATCAATTATTATAATTATACCCAATTATAAAATCACTTCCTTTTGTTGTAGTATAGTAAACTATTCACCAATAAATACAATCTTTATTGCGTAAACTGAATAAAAATAGAAGAAAGAAATCAATTATTATTAGAATGATTTAGGTGTCTAAAATGATTATTTTGAAAATTATAAAAATGAATTAAATTCAGAAAATAATATAATAAAAAAGAATTAGTACTAAAATAGTTAATAGAAGGATGAAAAATCTTCTAAAGTCTAGTGTTAATTGTATTGAAAACTCAATTATAATAAAATTAAATGAGATTGAAAAGTTGTCAGTTTTAACTATAATTTTTGGAAGTGACTTATATCTATATATAAGTAATCTACGAAGACAAGAAGTATTGCTAACTGAGATGAACCTGAGCAGATGCTCCTGGTTAGTAGTTTTAGTTTTGCTTAATAACAAATTATAAATAAAACATTTTTATATCATTCAAATAAATGATATAGAATCACCTGGACCAAAGAGAATGGCAACTGGATATAATTTCTTAGATGGGTCAATAAGTTTCATTGTGTATTTCTCATTCTTATTGGATTCCTTGAAGAATGTGAATGATTATGATTGGGCATCATAGTAACAAACAACTGAATCTGCTTTGTCAAATGAAAGTGGTTTGATTTTGGTGTTATTGATGGCTGGATCATCGCTGTGGTAAATGACACCAGTGTTATGAAGTGCATAGAAACCGTGTCCTTTGGAGAAGTCGTAGATTTGATACTGCATGGTCTTGCTTGCTTCTAAGGACCCAAATCCAACTAAACCGTATGATAGATTCTAAGGAATATGTATTTATAGATTACATTAACTAAGAAAGAGCATTTGAAGCTTTCTTTTGAGGGATCAAAGCTTTGCTCACTATAAATGACAGCATATCCTATTTACTATGTGAGTGTTGCTGTCCTGCCTTCATTCAACTGAATATGCTTATGTTTATTGACCTCGGAAAATTTCAGTTCTTCCTTGAACTAATCTACTGAAAGCTTAGATAGATTTTATCTGATTTTTTTTGTATACTCAGTAGTTAAAATATTGATCTAAGAAAGTAATTAAGAGATTTGCATTTCCATCTTTGACTTGATTTGTTGGTCAATTCCAACGATCATATTGTTCTGAATTTCATATTGATTGAGTAGAATTTTGAGGACAGGTAATTCCTCTGAATCTAGAGTCATCAATTAATCGATTGATAAATTGAAACCAAGTTAATTTTTGTTTAGCATTTCAATTTTGGCATCAATCATTTCTGTGAGCTCAGCCAATTAGAATCGGTTGGCTATCAATTGCTATTTAACCGAATTGAATTCAAGATTTTGTCTTTTGATGTTTTCTTGATCAGAAATAAAGGACTGTAAGGAATTCAGAGACACGACTTTGTGTTCGTGCACATTATGCGCTTCCTTGATGCATAGAGGACAGCATTGAGTATTGGCAACACAATAGGAATCAACACAAATAGCAGATAGTTTTTCTCCCTTATGGATTTAGCATTCAATTTTGCAAATCATAATGTATATAAAATTAATTTTATTCATTTTTATAAAGAATTAAATGGATTTCAATTCATTTTTGATGTTATAATGATGAAATCAACATCCTTTAAAGAGTATTTAATAAACATGACTTCGCATTAGTTTTCTGTTTTAAAGGCTTTTACTCATTAATAATAAGGAGAGGAGCTAGATGTAAAACTAAGTAAAAAGTCACTGTTTTGAATTTAATATTAAGTCTTATTCATCCCTAACAAATAAATCTGGCTATTATATAAAATAATCAAATTATACAACCAGAATTTTTAATAAATGCTTGATTTTTAAAATATTTAAGAATCTTATTGAATTTTATAGACTATACAAAATTTGTAACAAATATAGTTAGTTATTCAGTCAAAATGATGTGGTTCAATATTGTCATTTAGTAATTGATCTTTATTTTCGAAAGAGTAGGTGCGTATGATTTTTCGACTTCCTCTTTTGAGTAAAGGGTTGTTTGAAATGTTGAATTCATTGTCCTCATCCTTCTATAGTTTTCTTTCCAGGACAATTTCATCATTCGGATTAGGTGATTTATCATTTTAAATTGTAAAACTATTTTTAGTGAGTTTTATTTACTTGGCGATTCGTTATAACTTTAAAAGCGGGTCAGTTTTCATCTGAAGACCTAGCCCTTTTAAGTATTGGACGATTTCTCGTTCTTTTTTCAATATGGTTTTTTTCTTTGAATCTTTGCACTGATACAATTACAGAAACTCCTCCAAACTATCTTTAGAATTTAAGGACACGTACGAAAGCATAATTATTTGATGTAAAATTTATTTTTGGGAACTGATTATAGACTTATTTAAATTGTATATAAATCGATATATATACTAGACAATAATAAAATTAATTTTCAAACCTGTTAGTATTATTAGGCAAAACTAAGATCTTAAGATATTTCATCTACTTTCTTTCTCAAAACAATCAAGACCTACATAATGAAACATACGTTTACTTATTTTACGATATCAACGGCTTTCAATTACCCAGCACTTTCAACAGTGAAGATATATTTATTTTTTTATGTTGCATTTTATCAATCTTGGTTTCTTCATGGATTTAGCCTATGTATTATACGCATGGTGTTACACTACGAATGCATTCTTCACAGAACACACACTTTTCAATAGCATAGACAATAAGTTCTTAATTGGCATCCATGGCAAAAACATTCACGGGACAAGAATCTCTGATTGACTGTTTTTCAAAAAGTGACAAGGATTGTGCTTAGACATGATCGATAATGAGTTCTGCATAAGATTTATTTTTAAATTATAACCGCTTCATGCCTGAATGTTGCTATGTTGATAGGAGTTCATTTAACATGCATTTTACCAAAGCCTTTGAGTGCATGACAACGAACATGAACAGATTGATTCTTTCCTAACCTTGTAATGGGAATGCCAACTTCTTTGCCGTTGACTAACGAAAACATTCTGACAGGTCTAATAGCCATTTCACCCATTTATCCAAATTCAGGTTCAAGATGCTGACTCTTAATTTCTAAGTGAGCATCATTCAGGTTTTTTATCTCAATGTAAAGACAGCTTAGTTTTCTGATCATCAATGGAATCAGCATCTGCTCCCCAATCGTATGCTAAGAGTTATGTTCAAAATTGTACTTGTAATTGTACATTAATAGGAATTATTTATTATATTTAATATATACCATGTTTATTCATTCATTCATTTTCTCGCAATTACAAGAATTTCCTTTTGTGAAACCATAAACATATGAAATTCAATACACAATAAGCAAGTAAGAAAGATCCAAATATATTTACACTAATTAATTAAATATTGATTTAAAGTGCCTGGAATGTTGGGAATACTCATCACAACAGTGAAGAAGTAGAAACTCCAACAGTAAATCCAGTTGCACAATTGGAGTACGTTCTTATTCTCAACATACTCAGATCCACAATAAGAGAAGGTCAGGACTTGGACAGCTGAGATTAGTAATCCTGACATAAAATTGAAAGTATAGACCAAGCTATTCTTATCATTGTTGGTCTCATCTGCTTCACCAACAATCCTTAATTAATACAATCAAATTTACTGATAATATATAGGTTGTCGCTCCAAAAATCTGCAATGCCATTAACAAATTTAAGTAGCTGTAGGAATAGGAAAGCAAGCCAATCAGGATTCCTCCCAAGAATTATCCAATCCCATGAATGCTGAGATTGGTAACTAAGGCAGGTTTCAAATATTAGACATTCGTATAGTTTGGTTCGATCATATCCTACGAGTACACTACACTGAAGGCAGCGAACATCCCAATGGAAATGATGGTAGGGATTAAATACACAAATTGAGGGTACTGCTTAGGTATTTTCCAAATTAGCCTAAATTGATTGCCATATTCGTTATTATTAGCATAATTCTTTTAATTGTCATCATCCATCAATGAACCATACAAATGCTCGTTTAATTTCTATTCTAAATCAATGCTTTGTTTGGTTGCTGACTTTGACAATGAGTCTGGTTCTTTGATGAACCAATATAGGAATGTTATGAGCAAGGATACTCCAAGCATGGGATAATAGAAGTATTGATTGTATTCGAACATCTTCCCTTCAAAGATCACATAAATATCGCCGATGAGGTTTTGCATACTGAATAATGAGTAAGCAACGCCGAAGTAGATGCCTACATTGACTTTATTCGACATGCTACGAATATAGTAATTGAATGCGCAATAGAAGATGGCCATAAAGGGGGCTGAGATAGCCTCGAATATAAGGATTGTTGCAATTAAGTAAATGTCTTTGGGTTTTTGTTCAATGACAACGATGTACAGAGTCATGCTAAAGATATTGGCTAGACTGGTGATAAAAAACACTGCTCTGAATCAAATATTATTGGATACTTGTAGGTGAGTTTCAGGATCAGCTTCTAAAAGAATGGCAATGACAAGGGGCCAAGCAAAAAAACGAGGCTGAATATGCCCAATGAAACTGAGTTTATTACTTTGTCGTCTATCTTGAGAATATTTGAGAAGAGCACAGTCCGACACAATCCTATGGCTCCCAAATAGCAGACTGTGATCATGCAAGTGTAGGTAAGAGAACATAATTTATCTCTTTTTTCGGACATTTATAATAAAATATGATATTATTATTATTAATATTGATCAAATTAAATAATAATCTCTCTGTATGACTGAATTCATTTGAAAATTTATTAACTCATGATTGCTATAGGCTTTTCCTTTTTTGAATTATTGAGTTCTCATTCGACGAAAGAACAGGAACTTTTCGATGGGTATTAAACAAGGAATCGAAAACCAATTTGTAGGTTTTTGTTGGTTTTTCAGAGAGCAATTGTATTGGGACTTCTCTCTGTACGAAAGTACGTTTCTCCTTTTCTTAAGCCATCTGATCGGCGTCATTCGATATTTCATCTAACAGCAATTAGTCGGCATCAAGATATATAGACTTCATTTGTTGAATCTAAGATTTATAACTTAATTGTGGTTCTGAGGTGAGGGTGTTATCTTTTTGATCGGAAATGGATCTGTTTGAAGTGCAAATTCCCATAAGAGTGAGATTGAGTAAAAATTAAATTAATGTATAAAATGGAATCAATAGGATTGAATTTACAATGTGATTATTGGCTGTTTAGAACTGCCAACAGTATTGATTGCTTTTTTCGTGATGTTTGTACCACGAGGACAGTTTAAATTACTTATAAGTATATTTTAATTATAATTGATCAAGGGGATTAGTGTATAAAAGCGTAGTTTAAAACTTCATAATGTGAAAATCTGAAGGTATATTAAATTATATTATGAATCAATTAAATCAGGTAGCTGATGCGGAGAATTACGGATATAATTCACAACAGCCAAGGAGATACGTCAAAACCGCTTCCTATAGTGAGCTTTATTACGATTTGGAGAAAATCAAGAGGTTCGAGGATGGATACGAAATAGTAGAATTAAATGATGCAATGCATCTAGGCAAGTCTTCCTAATTGCACACATGTAGCCATCACATCTAAATTAAGTTTAATCTACTAAATGGATGGAGTACCTGTCCGAACTCGAGATCGAGTTAAAAGCAATTCTCTACGAAAGAGCACTCATCGTCCCTGACCTAAACCAATATGTCAACAAGCGTCTCCAGCCGATGATAGAAGCCCTTCTCGATAAAGTGTATTGACCTTCTTTCTAACTAGTTTGATTGAGATCAGCAGATTAAAGATCTAGTGTTACATCAATGAGATCCTTTTCCTCATTCAAAGAGTGTGTCTCAAGCTCTGGAAGGAACAGCCTCAGATTTCCTTGACTCTCTTAAAACGACTGCATTAAAACCAATCCAATTCTCTCTACGATAGTAGAATTAGAGATATAAGTGCGTACATAGATGCATTGAATGACTTCTACGGCGAGCGATTGCAAAATGGAGTAAGTTCTGAGGCTGAGGGCTATGACAATAGCTATTTCACAGAACCCTACAATTCCAAGACCTTCTATCCTCTCAGGGGCGAAATCTTGGATTACAACAAAATGAGTCAGGATGTGTTCACCTTCTCTCCATTCCAAAGATTGCAAATTCATTACTTCTACAAGAATGGGGGTTTTGCTCTCTTGGATGATGCCATTAGGAATTTCAATCTAAATAATCTGGACATCTTATCGCTCTTCCACTATCTCAATTTCTATTTAGATAAGTAGAAATACTTGAATTACTTCCATCATTTGGAGTTCCAGAATCTGGCATTCAAATTAACAGAAGAGGAAATCAAGAATACTAATAGAGACACCATCAAAAAGTTGACTGATGGGATCGAGAACATGTTTGATCAATTTAACAACTCTGCCTAGAAGAAAGAGTTGAGTGCCTTGGCTGAAATGAGTGTGTACTTGCAATGTTTCCGTTGCACAGCCTTGGAGAAGAGAATCTATGGTAACTAATTGTTAAACTAATTTAAGGATTGCAACAGTTTTGCGATAAAATCAATACTGCTCAGTCAAATGAATATATGGGTCAGCAGCAATATGGTACAAATGACGAATGGTATAAGAACGACAACGTACTCAAATATATGGTAGATAATCAAGTATTCTAAGAGTTATTTGGAGAGAAAGCTCACTTTGAATTGATTAAGAGAAGTTTCCCAATCATTCAATTTCTATATTTGCATAACAAACTAAGCAAGGATGACATCTTGAGCATTCTCAGATTAGGAAAGGGCAAACACGAAACTTGGGATAATATGATCTCCAAATTACTCACAGATCTAGCAGAAATCTTATAATTAGAAGATGTAGAAACCATGATTCAAAATATCTAGTAGAGTCAGATAGATTAAAATGGACTCAATTTCATCAAAAGTCTGGGGAGAAACAAATATCTGAGATAGGATCCAGAGAATTAGAATAAAGGAATCGGAAATAATAATGAGAAATTTGGAAAGCCAAATGAGAGAGTAGGTGGAAAGAGGAAGTATTAACAATATGAAACTGACAGTAAAGAAATAGAATCATTTAATTGTTAAATGCAGTATCCAAAAATGGGATAATTTAATGATGAAACTGAAACTAAGGAAATAGAATAATATAAAAATGAAAATATACAGTAATTTGATAATGAGAAAGCTATCAAATTGAAATCCCAAATTGTAGAATTCTTGTTGAACATCGTTCATGAATAACCAAAAAGTGAAATTGGTCAGTCAGCCTTCACAATAGCTATCAATTTGATTTGTCATCAATTCAAAGCACTCAGATAGTAGTATTTATTGCATGGATTCTCAAATTTGATTGCTCAAGAGTAACCATTGCCAGTGTGTAATTACATCACTGTATTATAAAAGATCATTTCATCATCCTATCCTTTGGATGAATTTACTAACTCTAAAGATGTGTTGAAATGGATCTAAGATAAATATGATATTAAATTGAACTTCTTGAGAGTGATGGGAAGAGAAAAGTTGAAATTGCTTAAAAGGGAAAGCAAGGATTACTTATAAACAATTGATCAGTTGGTTAAATTTTATCAATTTCTTCATTAAGATTCGAAAATCACAAAACCTTAACTGATTTTATTGTGGAAATTATTGGTCGAAAATGCAAGATGTGCAGAGGAGAGAGATCTCTTTTTCAATTGGGTAGGAGATGTCAATAAGAAGTTCTTAGATCAAGAAGCCATAGAGTTTTTGTTCATTTCAACAATCAAGTGTGCATCTCTAAGTTAATCAATGTTGTAGTGTTTGACGAATGTGATTCTCTATTTCAATGTTCAATATAAGGTAATGAAGTTGCAGTATGATCAATATACAATTGTGGATGCCGACATTATTGGGTTGTAAGCATTATGGAAGATCTTCAAGCAGCAAGAGAATTTGGGCCCTAAATTATAGGAATTCTTCATAAGACTATTGAGATTCAAACAATCATAGACTATTTTAAATCAATTGAAATAGCAATACTTAGTGCAATTGTTCAATTAAATTAACAACCCCAATTCTCTATCATTCATAATCAAATTATTAGAGGAGTTTGAAGGGTATCAATTGGCTGAATAGGGGGAGAAGGTATTTGTGACCATTGATAATAAATACATGAATGCCATGCCTCCTAAGAGATAGGACATTCAATTGCTGAGTGGATTGTCTGTATTATAAGCCAAACAGATAATTGGATAGAAATTGAACCCTTCTTTGAAACCAGACGAATTCGACATCTTTTGTAGAGGAATTCTATTTGATGACAACAAATCGCTCAAAGATTATAAGGTGAACTAGAAATTGACTTTTGTAATATCAAAGCGAGAACACTTGACAGATGAAGTCACTGCCTATAATAGTACAACCAATTAGATCGCTAATGAATACGTGCCAAATGATTCAGATGAGAGAGTGCAAGAGATTATAAATATAGTGTAAATACAAGACAGAGATTTCATAGTTTCTGTGTTGAAGGAAAAGAATTGGCAAGTAGACAATGCTATTTGCGATATTTTGGATCGTGGAGAACAATTGCTTTAGGAATACTAGTAGAAGAATCCGCAGGTTAAGAAATAATAGAAGCCTGCGATGAAACAATAAATCGATGAGATTTCATTTGCATCATTAATCTCGAATAATTATGTTGATTAGTTATTCATACTACTTAATGAAGGGGATCCTGAGTAGAACACTAAGATTTGGTCTATCTTGCAAATGATTCCCAGGAATAAAGAAGTCTACGAGTTGATTGAGTAATCATAAAAGGATTGGTTTAATCTCTTGATGGTAGACAACAGATACAAATTATAGTATCACTTGTAAATACTAAAGGAACAATTGCAATGCGATTTCATTGAAGATTAAGATGAGTATGAAAAGAGAAAGGCATTAAGAGAGAACTTCCTCCTTTATGGTGGTTTGAAGTTACTGCTATTTCAATTGGAAAACTCGATTGAAATTTTGATCATCATTTTGGATATATTCTAAATTTACTTCTAAGCATACTCAATGAGTAGATTGATGTAGAATTAGAATGAATTCCTTTAACTCTTAAAATTGAAGCAAGCTGTGCAATAGAAGGATGAAGATCCTAAACTAAGTAGTTTATTGAGTATTCAACTATAGAAGTAAGAGAAACCCAACATCTAAGGATTTGATGAAGCCCATCTTCTCTAACAATTGTTCTATAATTGCGAATTAGAAGTAGAGTGGAAAGTACTGTTAGAAACCCTGATCCACAATATTGGAGTTGAATAGATATACACCAACATCCTATGTATCCTATATATGAGACCCGAATTGCTGGAAGTTGAATTGCCCATCAAAAGGTTGGTTGAATTGCTTACTAGTCCAAATGAGGAACAGCGAAAGATGACAGCCTATTTCATCCTAACTCTTCAAGATATTGGTAAGAGAAACGGTGTGAATCTCAGCAATGATATTCTGAAGGCCTTAATTAAGGGAGAAACCTAACACGATGAATTGTATCTGGTGATTGCTGGATTGATTGGGTAGGTGAATGATCTGACCTTCTTTGATACTCATCAATTGGCTTAATAGATTATTTCATTGATTTCAAATAGGGAAATTATTGAGTAGAGATTCACTGAAAATGAGGATAAGCTATTGTAAGGCAATTTGTTACTATTGACTTCTTTGGTGTAGGTTGACAAAAACATCAAGGTGAGCACGGAATTTACAAAATACTTATACAAATGTTTGTTTGATATGAATAATGATTACTACCAATATCCTGTTTATAAAAGAAAACTAACAAGAAAGAGAGTATTCTAATTACTATTGGAATTGTGTACAGATGAGAATCATCTCCAGTTGATATTGCTTCTGATTCAAAACAATCACAAATTGAAGTTTGATGTCAATGAGGTAGAATTGGATTTGGGAGTTAAAGGTTCACATGGTTTCGTAGGATTACGCAATCTGGGAGCTACTTGCTACATTAATTCCCTGCTACAATAATTCTATATGAATGTACCCTTCCGGAAAGGAATCTTAAATGGGCAGATCATGATCACTGAGATGAAGGCTCCTCTCATCTTTGACAAAATCAGTGCGATTGACTCCCCTATTTTGCAACGAAAATTAGCAGATCATACTTTACACCAATTGCAATTATTGTTCATTGAACTCCAAGAATCTGTGAAGTAGTATACCAATCCACATCAATTAATCAAGACTTTGAAGGGATACGACGGGGAAGTCATCAATGTTCTTATTCAATAGGATTGCAATGAATTCTTTAACCTAATTACTGATAAATTAGAACAAGATTAGAAATTCACCAATTAATCCAATTTAATACATTAAATTTTAGGTGGTACCTTAGTAAATGAAATTAAATCACTAGAGCCAGAGTATGATTTTAGGAGGGAAAATGAAGAACCATTCCTGACTGTCTCAGTGGATATCAAAAATAAGAAATGTCTTGAGGAAGCATTAGATTTGTTTGTTAAGGGGGATGTTCTTGATGGCGAGAATAAGTACTTATGTGAAGAGGTCTAGAGAAAGATTGATGTCTAAAAGAGATAATACCTTAAGAAACTACCCAATACATTCATCTTCCATTTAAAGCGATTTGAATTTGATTACAATACAATGTTGAGGATTAAGATCAACGATTACTTTGAATTCCCTCAGGAGATCAATATGTTTAAGTGGACACGCGATCACATTGTAGAGAATTTGGAAGTTGAAGATTAGAGTGATTACATGTACATCCTCAAAGGAGTTTTGGTTCACGTTGGTAGTGCAGAAGGAGGACATTACTATTCATTTATTAGAGATGTCGATAAGTGGTATGAGTTTAATGATAAGGTGATTTGTCCATTTAAGATTGAGAATCTCAAAACTGAATGCTTTGGAGGGGCCAATAACAACCTTTCAGAATGGGGGATGAATAATAGTAAGAATGCATACATCTTATTCTATGAGAAGGTTAAGCATAACATTCCTGAACAACTATACATGAAAGGTCCGAATGAGGAACTCTTGACTCAATAAGTAATTAATGAGAACACTGAATATTTGAAGAATCAGTTATTTTGTACTTAAGATTATTTGAAGTTCATCCAAAATTTTGTGTAGGCCTTGTAGATCAAGACTCCTTATAAAGTGACTCAATTATTATCTAAAGAAAGCAATTTAGGTGAATTGGACAGCCTTCCTTCATTTAGAATAATTAAACTATTCACTTTCTTTACTTATGAAATTTTACTAAGGAACAAAGATCAATAGATGTTTTAATATAACATCTAGTTATTGAGTGACTTGTACAAATAAGAACCAGCTGCCAATTTCTGGTTTTTAGATTTATTACGAAATCACAAGTAATTGATCATTGATTTATTGATTGAATCATCTTATCCAGATGTTAGAAACGCCTTTGCATAATTGATCATCCAATCGATCACCATAATTGTTGAGCATGAACAATACTACTTATTTGAAGACTCATGCATAGCCCGATTCCTTCAGTTCTACATACAATAACTCTTAGGAATAGTGAAGAATACCCTTAGAAGAGGAACAGAGTACTTCTAAGTCATCAAATACATTTTGGTGCACAACCAACATTTGGTGAAACACTTCTATCAACAAGAATACTTCAAATAGGTTTACTCGTTATTATAGGACTAAGTTTCAGCAGTGCAGACGGGTACATCATTTAAGTTGATGTAATTGTAAACGAACAACACTGACTAGCCATTGATGGTGATCTGCGATATTATTGCTAAAGTGATAATGAGTTGCAGGACTTAGAAGATGATTGATTTGAAGGAGGATGCTCCAACCTACTTATTCAAAGGACAGAAGGAAATGGATATTGATTAGTACTGGTTGTAGAGATTGTTGGAGAGTGATGATTTCAAGAAGTACATCTTGGCCATGATTCAATTCCAGTCCAATTTGATTGATATGATCAAACACATTTGTTGGAAGGATGACATCACCAGTTATCATATTATGACTTTGATAGTGTCCCAAATGTTAGACTATTATTCAGATTGGCAATATTTGGATCCACTTTCCTAGACTATCGAATAATTGCTTAAAATGAATGATGGATATGTGGAAATCCGTCTGCAAGCTCTCTTATGTGAACCCTTTAAGATATCATCCACCTCATCCTGTGTTAAGGGCACTTCAATACTGAATGCCATTCGATCACAATATGACATGGACAAGAATTACAGTTTTTGTATGATAGCAATACTTGCGAATTTGGCAACTCAAGTCAACTATGTTGGGGAATACTTCAAGAATAACAGGGATCAATTCGAATACTTGCTTTAGAAGGCTAGAGATCACAAGAACATCATGTATGGATTGTACTTCCCAACCATGAAGATCTAGAGGTCGATTCAATAGGTAATTTGATCATCGTATGTCTTAGTTATCGGCAATATTTGAAGAGGCTGAAAAACCAACAATTCAGATCTGCATTCCAAAGTAAAATTAGACAGTTCAAGAGGAGCCTGAACCTGAAGACTCCGATATTCAGGTGACTCATCTGATCGAGCAAAATAAGACCAATTATACTTAGACTAAAGAGGACTCGATGGACAATAACGATCCATCGGATAGAGAGAATCCAGCTGATCAATTATCAGAATGAATAATAATATATTAATTAAATGGCATCAGCTTTCCCTAAATTACCAGGCTTCGTGCCCACCTAGGAGATCGATGTAACCCTTACTTAATAATATTACTAGAAACCAAACTTCAGGAAGGTCTCATCAAACAAACAGGAACAAAATAGAGAAGTCAATCATTTACCCAATAAAGAATATGCTGTACCTCGTAAATAACCAATTCAAATACCACCATAATCAGGAATGTTCAATCCTGATTATATGAGTACAACTCATGCAATGCATCTTCCCAAAGTAAAATAACAGTTACATCGTAGAATGCCAACAATGATTCTGAGGAATTATACTAACCAAGCTGGGTCAAAATGGATAGACATGTCCTACGATTCAGTGGTTACTTCAAAGAAGCAGTCGTCGAATCTGCACTTGAGAATTATCGTATTCGCAAGATTACAATCTTTTATTATCTTGAAGATCATTCACTGAGTATAACTGAACCAAAATAAGAAAACAGTGGTGTTCCCCAAGGAGCATTCCTTAAAAGATAGAAGGTACTCTCTCCCCATCTAATAATAGGTATTAAGAGCAGATGATTCAAAGACCTTCATACTTCCTGAAGACTTCAGAATCAATCAAGATATCATCATCTTTGGAAAAACCATTCGTCTTTTTGATTGCGATCAATACACCAGAGAGTTCTACTAAGTAATCTCAATCCTTATCTCTAGTTATAAGGAATACCTTAGGAACCCTCCTTTGTGCCTCAATCAGACTCATTTGAAACCAAAACTATGACTAAATTCGTACCTTAAAAAGACACAGTCATGAAAGATTACTTAGAACACAAATTAGGAGGTGGTAAAGTTACTTCTCAAAAGTAATTCTTAGAAAATGACAGAAAGGTTTGATTCTAATTTTATAATCATTAGGTCCTTAAATTCTATGTGTTTTCAGACATCGAATATATTCTTCACTATTATTTGGCTGATGACACCATTGAAATCAAAGAAATCAATTCAGCCAATTCAGGAAGAGTCCCATTCCCTATGATGTTGAGGAGGTAAAAACTGCCCAGGAAATTCTCGCTCAATCAACCCGGATAAACATATGCTGAGGATTTCATTAGACCACAAGATATCTAATATGGATAAGCACTCATTATCTATAATCGCAAATTCCTCATCAAAGGGTGTGATCAATTCACTAGATACTACTATTTTGAAAAATTCAATGTCGATTTCCCTTTAGGAGGTCAAGAAGAGTATGTTCAATAAGAACGATCGAGTATTTTCTATTTATCATTTAGACATTATTATCCCTCCACACAATGGAATTGGAGATGAGTAGGATTCTCTTGGATACATCTACAGATTATAACCCATACCTCCAAAGAAGGATTTCTTCAAATGGGTTGATAACCAAGTCAATCTCAGATTCCTAGCCATGTTCAATACTACCAAACCTGAAGACAAGGACAGAGTTTTTGTAATCACATTCTTTTTAAACGATGATAGTCTGTTGGTATATGAACCTACCGTTAGAAATTCAGGTAATTTAACCCATACTTATTTTAGGTATTCCTGATGGGAAGTTCTTGGAAAAAAGGAAGTATAAGAATGTGAATAATAATAACGAATTCTTTACTCCAGGAGATCTGATTGTAGGGAATGAAGTGTAAATAAATGGATGGAGATTTCAATTGTTGGATTGTGATGAATTCACTAAAAAATGGTATTCTGAGAACTTTAAATGAACATATAAATAAATTCATCCCGTATTTATTATTATATATTCAAACCACCTTGCATTTCATATCTGCCAAATTTCCAATAAAAAACAATACAAATTTCTTATTTTTCTAAAAGAACTATTCAGCACCTGTCTCTCCGCCAAATCCCAACTTTGAACACTTCTTTTTACTGTATTCAATCTTAATGTCTTCATATTGTAATAAACATTATTTATTCTAAATATCTAATGATACTGTAATGTGAGCAGATCTTTTCTCTTTTAACGCTCTTATATGATATGAATATTTACTGTCTCACAGATTCCCCTATGATCTTGCCTTCTGGTTTCTAAACCGAGAAATTGATTCTGCCTGTGTTACTCAATCCGAAATAGGCACTACTATTCTATCTATAGAAGTAGTTGTAATTCATTAATTTAGAATGATGAGCAAATCCAACTTGCAATTATTAATTTTGGCTAGTATCATATTGTTCAACTTAAATAGTAAATTAATATTTATTGGGATAGGAGAATGTATTTTATGATACAATTACTACCTATTGATCTTACGATGTAATTGTTATGATGTTTCCATTTTCGATAGTACTTTTATTACCCTACAGACTGTAGAATTAGATGGATTTCTCTAAGGATAATAATTTGGGTATCTCTTGAAGTGTTTCGAGTATGTCATTTTATATTTGCTATGATAACAACATCAAAATACATTTAAGTCCTTCTTCTACAACTTCAAGCTTTATTACAATAGACATTTATAGATTGTAAATATCTGCTACTTGTTCTATTCTATCTCGGGCTTATTAATCAAGGCATTCAAGTCTTGATTCAATTTCGCTTTGTTGATATTCCCACTTTAATAGAGGTGATACAATTTCACAATTTCTTGGCAATTGGTGACGTTTTTGAGCAGATCGAAAAACTCTATCTCTTTTTATTGAATCTCCTTAGGAGTCAATTGATTATAATAAATCTGCAAGTCTTCTCTAAATAATTTGATATCATGAATACTAAAAGCCGTCAAATTTCAACAATATTTCATTTTAAATGGAAACAAATTCTCTATCTACAACACTCACCAAATCTTATTCACTTCTGAGTTTGGTCACATAATCAATCACTTTAGAGTTTTCCAATTTGATGTTATTCTATACTGTGTCTTATATTAATTACATTTAAAATGTCATCTATAAAAAGACATTGTTCTGGGTGATCGGAATGATCCTCAATCAAACACTAAACACAAGCGACGTGAGATTTGCATGCCGATTCTAGGCAAATCAAATCAATTTATTAATCTTTGTGTTTTGAACAAGTTTGCATTAAAATTAATTATAATATTTTATTTCGATTTTGATCATCCAATCAAATGAATCATTCATTTTTCTATCCAAAAGAAGGTCCAGCTCTTATTTTTTTAATTAAGAATGCCAAAGCTATCAACAATTAAATCACCCCCACAACGATGAAGGCAATCGAAAGAAACAGATTCTTCCCTCCAAAAGGTCCAGATGTGGAAAGCACAATGTTCTTAGCTCCAGCAAACATTTGCGGATTGTAATTGTTTGAGAATTCGAACGTGTATTCTCCCTCCTCAATGTCCTATTCTATGCGTCCCCACAGTTTCCTGAATGTGGGCAGTCCTGCAGTTCTCATCCAGACTATGAAGTGCTCATTCTCTGGGTCAATCCATTGAGTGCTCTCAGAATCAGTTGCTCGCTTGTACTTTTTACCTTTGTCATTGGGCCAACTGATTCCGGTTTAATTCAATTCAATATTCTTGCCCGATAAACTCAAAGCATAAGTATCATTGAAGAAGCTCTTCGCCACCAATCCACAAGGACTTGCAATGTCGTCTGGTTGCCTTTCCTTTGGGACAAGAGTATTCTTTTCTGTGATATACACATTCTATTGCCACTCTTCCAGGTCTTTGTTGTAAATGATGGGATCGCAATACTTCTCTGCATCTGAAAGTGAGATCTCTTCTCCTGACAATTAGGTTGATGATTTGGACTTCACATATCGTCTATGGTTTTGATAAAAGTTCTCAAGCTCGTAATAAAAGTAAATCGGAGCTTTCATGTTATCCAAATTCTGCGTAAAACTGCACCTCTTATTATATTCAACAGGCGAACATTTTTGATCATATTTATAGATCGTTACTTCCTAAATGTTATTATTGATCACTGTTATCACTATTCCCAAAGCCACAAAAATCACACCAATTATTGAAAACAAGGCAATTGTGCTTCCGACTGAAGGTACTGGATGCCATTTCTTAAAGAAAAGCCAATGCAGAAAACCTTTCGAATCACTCATTAATTAATTAAATATCTTTTGATGGCATTGAAATCAGCTGCCATATTTGAAAAGAAGGATCCATTCATCAAAACCCAAGGAGCAGACTTGGTTAAGGAATTAGTTCAGTCTATTTCTTTGAAGTACATTCCAATCTTTGCTGTCCTTTAAAAAACAGTAAAAACAATTGTATCAAAGATTAAGGTGATAATCCAGAACTATGGACAGTTTATCTTGAAAATGGAAATGGAGTAGGCTCTTTTATCATTAGTCTATCTCTAATGGCAGAGTGTGAACTGCTGATGCCACATTCACAATAGTTGATGATGATATGATCGCCATGGCTCAAGGGAAATTGAATCCTCAATAGGTCTTCATGTAAGGAAAGATGAAAATCAAAGGGAACATGGCAGCTGCCACTAAGTTCATACTGAATTTGATAAGTAAAGATGCCAAGTTTTGAGTGAGAATTATTATATAAATATATATATAAAAATAAATAAATGTATGATAGCAGAAACAATTCAGTCCCGAGATCATTGTAATAGTTGCAATACTTGAAATAATTTCATATCATGGATATAACCAATGATAAAGAATAGATTGCAAATTATCTTGACATTTTAAATCAGGAAACAGATGTATATTATCTATTTGATTCTTTTCATTCTCTTTTGAATTCCGTTAAGCAAGCTGAGGAAGCTAAGATAACTAATAAACCCAGACAAAATACAATTGATTGGTGGAAATTAACTAATCAATCCTATAGCTGGGCAGGCTTGAAAAATATCAAAGGGATTTCGAACACCCCTTCCTAGATACGAGTAACTAATGATAGTAGTCATGCGAGATAGATAGGGTAAGTCGAATTGCAGGTTTTCAATGAGAAGGATCTTGAAAGCAAGAAGCAAGATAGAATGCTGCTGAGTGTCTATTAATTGCAGAATAAGTATTACAAATGCCACATGGGATTCTGTTAGCTATAGAAATTGGAAGGGTAAGTCGTCATCATCACGAAATTGTACATCGCCAAATGGTACAGGAAGGTGGGCAATTACTTAGAGTTGATACAAGAATTCATTAAATATATCTTGAGTGTGGTGTCGGCATAAAGAGTGAAGATCAAAATTAATTCTAGTTAAGGATCGCAAATCAAGTATCTCCAATAATTGGGATTCAAATTATCCTAATCTATTCCATTAATAAATGATCTCAAAATATTTACTTTAATTTTAGACAAATAATGATTCACTATTATTATTTAATAATCTATCACCAAATGATAATATTATATATAAATTAAACATATAATGCAACTTCCATAAGTCAAATAAAATGCAACATTTATGAGCACTTTAAATAAAAACAATGAAAAATGCATTATGTCATTAGTGTATCATGGTTATGTTTGTTTCTTGTAAGCTTGTTTTCTGACTTGGCTGAAAAAATCAAACATAGCACTACTAGCCTATTCGGTCTCTTTTTCAGGTTGTCCTTATTATTGTGGTGCGTTGAATGCTTTCTTATTCTACTTTCTTACTTTCTTTGGTGCATCCTGAGTATCGCCCTAATTTCCTTATTCGGCTAATAAAATTAAATGAAACTCGATTACCTTATGCTGCTTGATTCTATGCGGACTGCAATTACTATCTGGATGCTTTGGGTCTACCACCTCCTCTGCGATTGCCCCCTTTTTCTCTTTAAATAACAACAATAGTAGTTTTCTTGTGATAATTGTCTTCGTAATTGATTGGTATCATATTCTTGAAATCCTGATATGATTTGGCATAAATGGAATCTAGTTCTGAAGTGTCTGGTTTGAATCTGAGATTGGCATCAAGAAATTGTTGATCGACTTCTTCATCCTCTTAATCCTAGTCGTATTGATCATATCCACAGACAATTTGATAGTACATGCCTTCTTTGAGATATAGTTTGGGATTGAGATGGAACAATCGAAAACATGGATAGATGCAAAGAAAAATATTGGTCCCAAGAACTTTATTGCACCCTAAACAAGAAGCAGTAGTTTTGGAGAGGATGCTCTTACTCAAACACACTTGGCATCTGGCATTTCCATTGTGTATGGGACAATGATATAATTGATCATTGACTATTCCGACGGTTTAATCAGTTTGACAAGATCTATCTACTTAGAGTGAGCCATCTTTTCTGAGCAAAGGTTTAGGATTCTTATAATCAATGACTTTGTTAATCAGTTGCAGAGCTAGTTCAGTTCTGAATGTCTTAATTTCTTATTTTTTAAGGATTCGAATATTGTGTAAGATGGACTCAATAACAAAGATGAAGATGATCTTAGAATTTGAGTTGATTGAAGTGTTTTCAGGTTCTGATGGTTGGATGGCTATCTTCTCTTCAGTGAATTGCAATTACGATAACTCTTATAAATATTGGCTTCTCATTTGGAGGGACTGTAATGAAACACAAGTGATCCATTGTTGATTCTTATAGCATAAATAAATAGGTTCTTTGTTTTTGGATGAGTAAACTACCTATTGATCTCCAGTTGGTGGATGAGGCAACAATGAATGCTACATGAGATCAGTGCAAACAAATATCTTCTATTAATATAATTGCAAGACTGATTCGGCATTGAGTAATCCCTGACTATAAACAATGTGTCTCCCTAGATGATACGGTTCAAACATCATCCTCAATCGCTTTTGCAAATCTCGATGACTATTCAGATCCAATGCCTTATTAATTGGAGTTGCCCAAAAGAACTGTTACAGAATTATGCCAGATTCCTTATCTATTAATTGATACCATTGAATCTTGGTTGAATAGATGATAGTGTAGAAATTTGATATTAAAAAGAGTTCCTGTCCTGGCAATATCAATTTCTTGAATCGATCATTTAACTCCTATGTAAATTAAGGCAGAAACTCTTATCTGAAGAATGATTGAGCATTGAACTCCAATTTAACTGCTAGTTAAGATTCTGTCTATATTTTTGGTTAGATGATTTCCACTTTCTAATCTATATCATCAAATTGCTGTTGGGTTATTATAGATTTAATACCACCACCTGCAATCCAATCTTCTCCATAGAAATACTCATTAATATCTGGCAGTCTCATGTACCCCATGATTAACTTAGTTCCTAGGTATAACCAGAATTCTGGCTCACTTGTTTGACAAGTTTTCATTAGATCTTTGAATCTGGTTTCGCCAAAAAGGAGTCTGATCATGTCCTGAGGATTGTCTTTGTATTCCAGCATTCTGAATTAACCAGAAAATTTAGGCGGTACCATGTTATTTAATTGACTAAATAAAGTCCAATCTTAATTCTCTATATCTTGTACTATTCCATCATCCTCCTAAACTATCTCTTCCAATAAGGCTTGATGTTTTCTCTATTGCTGATTCAATGGTTTATTTGACACTTGAGCAGGTATAATAGGCTATTACAATAATTAAGTGATTTTTTATTATTTGTCAACCTATTGAGATTAGAAGTTGTCGTTATCTCCCACTTCAATGGGAGTCTGGTTTTCAACAGGCTTTTTTCTGAAGAACGAGGAGGGAGTAGTATCTTCGATCTTTTGCTTTAGAATGCTGATATTAGAAGGTGGTGGAAGTTCATCATCAGAATCAATGACAATAGGATTCTTGGTCTTTTTTTAGGTTGTCAATGGAACTGTAGTGGGGTGGACAGGTTGAGTAAAGGAGAAGAATTCTTTCTATGTTTTTTTCAAGGCAGGTTCCGGCTTTAACATTTGGTCTAGCAGAGAAGATTTGTCTTCTGCAGTCTTGTTTTCAAAAGGCTTTTAGATTTCAGGTTGTATTTCTTCGGAGGATCTTTGGGAGGGCGGAGGCAAGACAACTTCTTACTTTTCAGAATCATTCTAAGAGTTGGCCAAGGGATCATCTTGTTGGGGGGATAGAACATTGTTTTTTTCATTCTTTGCTGTCTTTTTAGGAGTGGTTTTATCATCTTAAATATCATCGTCGATAATAATAGAAGTTTGTCTCTATTTTTTATAAAGTAATTTGCAGTCTGCTTCTTCTTAACTCTTTTTATCTTCATCGTTGCTTTCCAATGCAGCCAATATTACAAGGGAATTGACTTCCTACCTAGGAGGGATGAGCTAATCTTCTTATTATTAGGGTTCTTGATTTGTACTTGGTTATGGATGTTAAAGTTGTGCTTGATTTTGTATTTGATCTTGGGGATCTGTGTTATCTTCTTATATGGGTTATTGTACTATGGGTTCTGTGGTGTTATTGGTTTATGGTAATTGATCATGTGTTTGTATGGGTGGTGGATCGATGCTCACATGTTGGGATGATTGATTTTGGATAATGGGTTATGGGATTTGATTCACTAATTCATAGAGGAATTGAGACTCAAGTTGAGGCTAATTCGAAGTTATTTCTGACATTATGTATAATATAATTGAAAAAGAGTGTGGTTTATTTTGAGCTTATATGAAAATTATTTCCTGGATTTTATTATAATTTGGATGAAGCAATCCTTTTAAATCAAATCTGAAATGTAGATAATTAGTATTATTAATGAAGTCAGCTTTATTTTGAGCTTGCGTTCTTGGGTACGAGTTCAGTTGGCAAGACTTCACTCATAAAACAATATGAAAGAAATGAATTCTCAATGAAATCGATGAGTACGGTGGGAGTGGCATGTATAAAATCAAAGTGTTAATAGTACAAAGAATTTAAGACAGTTATAATAAACAACCAAGATGTGAAGGTGCAACTGTGGGATACTGCAGGATAGGAGAGATTCAGATCACTAACTCAGAATTATTATCGAGGTTGTGATGCAGTTGTTCTATGATGTTACAAACATGAAGAGATTCGATCAAATTAATAGTTGGATTGCAGATTTCGATGAGTATGCTATAATTGCTATAAGAAGTAAATGTGAAAGACCAGCAATTAAAATGTTATTGGGTAATAAAATAGATATGTAAACCAGAGATGTGAGTACTGAATTGGGAAAGGCGTACTCAAAAAGGAAGAATATCATAATTTAAGAGGTTTCAACCAAACAAAAAACACCTATGTTGAAATTGCCATGTTGAAATTAATCGAAATCTTAGTTTCTCATAAGACAATAGAATCTGGAGACAAGAATCAGCGTAGAGGATCCATGTTTGAAACCAAATAAACTGTTTTTGAAGATTCTCTCATCAATAAATCAGCCACTCAAGATAATACGGCTAATGAGCAATAATAGGCTATGATTTCTCTTTAATTTTAAGGAATGAGTATTTCAGAAAGCATTCTTCTAATCAAGGTTGTATGTGTTCTTGCTGATTATTATTTATCTCTGTTAATTAATTACCAAAAAGATTTAAAAATTTATTTTAAATATAATGCCAAAGGGATAGACCACTACAACCCAAAAAGCTTAAAAGGCAGCAAAAAATACCAGAGTTGCCAAAAAAGTTGTCAGAGCCAGAAAACATTTCTAAAATAGATTCCACACTACTAAACCATTAGCATTAGCTAGAAAACCCAAATTTACCAGATTAACAAGACAATTAAAACCAATCACCAAAGGTTTAGATTTCTAAAATGTCCTTAAACATCCACTCATCACTGAAAAAGATATGAAGAAAATGGAAGATGAAAACACCATGGTCTTCTATGTTAATCAAAAATCAACTAAGCCATAAATAAAAAGAGCATTTTCTAAAATTTATGAGGTCAAAGTCAGAAAAGTCAATGTATTCCATCTCTGCTTATCATTAGATCTTAAATACATTCGGTGGAAAGAAGAAGGCATACATTAGATTGGGTGGAGAAAACGATGCACTTAATTTGGCCAACAAAATCGGTATCATCTGAGTGACAATTATATTACACAGTAAAATATATATATATTCAAATTTATCCAAATTATTTTTATCTATTATGAACCATTCCATCAGAAACATTTACACTTTTAGAAAGAAACAAAAAAGCTTCAACAAAACCTTTGCAGCCAAATATATCAAATAACTACTCACCAATACCCAAACACTCTCTACTCCAATCCCTCATTTAAGAATTGAAGAAGAAATCAATGAACACACTAAAATTGAGGATTCCTTAAATATAAAACAATCGGTAGATGATTCCTCATTGCATTCCTCTCATATCATCTAAATTACTCACACCATTAAAAAAAGAGCCAATTTAGATTGTGAAAATTATCGCTTGATCTATCGACTCAACTCTAAATCTTGTGTTGTTCCCTGCAAGGTTTCATTAAGAAAATTTAAAATGAACTAATAAGACTTAAAATTTATGGAGGAATTTGATACTCTAAAATCTCAATTGCAATTTAAATAACCTAATGAAATTGATTTCCTGACTCCCTTCAATGAGTTCTATCAAAGGATAAATGAAATCGTATTGAATAGACTATGAATATGTTATCATTTTATTACTATTGACAACTATTTTAAATATTGCGGCTTTTTTTGAGCAATAACTTTTTATAATAAATTATAATGGCATTTTGGTTGATTAACTTGGAAACAGACATTATGTTAGGTTTCATCCCTTAATACCCAAAACTCTCAATTGTTGTAGCCTTTATCTTTTGGATCATCAACATTCTCACATTAATCGTTTAATAGTCTTACATTATAGATAATGGAGATAAGGGAATATTTTCTTATGAAACTTTAATATCAGTATTAATTGTCTATGGGACTCTCGGACTTAGTTAATATTTAATTGTTCAAGTAAATCTAAGATTTAATGATCATAGAAAAGAATTCGAGATTCTTCTGTTTAAATAACACCAGAAGAATAATTAACACCATAAAAAACTGGATAATTGACTATGAAGTCTCCATTAAGGACTGTTATCACTCAGAATTCACATAGGAAGTAACCTCGACTACTGCCATTAGCTACGAATTTTTAAAAACGTTATTTCAAAGGACTGTTTTTATTTATTACTATATTTGTCATTCATTCCTTATTATTTATCCATCAAACTACATCACTTATTATTTTGAAGGCTGCCTTATCATTGCATATCATATTACTGACTTAATTATTTTCATCCGTACTCATCAATTTCTTTACTATAATCTCAATAGGGAATCTACTAATCAATTTATACTCGATGAATGTTTTCGTAAAGTATTTTGGAAGCAACACTTTTTATTTGGCTTTCATGAATTTTTTGACCAACACTACTGAAATGTATATAGTTTCCTTGAATTTGGCATTGATTATGGCGTCAATAGTTGGATTGCTGTTTGTTAATGATTTAGTTAGTCAAATATTATTTTACTTTTATCTGTCAATCTTTGGAGTGGCATTTCTGATAAAGATATATCAAAAGATAAAGGCAAATGAATACTGATTGATATGATAATATTTAATATATCAAACTTGGATATTGCTAAAATCTACTGATTGGACTAATTATAAGGCCTACTCACTAATGGCTTGTTCGCGTTAGAATTCATTCTTGGTATCAGTGTAGATCTAAACTTCATCGGCATAGAGATCGTTTTCCAATTAAAGTTGTTATTCATATGAAGCTTGATCGGCTGCTCTTTAGTCTCTGAAAGCAGTAACCTAATCAATCTTATCTATTAAGTTCATAACCACGAAATACCTAAAGTTGCAGTCAAATCAACATTCAGAGCATTGATTTGTCTTTGGAATTCAGCATATTCGGCATTCAATTGGTCGACTCTGGCTTCAAATTCTTCCTAATCCTAAACTTCTTGTAGTGATAAATCATTGATGGAATCGACAATAGCATTTCTGAATTCATTCAAACTATTAACAATTTGAGTCAAGACTCCTTGATCAGAGAAGTTTTGATTGGAAGCTAAGGTAATCAAGGCTTTTAAGAAAGGAGCCATTTTGCTTCTGGGTTTGATGTTGGATTCTATCTTTCTGAGTGAATTTTGGAATTTCTTGACCTAAGCCAATGATGGATTGTTGAGAGTTTATAAAAGTGACAAAGCATCATCTACAGCAGCAGTAGCGTCATTTAATTCTGCCACTTATGCTTCATAAGCCTCATGCTCTTATTCTCTTGTCAAATTCTCTTCATCCACCTTTTGTCTGTTCTATTCTTAGTATTCTTCCAGAGTAGCAATTCTTAATTCCAATTATTCCTTTCTTGGGGTTAAAAGATTCTCAATAACATCATCAGATCTGCTAACATCGATTACTGCTTATTATATCTATTGATTGAGTTGAACAAGTAAAGCATTGTGTTCATTAGTTCTGCGTTAGAAATTGAAATCAAGCAACTCAAGTCCATCCTCTAGATCATTGACAAGTTCCTCAATTGCATCCAATAACTCTGAGACTGATCCTCCAGCCATTGAATGTAACTCAACTAAATGAAGTAGGGCTCTTCCATAATTTGTCTTTTGTAATTCAGCTTGCAACTTTTAAGGACTTTAACTCTTTATCTTAGCGCATGTTGCCAAAGAAATGAGTAATATTAAGATAACTATTCTCATTTGTTTTTAATATTATTATTATTTTTATCATATTCCGTTTTTGATTATATATATCTCTGATTATATATCTTCAACAAATATACAACTATTAAAAATCTGCATCTAAAGATCATATTCATCATTCTCAACTCTTAATTTAATTCCCCATACTTACAAATCCTTTGGATTACCCACTTTCTATTTAATAAATAAGTCTCTTTAATTACTTTTTATTTATATTTTTTAATGAATTTAATATTCCCACATTGCATCTTTTAAAAAATTAATTCTATTATCAAATTCTATTAACCCATAGAGACTCTTAATTTCCATTCAGAATTCATTTGGATTAACAGGAAAATTTTATCAAATTTTAAAAATATGACTTCTTTAGTAACATTATTAAAAATAAAAATAAATAATGTAGGAGGATATCGAATAATATGATTATGACGGTGGTTATGACTACCTTACGGATTCATGCTAAATAGAGGATATTCCAAGTTTGGTTCGGACTCCATCAACAAAGTATTAATCTTGCTAATTTAAAGTTAAGAAATTCTGGAATTGAAAGATGTGATGAAGTTTATAGATCAATTAATTGGCAACATGGGAGAGCTACTGAATTTGGATGCCGATAATACATATGAAGTATCAAAATTTTTAATTTAATTTAGATCTTAATGTTTTATAATTGGAACAAGGACCGCATTGAATGTGAATACCACGAGACAATTTTGGAATAATTGAAAAAATAAGGAGTATTTAATAATCATTAAGCAATTTGTTACCCAGACCAAATCTCAATGTGTCCCCTTTGCATGGAAGAAACTCAATTAATTCAGCTAGGGTGTCGACATTAATTTTGCAAAAGCTGCATTCAACAATCAATTGCATAAAGATTTACAAAAGAATAATTTTTAGTTATCCCTTGTTTATAGTATGGTTGTAAATATAAATTACCAATGTCAATGATCAAGAATCTTACTAAGCCTGAAGATTACCTAAAAATAGTTTGTAGAAAATTTATTGAAACAAATAAAGCACTTGCATATTGCCAAGGAGTCGATTGCAAAAAAATTATCAAACCAAAAGATTCATCTTTAACTACTGTCACATGCCCTTGTGGCACTCAATTTTGTTTCAGGTGCAAACATGAATTACATCAGCCAGTCCCCTGCGATATGGCTAAAACTTGGGTTTCTGAAATCACAAAGAATGAAGCAAATATAAAGTGGATTGTTCTTAATACGAAAATCTGTCCCTTTTGTAAAAAACCAGTTTAACGATCTGATGGATGTAATTACCTTATGTGTAAACCCCCAGGAGGTTGTGGAAATGCATTTTGCTATGTCTGTAGTAACCCTTGGGAACCTGATCACAAAGACCATTTTAAGTGCAGCAAATACGTTCCTCCTACTAATGATTTAGAAAAAGAAAAGGAAATCTTAGCTAGATACAACTTTTATTATGAGAGATTCTTGAATTCCAATTCAGCTGTTGAATAAATTTAAGCTAGATTAAAATAATTCAGAGAAAAGCATAATCAAGAAATCTAAGAAACATATGAAGTCACATCTCTTGAATTTGAATTTTTGGAAGAGGCTCTCAAAGAATTAGCCCAATCTAGATAAGTGTTGAAATGGTATTCTTTACATTCTATTATTTAGGACTTCTTGTCTTGGATATTTTATCTCATAGACCAATCCTACTTCATCCAAATTATTTGATAATTATTAAAAGGAATTCGAACATTCTTGTGAGTAACTAGGTATCCTATGCATGCAGCTTTTTAACGAACTAGAGAAATTGCAAAATCTACATACAAGGCAATAAACCACATTGAATCAGAGAAAAAATGATTTTTATGGAAGAAGAGAGCAAATCTTAAAATTATAAAACAAATGCTATAATTTGAGACGTAATTTATTAAAGGCAAGCGAAAATGGAGATATTATGAATTGATCTAATAAAATCTATGCATATATTTAGTATTTTGTTATGATCAAGTTAAATTCTTCAATCTCATATGCCTCATTTCTTAAATTCTAATTGATAGAATTGTTATTTCCTTTGAATTTAAAGAAATACATAATTGCTAAAGTTTCTAAAATTTTAAAATCAATTAAATTGAGAAAAAAATTAATTCAATACTTTAATGCTACCTGTATAAAAATTAATTATTTAATATTATTGAATATATTATAATGTAAGATTATTAAAGTTCCATTTTAATATCCTTATTGAATGTATCCCCTCTGAATTTACTTAAAAAATTGTGAATATCTATTTATTAATTTTAATTACCAAATTATCCACGAATTTAGTATTCAAATTTTGTTATTTATTTCAATTCTTCTAAATGATGTAAAATTTCAAACAGTTTATCATCTCTATTTAAAAGTATGTTGTTCATTAAAAGAAATTAAACTGATCATTTTTTTATTACAAAAGATATTAATGTTAAGGATATTTAATGAAAGCATTCTTAAATATTAACTCTATTTTTGAAATAATTTTAATGAAATGAGTATGTAAATGCAAAAACTAACATTTTATATGATTAATTATATAAAAGTTTATTTAATTAAAAAATTACAGTTTATTCGGATTTAACAAATATGAATTTTTAATGTGGCACTTAAGATGTATTAGTCCCTAACTTTAATTATCAAGATTTGATCTTCTAAAAATATAATCATAAAGAAATTAATTAATTCTCTAGTAAATCTAATCAGCAACCTGGTTTTTGAACATTACGAAGGAAGGACCGATTTTTTTAAATATTATAACCTAAATAATTAATATATCAGTTCTATTCTTCGGATATACCTAAGATGTTGATTATAGTGCATTTGCAAATTATACACTAATGAAAAAAGCAACTTACTCAAAATGAATTAAAGGGTAATAATTAAAAATTACGTAGACAATAGTACTGAAAATTAAATCATCTTCCTTTTTAATTGAACGATAATTATTACTAAAGTTTTTAGGAAATAAAAAAATCTTAATCAAGTATTTATTATATATGATTAGATAACACAGATTAAGATAAATTGTAATGATTGGCCTCGAGGGTTTTATTAATTATAGATATATTATAAAAATCATAATTTTTAAATATTAAATGTTTTTCCTCTACATCTTCAGCATACTGTCGTTAAAGTAAATATTGTTTTTATTATAAGATTTTACATCGGACATTCCTCTTGTGATGTTTTTAATGTAGTAACTTCGCCTGAAAATGAACAAAGATTATTATTCTAAGATCTTACAGATGAAATAACTAAGGACTATTCTTGGGGAGTTTGGACAAAATATATGCCAATATATGAGCCCATTGAAGACTTTGCATAGAAAATTAAACTGATGCATGTACTATCAGAGAGTTTCGATGAACGAAATAATTTAGTTTACTTTATAGTTTTAGATAGGGAGGAGTTGGTTATGTATCATAAATTATTTATCTATACAAATAATTATGTTGAAATAAGAGAATTTTAAGTTAATCAGGATTTAATATAAGATAATTGGGTTTTTTTCTATTTTTGCTATTCGCAAACATCTTAAATATATAGCATATTTTTATATGTCAATGGAAAAAAAGATAATGTACAAATGAATTAAGGAGGGCCATTCTAAATTGAAAATTAAGGACTGAAAATATATAAATTAGGGGGTTTTCAAACAATCCGTTATTAAAATACATAGTTAGAGGAATCTCTAATTTCTTTAAGTCCTTTTTCTGGGGAAATATCTGATATGGACTTAAGAATCGGGACGTCATATTTCTATAATGATATCCCAACCTTTTTGTTAAATATTTATGATGCCAATTGTGTGATTTCGTTGTGTAAGAAAGAAATATTAAATGGTTTGATAATGTAAAAATAATATCTGGGAGACTTTGATAAACTTTAATTAGCTTATATTGATAAGAAATTCATGATTTATGGATGGGTAAAACTAAATGAATTAGAATAGGTAAAAGTATAAATTAATGTATTAGATGTCTACTGTGAAGTCAGTTCTAATGAGAGCCAGTTTAAGAAAGACTTATTTTGATGATCTCTATTAAGGCGATAAGGCTATTTATTGGGAGTATTTGCAAAGCAATTAAAATAATGAATAAAACGGAATTACAGTAACAACTTATCATAATGATCCTACAAAACCACTTTCTTAATACAAAACACTTGACATTGACTCTTGGGTATTGTAAGGGTCATAATATTAATCAGCCATTACATTTTGGCATTGGTTTGTCTATTAAGAAGGTGTGAATGATAATAACAATATTAAGTTATCAATTTATTTTGGTTCAAGTAAAAAGACTTAAATTTATTAAATGAGACAAATTCATTTTGAAAAGTCTTCATTATATTTTACAATAGGAGGTGATAAGTTCAATAAGAATTTTAGAGGAGAAATTCGTAATTTAACATTTTATTATTGTTACACTTAAGATACTCCTAAAACTAAAAGTAAATTATTGTAGTTATTTGTTAGTCTGTCATTATAGTTGTAAAAGCTGTTTTGGACCTGAGGAGACCTAATGTATTGAATGTGACGAGACTGATGCATAGAAAAGAACTTTAAATCAAGGATCTTGTAAATGCTAATCTGGGTATGTTGACAATAAAGAAAAAGGATGCTAACGTAATTAGTTATTTATAGATTATAGCTGTATCATAACTAGTTACAGTTGAGATTCAAGAAGCATAGGATATTGATGATTCAAATTGTAAATTGGGTGAATTCTTAGTTCTACTTTATGAGAAGGCTTATTGTTTAGCCTGTCCAGGGTAGTACACTTCTTCTAGTTTGAATTGTGTTGAGTGCATAGCTGATCCAAAACGTTGGTATTTAAATCCGACTTGCAAAAGCGATTACTTTCAACCATTATAAGATAATACGGATTATGTTTATTTAGAAACTCTGCGTAATGAAATAGATTATTAATACTACTTGATTAATCAATTTAATTTATCAGAAGTACCAAAAGTAGAACTTTGTTCTGGATGTTTAGGTCAGACAACGGGTAATTTCAATTTCATTTAAAATTATTAACTGAACATTTTATCTAGATTTGCATGCAAAACTTGCTATTCTGTTATTAATGGTGAATGTATCAATGTTAATAAGGACTGCATTACTTGTGATACTTCTGCAAATTGTTTGAAATGCTAAACTAATTACACATTATTTGATGGATAATGCTATGAATGTCCTTATTATTGTCCAAATTGTAAAAAGAATAATACCGGTCTATATTGTTTGAGCTGCATATCTGGATATTTTTATAATTCTACTTCTCAATAATGTTAGTAATGTGGTTAATTTTGTTCTGTGTGTATAGAAAATGAGATATTGCCATATTTACAATGTGTTCGATGCATTGATGATAAAAAATATTTTATATCTGCAGACAGATTAATGTGTAGATTGAAAAATTTTGAGCATTGCGAAATTCAAGCAGAAGAATATATATAGAATGATAACCTAAATTTTTCAATTAAAGATCGGAATCTTCCATATGGATCAACACTTGATATTGTGGCGAATTATTCTACTTTGTCTACATTCCCAGTTTGCTTATTGTGTGAAGATCAATATGTCAATAAATTAACTTTATATTCCTCAAATGAATGTGTTCATGCCAGTGATACAAGCAAATTACCAGGTTTGAGAGATGAACTGAAACAACTAGTATTAGATTCTCAGAATCACTCATATTAATTGTCATTTTCAAATTGGGCTAGTTCAACCACCAATTATACTGTAATTTATGGTAAACCAACCAAACTTTTGATTACAAACAATTCTGATTCGTCCTAACAAATCTACTACAATTTTAGTAGTGTTGTGGTTTCAACTAATTTTATTAATGATGATCCTTCCCTTAAATGTAAAGATCCAAATTGTATAGACTGCATCAAAAACTATCTTTGGTCTTCAGAGTTTTGTATAAGATGTCAAAATGGATATTATTCAAGTGCATTCACAGGACTTTGTTACGTATGTTCAGAAGAATGTTAAGAGTGCTTACATTCGCATCAAGTTTATCAAGATTCTTGGAAGTGGCAAATAATCCCATACTATCAATATCGAAGCAATATATTCTTTGGACTTCATTACTATAATTATTATTGTGTCTCTACTGATAATGAAAAGTATGAGCAAGTGTGTACTAAATGCAAAGGAAAAGATGCTTTGCATGATGGAAAATGCTATAAATATTGTAATTGTGATGAATGTATTTTCCAAAATGGTTAGAATAAATGTTTGAGATGCAAAGACTCGAAGACTTACATTGATGGCCAATGTGTGAAATGTCCTAATTATTGCGATGTTTGCAAATAATTAAAAAATTCAGAAATCACTTAAATCAATCCCTACTTCGATCCAATTGATCCTACCTTGTATAGGTATGCCAAGGCATGCTTAAAGAAATAAAGTAATCCACCTGAAAAGGGTTTCATATATCACGATTCTAGTTTAGGATTAGAAGTGAACTGCATAAATGAGGAAAAATAACCATGTTATAAATATGCTGAAAAGACAGTAAATTTGTATTGTAGTTAAGAAAGCTTTGATTTAGATTACGGATTAATTACAAATGATAATGATAAATTATTATTTTTAGATCAAAACATACTTTTGAAATAAATCTTCTCATAAAGCACATAATCTCATTTTTCTATTTAAGAAAATGATTTTTTAATTGAACTATTTAATGAGAAGAGTGTAAAACTTATGAGATACATACTTAAAATGAAACCAAACACAGGAGAATGTAGGATTCAACAGAACACCTTTGTATATTCTAAATTAAGGAAAAATGTATTTATGCTTCAATCCTTGGAATTGGTTTTAGAATCAACACTTGATCTACCAATTTACTTCGGGAACAACGTAACATTTTAATAATTTACTTCAATCACTTTCAAAAACATACTCTTAGATTCTCTTTCAGGGATTTCTAGGATTTATTTTTAAAATAATTAAGATGTTGCATTAACTTTGAATCAGCTTGTTGTATCAAATTGCAATAACCTATAATTGTAATTTATAGTTGAAAATCCTAAATCAATTGTTCTTTAATAAGTGACTTTGAAAAATACGGAACTTATCAATGCCGATGGCTTTATAAATTATTATTTCACAAAACCAAAATTAGATAAATAATTGATTATTACTATCAATAATCTAGTTATTAAAGACTCTAAAATAATTAATTCTCATTTCCTCATTCAAAACTTAGACACGAACTATGGTAATCAAAAGTTAATTATTAATGGTTTTAAGTCTTTAAATAATGAAGTTGCCAATTCCTAAATGATCTATACAGATTTGAAGAATCAAATAAGACAATCTGAAATTGTCGTTTAAGATTTCCTTTCTGATGGAGATAAATTAACAAAATCGAGTTTCTTTGTTTTACATGGTGCCTTAAGTATTTTATTCAACAGAACGACCATTTAAAATGGCAACTATTATCAAGAGGCAATCTTATTCAAGTTGCCTTTGTTTACTATTCAGAATTTTAATATCCTAGATAACTATTTTCACAGTTCTGATAATCGTGTATTAACCAATATCTTGGACTCATTATATGCAGATAATATAAAAGAAAATACCGTCATTATGAATTCTTTGTAATTTTCAGGAAACTTCTATGTAGGAAATAATGTCTTTATGGAATTAATGAGTAGTGATAACTTTATTAATTTGCGTGTAGAAATTGATTAACTAACTCTGGCTTCAAATTAATTTGAATTTTCTGGTAAAATTAGATCCCCTATTATTTCATCGAATTCATCAATTTATCTAGATGTGAGTCAATTGTTATTAAAAAATACAAAGATCGTACGTTCTTATACATTACCTGAATTCTCAATCAATAATGCTGATATGGTCAAAGTAGTTAATTTTTAGGTGACTTCTAATAAGGCATTCCTATTCTAACCTATTCATTCATAATCAAATTGTGTTGGTTCAAACTTAGACTATGGATATGGAAGCATTTTTCAATTTTATAATATTAAGACAATTAATTTCGAATAAGCTGTGTTGTAAAATTTGATATCAATCAACTCTCCCTTCTTCATAATAAAGTCTTTGGAACGGACTAATTTTAGAATTTAAGAATCAATACATATAACTGATCATTTCTATCTCAATAACAGTTTAATTACCACTAGTTAATCTGAATAAATGGGAATCTTAAGTATCATTTCTGAATAGGAGTAGAGTATTAAGATGAATAAAATCACAGCTTAGAATAATATGTTACATTGCTATGAAAATGATCTATTATCTAGATAAACTTCAACAATACTTATAGTGAATCCATACTCTAATGTTATTCTTGGGAACTCTATTTTTTCTGAGAATATTGTCACTGAAAGTTTTGGTTCCAATTTAGTGATTATGAGCAAATCCTTATTGATATAGAATACCCAATTTTCTGACTAGAATGTATTGAAATATTAAAATCTAAAAGACAGATTGGTTTGGGGTTATTCAGCAGATGAACAAATTTACTTTGAAAATTTAAAGAATGAATTCCCAATAAAATCAAAAGGAGGAAATGCATTTTTATCTGCTGAAGAAATCTAACTAGTGAATATCAGTACAAAGAATTCTATGGCACTTCAGGGTGGGGCCTTTTATTTGTTTACAGTCTCAGATGGAGTGGTAAATATCACTAATTCTTCATTCATTCAAAGCTAATCCAACTTGTTAGTTTAAGATAAATCTTAAGGAGGTACTTTATATGTAGATGCATCATAATCAACATTATAATTTTGGTTATCTAATTGTGTAATATCTGGCAGTTAAAGCAGAAGGGAAGGAGGAGTACTATTTATTGAGCCTTCCAGAGATTCAAATTAAATCATTATAGAATCTAATTTTGTAACTGAAATCTATTCTCTCTATCATGCTTTTCTCAAATTGCCAATCTAATTTACTAGCAAGACCCTGATTCTAAATATTTAAATTTCTAATTTGTCTGTGTCTAATTCTGATTCAGGATATTATTAATTTTATGGATAGGTACTTTAATTAACTAAAAATGAAATATAAGATTAAGGAAGAAATTCATTAATCTCAATAGAAGGTGGTAGTATATACATGGAGGATGTTTACTTCTCTAATATCGACTAATTTGGTATCATAAATATATAGAATTCTCAATATGTTTCAATGATTAATGTTGGTATCTAATATATCAAATTGATAAATGATAATTTAATCCTAATTAACTTAAATAAAAGTAAATTATACCTATATATTTTTAGAATATCAATCTTCCATAAAATTTACAAATGTAAAGTTGGAATCTATCAAATAATTTCAGAGCTATACATCGAAACCAACTAGCCCCTCAAGTACTCTAAATGAGTATATCTATAAATGCCTTAAGAATTTGATTGCTCCAAATAAGATTTCAGAGTTTTACAATTCAAAATACTTAGAATTTTACTCAAATAATAATATCTACAATATATTTGCTTCAAATCAAATACCTAAGTTTATAATCGGAATTGATTAGGTGTCCTAGAATCATAAATTGTATTTTTATTTATTGAAGCTAAATTCAATTTTATGTTAAAATTGCAGTGAAGGAGTCTTCAAAATTACTAATATAGATGGAGCTCAAAATCAAACTCTGATTTAATTCAAATCAATAAGTGTATCTGATAATTTGTGTGGAGAATTGGGCTGCCTATTTTTAAGTAGATCAGATAAAAGTCAATTGAACTTATTTTCTTCAAATAACAACCATAGATAATTAGCAGATGCTTCCTAATTAAGTGAATTAATGGTTTTGGACATTAAAATAGAAGACAGCAAATTTGATAATAATTAAGGCTTGTTCGGAGGAGCTATGTTGATATCAGGAGTGAGTACAAATATCAATAATTGTTAATTTACAAATAATTATGCTAATAACACTGGAGGAAGTATATACTTTGATTACAAAACGAATTCAGAATTATTAATATTTAATTCTTTATTTGCAGACAATACAGCAAACATTGGTGGAGCAGTGTTTTTGGGAAATTATTCAATAAACTCACCATCCGTTTAGAATAATGCATTTTTCAACAATAAAGCATTCCTTTTCGGCGAAAATCAAGCCGATCAACCAGTTAGACTAGCACTATAAATTGGAGAGAAAGTTTTAGAAACTACTAATGTTATTTCTGATAAAAATAATATCACAGATATTGTGAAAATCGATTCATACTAAATTGGAAAGAATAATTATGAATATATTATGATTCCAAGTGGATAAAAAATAATTGAATATTAAATTTTTGACGAAACACAATAATAGTTTATTCCTTATAATTTTACTTTCAGAATTCTTGCAATTAATAAGGAAAATGGGCCAGTAAAGGTATTGGATGGCAGCAAATGTACTATACAAGGAAGAGAAGTTTTAAATGAAATATATGGAGAATTTTACTCAAATTATACAAACCTTCCAGAAATATCCTTTAATTCAACCAGCCAAGATTATAATTTAGATTCGATGATTGTAACATTTTAACCTGATCTAAATACCTTTGGTTTTCTTTAGTTAGAAATTATGTGTAATTCTGTAAAAATACCTCAGTTTTCTAAAGATCCACCATATAAATTTTAGAATTTTTTTACAAATTACAGATTACGGATAAATATATAAACGTTTTAATGCTAAAGAGGAGAATATAAGACGGATGATGGAAAATGCAAGTTATGTGATTCTTCGTCAGATTAATATACTGTAATTGCTGGTGAAAGATGTCAGATCAAAGATTAAATTAAAATGGAATAGGTAAGTCCAGCAAGAATTATGCTGAGGCCAGAATATTGGAGACCATCGGAAAGTAATGAAAAAATCGAATATTGTTTGAATTAGCCTGAAAATTGCGTTGGAGGTTGGGATCCTGGAGATGGTCTCTGTGATCTAGCTCATATAGGAGCACTTTGTGAATAATGCGATATTTATAATATACGAGGTTAAGGATCCTTCTCAGTTAGCACATAATATAAATGTGGAAGTTGCTCTAATATTGGAGACAACACAATAAAGATTGTATTAATTAGTGTCTGGACCATGATTTCTATATTCTTATCTGTTAAAGGGACAATCTAAGGAGTAGAAAAAATGGTAGCACAGAGTAAATTGTTAAAATTGAAATAACTCCAATTTGATTAAAAAGCAGGACATGGAGGAGTTTTAATTAAAGTTTTAACAAATTACCTCTAGATTATAGGAGCTGTAGCCTTGTTTCAACTCAAATTACCAAGTGCTTTACAATCTACAGTAAGATCTGTAGGTAATCCTGTTGAGGCTATGAGCTATTCTTTGGATTGCTTTTTAGCTAATATTACAGATATCAATATCATATATTTTAGAATGGTCTGGGCTTTGATAATGCCCATCCTTTATATTTTTACCTTTCTCTTGATATATATTTTAGCTGTGCTATTGAATATGACTTAATCAAATAGAAGTGCAATAACTACAACGGCGATTTACTTATTCACCTACTTACAGCCCACACTACTAGGTGGTTTCATTTCCTTATTATCTTTTCGTAATATATCTGGAATTTATTGGGTCCAGGGTAATGTAGCCTATAAATATATCACTCAATAGCACATTAAGTGGGTTACAGGATTTGTTCTCCCATCTTCTTTGATCTTGGGATTGTTCATTCCATTATATATGTTTTTGGGATTGTATAGATAAAGATTTAAATTAGAGGATGAAAATACTAGAAAGAATTGGGGCTATTTATATAATGAATATCAGCATAATGCTTATTTTTGGGAGATAATCAAGATCTTTTAGAAAGGATTTATGATCGTTTTTTTAACATTTTATGAAGATTAAATTATCATCAAAGGAGCTTTGATATTTATGATAGTGTTTATTTATTAGATCTTTACGAAGAAATTTAAACCATATAAATTACGATAATTGAATCTCTTGGACGAAGCTTTGACTTTGGTTTGTGGTGCATCCATTGTTATGGGAATGACTATCTATTAGGCTAATACATCAGACAACCAAGAGATTATATGGCCATTTTATATATTATTAATTGCAATAAATGGAATCTTTATTTTTATTCTTATTTGGGAAATCTTATGGGCTCAATTAGAGGATCATCAAGACAATTTGGATAAAATTAGGGATAAAATCAATGAGAAATTCCCTGGTTTAAAAAAGAAGAATGTATTTTTTTACAGACTTTTAACTAATAGAGCTCAACAATAATTAAAAATAAAGAAAAGATTCTAAAAGATCAAAGCCTATTTGTTTAACATTGTTCGTCAATATCCTGGATTTTATAATTAACCAATTCAAGTATCTTAATTTAAAGGGGAAGAAAAATTATCATCATAATCAGATGCGATGCTTTATAATGACTTTCCTGGATATCCGAAAACATTCAACAAAATATATCCAGCCATGCCTTAAAGTTATCACAGTTAAACATCCCTTAAATAAAGCGAGGATTTCTAATAGAAGGACCATTGAAAATAAATAAATAAATATATAATTCATAAAAATAAAGTTTCATTGTTTGTTATATAATAGGGTACAATCTATGCAATTCTTTGGAGCCATGCATGATTGTACGCCTGTTGTGCAGTGAATCGATCACGAGAAAGTCGTTTCATAAGATTCTCAATAAAATCTTTTAATTCTCTTGATGCCGTAAATGGAATCATGAAGCAAGCCTAAGATACAAATAGACAGATTACTGTTTTCATTAATTCTTATTAATTCTCTTTCCAAGGTGGTTTACCGAAGCATAATTCATAAGTCAAAACACCCAATCCCCAAATATCACTTTTCTTATCGTAGGTTTCGCCTTCTAAAATTTGGGGAGAAGCATATATGATGGTTCCACATTGGGTTTGTCTTTCTTCGTCTGGAGAATACACACAAAATGAGAAATCTGCTAGCTTAACCTATCCAAAACTTAGAAGGATATTATCAGGTTTGATGTCTCGATGAATTACATCTTGATTGTGTATGTACATCAATGCAAAAGTAATCTGTTATACATACTATGCTGCTACTCTCTCTTAAAACTTTTTCATGGGTTACATTTGTTAAAGAGTATTCAACTGTCCATGCGAACAATATTCTAAGACCAACACGATTTCAGTAGCTACAATATTGTAAGATGATTTACGAGTCTAGAAGAAGGTGTACAACTTAGTTATATTAGGATGTTCGAGAAGGTATTGTATTTTGATTTCCCAGGCTAATTAAGCTTGCATATTCTCTTTAATAATTTAAGATTTTTGGATCACTTTCAAGGCAACCAAAAATCCTGTTTATGTATGTTTTGCAACAAACACCTCGCTGTATTGTCCATCTCCTAGTTTTTTGATGATGGTAAAGTTCTTATATTTTTATTTTTGGTTTTCTGGTTTTTTCATTGGAGAACTTGCTTAACTAATAGGAGTAGAAACTTATTTCTTATTGTTTAATAAACTGTATACTTTTGTATATTGTTCTCGTACATCGGACATCAAGGGAATGAGAGGGATTATAGGAGGGATATCTGATTAAAAGGATAATGATTCCACTTTTTTCGGAAATAAGTATTCCTATTTCGATTTCAATGTAGGTTAAATGACCAAGGATTTCTGTGGAAGGATTAACGGGGAATTGCCTATGCTTTTTAAATCTGTATCAGTTTTAATTGAGTTGGTTTAGTATGTTTGATACTTAGGTTATTGGTCTTATTGAACAGATCCATAATTGGTCCTCGATTTTGACAGCACCTAATCTACATATGACATAATATTGGGGTTATGCACTGAGGAATTGGGTAATCGCTAATATGGTCTATATGGCTGATAAGGATAATTCATTTAATTTAATTACACATCTAATATATTAAGAAAATATATATAAGTCATAATAGCTTTATTCTTAATATATCACATTTGTTATAGAATATTGGCTAATTTTAAATGTCACTCCTTATTTACAGTATAATTATAGTATTATAGAATAAGATGATCTTAAATGGGAACTTATTAGCTAAAGAAGCCACCTCTAGAACTTTCTAGTTTATCAATTACCACACCTCAAGTATTCACTCTTAAAATTAAAGAAAACTCTGCTTTAATGAGACCTGGCTTAGCCATAATCTAGGTTGGAAACAATCCATCGTCCTTAACATACGTTCGTAAGAAGATAGCTCTCTGCGAAGAACATTAAATACATCATGAACTCTATCATTTTCCTGAGACCATCTCCCAAAAAGAAATCGTTCATCGAATAAAATCTTTAAATTAGAAAGGATCAATAGATGGAATTCTTGTCCAAGTACTTTCTCTAATTATCAAAAGCTTCCATTACCCCCTCATTTATCTAGGTTGGAAATCTCCAATGAAATAAAACTAAATAAAGACATAGATTGCTTACACATGGCCAATTTTCAAAATCTTCTCCAAAATGGTGAAGATAATGACATAATACCATGTACACCTGCTGCCGTGCTTCATATATTGGATACCTAGAATATAGATGTGAGAAACCAGAATGTTACTGTGATTGGTCGAAGTCAATTAGTTGGATTTCCATTATCTGTACTGCTACTTAAAAGAAATGCCAGAGTTACTATCTGTCATTCTGAAACAACAGTTTAAGAACATGTAGAGAAAGTATATATATTAATAAACCATTCCTTAGGCTGATATAGTGATATCATGTGCAGGTCATAAAGAATTGGTCAAAGGAGAATGGATCAAAAATGGGGCCAAGGTTATTGATGTTGGAATTACAAGGATCCCTGGAACCAATTAGATTGTTGGTGATATTGAATTCTAAAAAGTTTTCATATCTCTCAATTCTAGGCTCTTCCTAGAGTCAGTTTCATCACTCCCGTTCCTGGAGGAGTAGGCCCTTTGACTGTTTCCATGTTATTTAGAAATCTTTACAGAGTTTGGTGTAGATCCAATGGATTGAAGGCCAATGTAGACGAATAGGAAGATGAATTAGACTATGCCTAAAACTACTAATTCTGAATTACCTTATAATTTAATCACTTTAAAATAAATATTCCAAATTAATATAAATTACCTTTACAATTAATAGCATTGAATTAAAGAAAATGTTTAATATTTTAAATAGCTGAAATTTTAATTTAATCTATTAAACAGCGATATAAATGATAATAATTTTTTGGTTATTTAGAAAGTTAATTGCTTAAAATTTTCTTTAATATTGCATTTCCTATTTTTTCTAATGACAAAAAAGAAGGAGCCAGAAAATAAGGTTTTAGAATTTCCTTAATTTTCAATTTAAATAATTATAAATAGTTAAGAAAGAGATAATAATAATCTTAAGGCATCTACTAGCATAAAGAAGGTAGCTTTAAATAGGATTGATAAATTATTAATAATGATTTATTGTATTAACTCATGCTTTAGCAATTCTTCCATTTAAGAAATCTAAGAATGGTGGAGTTTGGACCACTTACAATGCCTTAGCTAAGACTGCTAATTCTTATTAGACAGATGACTAATGATATATAAGAATATAGATTTACCACAATATCATCATGAATTTTAAGATTGGCAGAATAATTATTATTTTCAGTTCTTAATCTATCTTAATAAGCTTTAAGATCAGCTTGTCTAGTTGAGATCAAAGTTTCAACATCAGAAATTCTAACTGTTTTATCTTCTCTTTCTTAATAGAAATCAGCATATTATTAATCAAATACTGCTTTTTCAGCTGTCAATTATGATCTTCTTAATTCATCTTATTATTTTTAACTGTCTTCATCTTTATAAGCTTTAGTCAAGGCATCAAAGATATTCAATCTTAAACTATTCAAGAAATCACACATTTCTTTTAATACTTATCTATCTTTGAAGTTGATTCCTTCTGTTAAATTAGTTAATGCTTAGATGAATGATGAATATTGATGTCCAAAATTCTCAGTATTAGCTTTGACTTATCTTAAAGCTTTGTTGACTTTGTGTTTCTATTCATCAGATACTTCAATGAAAGCAGCTCTAACTTCTCCACTTTTGAATAGATCAGTTAATAAATCTAATGCTTCATCTATATTTCTTAAAGCATCAGTAAATTCTGTTGTGGTCAATACAAATGAATCATGTTATGTATTTCTAGCTGCTTCAGCTTCTTTGAATGATTAAGTGTTGTCTGTTTATTTGGCTTTGAGTCCTAATAAGATCTATAATATGATAGTGATTATAATATACATCATCTAATTCATGCAATCTTGGAATCAATTCTGAATTCAATACTTTCTTTTCTCTATTGATATCAAATTCAGCTTGATTGGCTTATGAACTGAGTGAAATAACTTTAGCATTATGTTCACTTTCAACAACTTCCCATTGTGTATTTTCCAAATTCAATCTCTCTTCAATTTGACGACCAAAGGCTTTGACTCCCTCTACTAATGAATCTACAGCTCCAGTAACTCTCATTGTAACTTCAGCTAAATCAATAACCATATGTCCAATCTTTGATTATGTTAATTCATCTATTGAAGATTACACACCTGGATTAACATACGAATCCATCACACCTTAATTACTATTTAAGTTAACCAATCTATAACTTACTTCGTAACTGTTGTTCCTGAAACTAAGAATAGTAACATCACTGCGCTATATAATCTTTTCATTTAATTCGTTTTTGTAATTAATGATAATAATAAATTGTCATTAAAAAAACTTCTTCTTTATTTCAAATAGCTACTAGCAAATTGGATCTAAATCATTTTAGTTTAATATTTTGAATTGAATTATGGGTAGCACTTCTAATTCTCAATTAACTGAATTAAGAGATGAGAATGCATTTATTGGCCCTAAAGAAGTTCATTTGAAAAGAGATTACTAATCTGAAAATTCTTAAACAGGAGTGGCCTTTTATATATAATTTAGAATTGAATCTTATAAAAACTTTAAATTCCAGGTAAGTAGTATCCCCTTGTTAGCATAAATATTAACTTGTAATTTTTCAAAATAGATACAATAAAGTCAATACAATAATCTGAAAATAAATTCTTATTTTAAAATCCTTTAAAGAACACCACTTTATCAATTATTCACATAACAAATAATATTATTGATTTGAGATTTGGGAGTAATTATTTTATCTTTAATTTTGATTTATTTATTTTAAGTTCGATTAGCACCTCACATCATTATTTAATTTTATTTATGTCATCTGATTGATAGATTCTCCATATATAAATGCAGTAAATTAGTAATATATATGATTGCAAAGTCTATTACCATTATAAGTCAACTCTTACCATCACATTTCTATAGAAAAGCAGAATAGATTTTCAGTATCTTCAAATTTTTAAATCAACTTACTATAATCAGACTGATAATTTATAAATTTATAATTCAATACATCCACATTTTTCTGGCAAATCATAATTTAGAAAAATGATATCCTCATCCGATAAGCATATCAACAAAAATAACATAATAGCTCATCATTTTTAGGCTCATGATCACAAGCCGCTATGTTTAACACTTAACTATCTCCTCAGGATTCAAATATTAAGAAATAATGGAATAATTTACAATTTACAATATTTTGATTCCCATATTCACGAGTAATTTGGATAGATTAGGACAGCAGTAAATTATCATAGATTATTTTATATAATCAAAAATAAGAGTTTTAACAAATTATAATTAAGTATTAATAATAATATAATATTTTTTATATAATAAATAGTTTATCCATCATCACTCATGTTTAATAACGTATAATCATCGTGTTGATTCTATTTTCAAATCCTAGCATATGATAATTATGAATACAACCATTAATTTATTCGGCTTTATGGATTAATTTAGACAGTATAAACTCACATGCTTCAAGAATGGTTTCATCATTCGTATCTAATATCAAATATATCTAATAAAAAAAATCTTCCTTATGGTAGTCTTTTGAAAATGATTAGTACAACTAATTCAACATAAATTACTAAACTACTATTTGAAAATATGAATAAATTTAAGTATGATCTGTGATTGTTTTATAGCAACCTCAAGAGTATATTGAATGAAAATTTGATGTTAACAGTGCTTCATTATGGATATCTAGTTAATTTATATGTGGATTTTACCTAAATTAGTTTAGAAGTAAAAAATTCCCTTTCAAAGATCCTAAAGAATATATTCTCATATAGATTTTGAAAAGTATTTACCATCTCAGATTTAGAGAACCTTATTCAATAGTTATTTATATTTATTGGGAAGATCAAGTCAAAATTTTAATTTGATTCACAAATATTATAATACATATTGTTATTAAGTATCTGAAAGATATTGTCTAAATTTGGGAAGGTAATGTTAAATAAGTATTTATAGAAGGAATAATATAATATTATCAATTAAATATTAAATACTTATATCATTTCCTAATTACAATTCAAAACTAGGAGAAGGAATAATACAGAATAAGGTCTTATAGTAACAACTATTATAAGAAGCAAGGTCCAAAAGGCATTCAAAAGTTGAGATCTGATCTTTTGTCTAGTAATTTGAGTCACCATAAACAAAAAAGGTTTTAGTAGTGAATGAGAGCATTAATTAGTATTAGAAAAACTAATTTATGCATTTTTTGATGATTCTCCATTCTATGTGGAGAGATATCATATGAATTAATGATTCTACAATGGTTTAGGAAGAGAAATTAGATCAAAGGAAAATTAATTAGATTTTAAAAGTGTATTTATTGAAATATATATTATGATTTAGAGTCAAGCTTACTTTTTATGAGGGAGAATGACTTTTTATTGATTTTAAACCATAACTTTTTTTGTAAAGATTGAGAGTTCATCCAAGCTTTTTTTAGAGATTCCATCAATAGATTATTTGGCAATCCTTCCTTTGGATATTCGTTCACAGCTCCTTTATTCTTCAATAGTTGTTGTGTTGAGTGACTTTCTAACTAGAATCTTCTTGATAAGTCTGTCAATGTTTTGATTATTATTATCAATCTCTTCTATTATAGTGAGACAAATCTTAGCAGATAATCGATTTGATGGGTCGATTTCAAGCATATAAGGCAATAAGATAAAGAGCTGGTCCATCTTCATCGAGTTGACTTCAGGATGCGAAGGTTGCTTCTTCAATTCGTAATACCCATCTTTGTTGATTTGATATACGGTTTATTTGGCTGATTTTGTATTAAACAGATTTTCTCCCGTTAATCTAAGTTTATATTGAATTTATTTATTACAATTTGTAGAGCAGACATCCAAGACTATAGATGTCAGCTTTCTCATCATATTGTTTGTCTTTATTGTAATTGATAATCTCTGGAGCCATGTAGCCAGGAGTGCCTGAAGTGGGAAAGTTCAATTGGTTTTTGATTTTCCTTGCTAGGCCAAAGTCAATCAACTTGACTGTTTCTGCCTTCATGATATTGAGTGGATTGATGTCTCTATGCATTACTCCCTTATCATGGATATATGAAACTGCATCCAAAAGTTCCTAGAAATTAATTATAATAAGTGTTACTTTCATGATTTTGATGGTTTCTGCTATGGATAATCCATACTGTCTACTTGAGAGTTCTGAATACAGGGTTCTGCCGTTGATGTATTCCATAATGATGTAATAATATTAATTGTCAGCGTAGGTTTCTTTGAGTTTGACTATGTTAGGATGGGATAGGGAAGATAAAAGAGAGAGTTCGTGAACTAATTAAGGCTAATAATATAATAATGATTAAAATTCTTACTATTCCACCTTCATGTTGGGCAATTTTCAATTTATCGATCTTTTTGATGGCATAATATAAATTGGCATTGTCTGCGGCAACACATCTGTAGACAGATCCTGTCATGCCACTTCCCATTTCCATTTGAAATTGATAAAAAGAAAGAATTGGCTGGTAAAATATTTTTCCAGCAATCATTTCTTTTAACAAGTTGAGTTTTGGCCCATAAACTATCTTGAAACCATTGTTATATGTAAATTCGAAACCCACAATGCGTTTTTCCTCTAGAATCCATTTAATTGTTGTAGTGAGATTCATCTTGAGATTATACTTGGGTTATTTCATGATATCCTAATCAATCTTGAACTACTTCATACATCAGTCATAACAAGTTCATCAGAGAACAAATACAAAGAATAGTTTTTATCTTTGAAGAAATGTTTTCTTGTGACTTGGACAGTGAAAAGTGCATTCTCATAGGGTAACATTATTATATTTAATTCATAAGAAATCATTCATTTTTTGAGATTTATTCAAAATTTATAATCTCTCTTCTAAAGAAATACCAACTGCAACCTTTAAACCATTACTAACTCCTGTTTGTTAATCGACTACACAGAAATTTACAATCATCAAAATTTTTAACCTGATTTTTTACACATTTGACAATTCTCTCCAACAAATGACTCTCTGAGGTCTTTTCATTAGGAAGATAGATCACTAAGAAATGGATTATCCATATCTAAATCAGTCTTTCTTGTTCTATCTAAGATAGAATGTTATACAACTCCAATTTTAACTATCCTAAATTAAGCATCATAATTTCCTGAAAACTCTCCTAATTTTCTTCATTCATTTTACTTTCGTAATATCCCGTATACATTTCATACTCATCCTTGATGTCATACAATTTCATCCAAGCATTAAATGTGTCTGTAATGTGATTTAAACATTTCAGTGCCTTGATAATATGCATTTCCCCCAAACACTGTCTAACATATTGCTCATAATTATTCTCTTCCTTAATCCAATAAAAACGATAGATAAATCTTTCATCAATATTGACTTGATTAGTCTAATATAATTACGGCTTATCCACCATATATTAGTCAATTATCTTAAAAATATCCTGGCGATCTTATTTTTCATGTTACTGCAATCCTATATGATTACATTCTACATCTTAAGAGAACTAATAATTCAAAAAATCACACAAATAATCAGTTAGCCCTCCCTAATCAAATTTCAAAAATTCAAATTCTTCCAATCCTTTGGTCTTATTAATTTTCTATCTCTTTGAAATCAATCTCTTATCCCAAGATACAAAATAAGTATTGGTGCAAAATGGAGTGCTGTTTTATTATTTATTTGAAAATATGATACAATTTATGTATTCATCATATGCAGTCTTATTTTTAAGTCTTCCTATAACCTCCAATCTCGATAATCCAATAACGTTTAACGTCTTTTGTCTATCCTAATTACAATCCTCTACAACTATCAACTTCCCTTCCAAATATTAGACTTGATCATTCGGCTTTCTTATACATATCACTTCTAATCGTAAATTTAATATAAATTCATTACCTCCCTCATTTAAAATTCCATATTAATCAACCACTCCGAACAGTCTCTCTGCCTTTTCGACTAAAATATTATACTTTTATTTTAATTATTGTATCTCTAATAATTTCAACTTCTCATACACTTTTTAAATAAACAAGCAATTTTTTTCATTCAAATAGTTTCTCTTCATCACATTGATTTATTCTATTATTGGGCTTAGTCCACATAGTTCACTTTTTAAGTCCAAAGAAACACTTCGTACGATAAATGCCTTTGAAATTTATCCTAAATGCCCTAAAGAATTATTTTAGTTTCAAATTTTACAATTCAGTAATTAAATAAAGACATCTTCCTTAACACCCATCTAATAAAAAAGTCTAATTAATCCTCTATTCAAAAATGCTCCTCTATACTTATTATAATCTATTATTGTGATTTAATCATTAAAACTTGAAAATATCTTGTATTGCGAATTTAATTAGATAATGTTATCTTTTAAATTGTTATTCAATTACAAAATATATTAAACCCCATTAAATACAACCTTAACAACTGAAATCTCCTAATTCATGAATATCTCCCTTATTTTGTCTATCAAATTTCTGGATATCTAGCCAAACTGACTAAAATTATTCTCATTGATTTAATTTCTTATAACAACGATAATAAGTTATTTGAATTCTGTTGTTAGGCCATCAATAAAGAAATTCCGAAACCTAGATTTGACTTCTGCCTTCTATTATAAAGTCGAATTCTATTTGAAATTGGCCAAAATATAGTTATCTAATTCCTTATTTGAGACTTTATTCATCCATATGATATTTGATCTCAATTCTTTATTGTTCCACCCTAAAAATTTCCACTATTCAGAACAAATAGTAAAACCCTCAGTTAATTGGAGTTTAAAGAATTCTCCAAAATTCGATCTATTTTTCTTAATCAATTTTCCATTGTCATCTCTTAGGCTTAATTTGACAAAATTTTGATTTTGAAATACTGTAGTTAGTAATTTGGGTTTTTCTGGTTTACTTATCATAGGGATGTAGCCTGATGGAGTCAATCTAGCTTGTTTTAATAGAATAGGTCTCTAGAGGCATGCATTTTATTGTACCTAGCAGCTAAGTTCTTTAAGTTCTTTTTGAAAAATAAAGAGATTCCTATTATTTTGATCAGAAATTCGAATTGAACTTGACAAATTTTAACTCAATCTCATAAATGATTGGAAAACAGAATCAAGAATGTAATCCGAATTTTATTATTACTTGCACATTAAAATTAACAATGTTTTCAAATGATGACAATCTATAATACGATTTTATGAGAGAATGCAAATGAAATTATATTTTTATTCAAAACTAAGATTACTCTTATCTAGTTGTTATTATAAAGTATCAAATTTGGAATTTCTTTCTGTTTATTTAAAAATATTGAGCTAAATTTTGCTATCATAAAGTATCATCTTCTATTTTAGTCTTAATTATAATTAATTAAGTAGCCTTACTTCATTACATGATTTATAATTATTAAACTAAATTTCGATAATTGTGTTATTCAAGATTACAAACTTTTCTAATATATTTTGATACTTTTGAAAATAAGTATTCAAATAGATGTTTTCAATTCTTGTCCATTAAGTCTAAGTATCAAGAAAATCAATTTTAGTTTTATCAAATAAAGCAGCACTACAAATTGGTGGATGATTTAATTTGAAATACAAATGAGTTTGATAAGCATTATTGACAATATGACAATATTCACAATTATTCAACTAAATTTCTATTTTCAATTTAAGTTTCGCTACTATATTGATAATTATGATTATGCTTTCTTCCTGTTATGTTTGCTTATTATTATAAATTAAATAAGTCTCTAATTATAATTTACCTAAATCTTAATACTAAAAATAAGGAGAAAGATATAATTATATTGGTTTTGTTTTGGGGATATCTAATTTCATTTGAATTAGATCCTCTGCAGTAATGTAAAGGAAGTTTAGATCTGTCACTTTGATGCACCTATTAAATTCATATTGTGACTCAGAAATGAATTCTTGATGTTCTTAATGTTCATTCAGAATTGGAATGAAATCTGAATGTTCTTAATGCTCAGTCAGAATTTCTGCTTATTGAAAATTGATTGTAACTGGCTGCGAATCAGGTTATATGTTGAAGGAATAAAATTTAAGATTCATAAAGCATTCTTTTGTTAATTTAAAAGTTATTAATACTGAATTATTTTATTTCTAATCTGCTTCTTTTTGATAAATTGCTATACTATTAAACTCTTGAACAGATTGACAAGTTATTAATCGAGAAAGTGTTTAAATTAAATTATCCAGTTCTCTCGTATCAATTTCATTACCATAGCAAATATTGTACTCTAAATCAGTTTAAGAATCCGGACTTATAAAGGCATAGTTAATTTCTGATTATTTGATTATCGAATCGCTTGTCTTATCTATATAGTCGTTAAGTAATGTTTCCAAAAAAGACACCTATGTATAATTATTGTAATTTGCATCTCCTTAAATTTATGCATTATTTTGGATGTTCTCTTCAAATTTAAATTCTACTTATTAGATCTAAATTTTTAATAGGTGTACATATATTTGATGATCAGGTAAAATTTCATTTAAAGCCAACTTAACTTTATCATAGATAATTGTAGCAGTAGTTGACAACACTTGCTTATTTGTGATATTTTAGAGGCGGCATCTTACATAGTAGTCATTCTCGCTAGAAGGAGGGTGTTCCTTAAGATAAGAAAATTGAAATTACAAGAAAAGTAAATTGATTCTATTTCATATATAATTATATGAAATTTTTAAATAAATTATTATCGTTAAATATATTAGAGAAATTAATATCTAGATTACTATTCTATTTATTATCTATTTGAAAACTAAGAAAATAATTTATATGTTATGTATCAAATTGAATTAAAAAATAGAAAACAATTAAAAAAAAGATAGATGTCAGAGATTTATAAGGTTTTATTCTAATGAATTTATTAAAATCCTAAATTATAAATTCTAGATATTTCAAAATGAAATCCTTACCCAAAAACTCTCACAATTTGTTAAAAAATAAGATCTAAAACCTAGATTGGCATCCATACCTTTCATGAAAAGTGTACTTAAATAATTTTAGTTAATACCATTTTTACACATTTCTAAATTGAAACCACTCTTAACCGTAAAAATTAGTTTTTAATAAGTATTTTTATAATAAAATACTTTAACAAGTTATTTTATAATAATATTATTGTAAATTCATTAGAAGAAGCCAATTTTTTTAATATTTTTGGATTCATGAATTAATTGTTTCATTTTTGAGAATTTTTTTATGTTAAAACATTTTGTGAATCATATTAGAAAAATCGATCAATTTGGTGTTGTCTATTAGCCTAAGATCAAATACTCTACAAATGAATATAAGACTGCTGTAGGTGGAATAATGTCAATTATTCTTTATGGATTGAGTTTTGGCTATTTGTTATATAGCTTCATTTAATATGGATAGGGGAATATTCTTCCAAAAATAACCACTATACAAGTCAAAACAGACCAACAGAGTATATTTCTTGAGAATGAAATAATGTCATTCAAGATCAGGCCCGGATAAGATAATTTTATAAATCCATTTAATCCTTCAGCTCTGGTACTTTTGCCCTTGGTGCTTCCATTTAAAAACAATGAAATACCCCCCAGTTAATATTTCAACTTTGAATAAATCTAATTTTCAGAGGAAAAGATTTCTATACGAAATTTAGATTTGTAATACGGTGATCCCTCATAAGAAGAGACAGAACAAATAATCGCATTTGTAGGGTGTAAGTAAGTTAACTTACCTTCTCCATTTGCTTGCGCTAATCAAAGCATCTAAGATTAGTTCTTTGCTCAATCAAGAAATGCTATGATTGCTACTACTTAAGTAAATTAATTTAATACCGACAGAAGAACTTTGGATGAGGTAGGTAAGGAACAGGTTTTGGCAATAGTGAACAATTCCACATACTTTTAAACTATAAATTTGAATATTTAAGAATCGTAAGTAGATACAGGTTTCTTATTGGAATAAATTGAAAGCTATGTTTATGCTACTGATTATTATTTAACTAATTAACAAATGGGTTAAGAGTATTTTAGAACTACATTTAAATTTGATGCTTACATGGTATTTTAGTTAAGAATAAGCAAATTGAGATACTTGCAGAGTATTCAATATCCAAAGATAAGTGAAATTTTGGCTGATGCAGGTTCAATTGGATCCACTATCCTTTTGCTGTCATATTTTGTAATTCTATGTAATCAGAGCCTAATGGAGAAGTAATCATTGGATGATATCATTTCAATTTATTACCCATAGTATAAGGATTTGTAGATTAAGTAGACATTTTATGGTTCGATTAAGGAGGTTATCTTTGAGGGTAAATAATAGGATTTAGAGTAATTCAAATAATATCAGAAAGAACTGCAGGAGAGGGCTGAGAAGAAGTTGTCTATGTTAAATTTAGTGTATGAGATTTCAAGATTGCAATTTATGATTACAAATATTTTGAAGTCTAAGGAATAATTAAGGTAGAGTCACAAGATAGGGATTAAATTGAAATAATTTGAGATGTAAAAATTGTTGAATGATGAAAATTTGAATGGAAATTAAATTGTAATTTAATAAATTCATCCTCTAGATACCTCATTCAAATTTGAACTGTTCTTCTTCTAAATTAGCCATTATTGATAGTCAAAGTGATTCATCCTAAAATCTTAAGGTAGACATGCATTATTAATTTAGAAACCATAACAACAACAATAGATTACAGTTGAGGAATCTAGTGATGAGAATTAATTAAACGATGAGGATTTTGAGATTCTGATTCAACCTAGTGAATTGGAAGAATGAAAATATATTGAATGCGAGATATAATATTTTAAATACATAATTAATTAAAATACACATGTCCACTTTATAGTATATGAAGGAGATAATTTCTAAATAGATTACGACTCTGTCAAATCCAAATGGGGAAGATAAAAAGACTTTGGGTAAGAATCAAATTTATTAAAATAGAATCTGAACCATACCATAATTTGCAAAAGTCAAGTGTATTGCTAGAATCCAGGTGTTTCAATGATCCTCAATTGTAGGATAAGAAATGCAGATAAATACTATCCAAATTGATATATCTGATCAATCAAGTAAGTTGTGATGCTCATACTTTTATAATAGGGAGAGAAATTCAACGATCAAGAATCTTTGAGTTTATTTTTTGGAATCACTAAATTGTTTTCATCTAACAACGTGGATCTCAGAAGAATGATCTATTTGATGATTAAGGTAATAAATAGGGTTTATTGATGGTAGGAATTCAAAGATGAGAATTCTATGTATGTAGTCATTAGTTGTTTGGCCAAAGACATTACTTCTAAGAATGATCTATTTAGAATTAATGCCTTAAGAACACTTCCTTATGTCCTTGACTAATCCAATCTGGTGTAGCTGGATAGATATTTAAAAAATGTATTGAATTGAGCAATTTTCATATAGGCAATCCTTGAAAAGAGTTAGCCAATCTCAAGTGCTGCTTTAATAGCTGGTTTGTAGATTTTCAGAATAAGTCCTGATTTCATTAGGAAGTGGACCAATGAAGTTGCTGACAGACTCAATTCCAAATACCCATAAAACAGTTTCCATGCACTTTTGTTACTTCATGAAATCAAAAGCAATGACAAAGTCACCTTCACCAAAATCCTTACTGGATTAACCAAAGAAACTCTTGTTCCAATTGCCAACATGCAAGTTATTCGATTCATAAAAGAAATCCTCAACACTGACGATTTAGATTAGCAATATGAAAAAGTAACAGACTCTCATACTATATTTAGTTATTCATAGAATATCTCCTAAGACAAATACACAAGTCTCAAGAAATTGTCATTTTTGAAGCTTGTAAAGCATTATGCGATTTGAAATCACTCTCCAACAAGGATCTTTAACCAATGGTTTAGGTTGTGATTGTCTTCTTGCAATCAAGCAATGTGATCAATAAGTTTGTGGCCCTCAAAATTTTAAATAGATTAATTTCAAATCCTATCAGAAGATCCCTCATCACACCCTCACAAATTGAACCATTCATCTAGGATTCCAATAAATCCTTGTCATCATTGGCTGTTTCCATATTATTAAAGGTCTGCTAAGAAGGCAACATCGAGAAAATCTTAGTTTAGATATTTGAATACTTAAATGAAATGAGTGATGAATTCAAAATTGATGTCATCAGAAGTATCAAAGCGCTAGTAAAGAGTTCCCCTACCAAATGGAAATCTATTATTAATTTCCTTAAATTAACTTTCAAATGTGATGCCTCATAAGAGTTTAAAAAATATTCAATCGAAATCTTTGAACTCATTATTCACGAGATCCCTGAAGCAAAAGAACATGCTATCTTGACTTTAGCAGATTATATTGAGGATTGCTAACATGCTTCTATACAATTAAGTGTATTGAGCATCCTCAATAGAGAAGCTGCAAAGAAATAATGTCCAACTAGAGCTATTAGAATTGTAAATAATAGACTCTATCTTGAAGATGCTGAAATTAGAGCTGCTGCAGTTGGTGTACTTGGTAAATTCCTCCTTCACTATCCTAATGAAAAGGATAACCTTCTTGAATTATTATCAGCAGCTGCCTATGATCCCGATGAGGAAGTCAGAAATCGCTCTCAATTCTATATTAATGAATCAGCAGCACCAAAAGAAGAAAATCCTCCTTTGTCAATAGAAGAATTAGATGCAATCGAAGCCTATTTGTAATAAAACATATAGGAAATCTAACAATCTAATGAAGAGGTACTATAATTAGAAAAGATTATGGCTTATGCTGAATAAAACAAGGGAAAGATTAAGAAGACTGAGGTGTTATAAGAATTAGTGGAAGAGGAATTGATATAAACTCATGAATCTGAATCTGGATTTGAAACATACAAGAAATTATTCAAGGAAAGCACAATCTTTTGTGATTATGGAGTATTAAGAAAATCATCAAGAGCATAAAATTTGACTGATTCTAAATGTGAATATTTAGTAACAGTGGTCAAACACTTTTTTGATAATCACATAATATTGGAGTATAAGGTAAAGAACACATTAGACAATGTCACATTGAATGATGTCTCTTTGGAATTAACAATAAAGAATGTCAATCTACAATTTGAAAGAATTGTGCCAGCAAAATAAATTCAACCGCAATGTGCATCCAATATCTTAGTTGGATTGCAATTCAATCCAAATTTGAGATTAGTGTCTTCTAACATTCAAAGCATATTGACATTTACAGTGAATGAAAATGGAACCACTTATTAAGACGAATACTAGACTGAAGACTTCACCATCACTTACAGTGACTTCTTCTTGCCTATATAATGGTTTAAGTAAGATTAATCATTCTATAGAATAGAAAATTCCAAACTGAATGGGAATCTCTTAAATCACAAGAAATGTCTGCTACATATTAGTTGGATTATAAGAATACTGATATAGCAATAAAGGAATTAGTGAAACATTTCGGTATGAATTTTTGATTTATGCAATTTAGGATTTTTAGTTTGTGACAATTCTGACTAAATATAGCCTTAAAATAAGTTTCATACTTTATTACTGTCAGGCTAATATTTGGATGCAAAGAATGCATTAGTGATTTGTTAGATAGGATTTCAATAGAATATTGGATGTGTATTAAAAATAAAGTGTAAATCTGAAGATGACAATTTAAGTACCAACATTGTAGAAACACTTGGTTGATATTATTTTAAAATATATATATATATGTATAATAAAGTTTAGATGGAGAACAAAAAAATAAATGGGAAAAAAGAATAATATGGTTAATATTTACACAATTTGGAAATATGTTAAATATTTCAATATTTATGGTGTTTCCTAAATTTCATTAATAGATATTTTTACTTGTTATGCTTTCTTGATTTACTTCTGTCCTTGTCTTTCTCCTTGTCTTTTTTCTTTTTACTGCTTTTTTTCTTACTTTTTTCTTTTGAATTGTCTCTACTTCTTGATCTCTCCTTTTCCTTTTCTTTCTTCTCCTTGATCAATTTTTCCTTATCCATTTAAACATCTTTGGCAATGTCCTCCTTGAATTCTTGTTTCCTGGCTTCCTCCTCCAAAATCTTCTCTAATTACAATCTTCTTTATTATAGTTTTTATAATTCAACTCTGATAGTCGAAAATCCTTGATGAATTCTTCCATCCAAATGAGTTCTAGAGTTTAATAAGCACTTAAAAATACTTGACTTTGTTCTCAGTTTCATATAGAGATTGTCTGGCTCCACAAACTTCACATATTTTATAAGTTTTGAATGGGTTATTGGTACCCTCATATGCGAGCAATACATCTTCTCTGGCTTTTTTAAGATTATCTGCTTCCATTATCAATCTCTCAGATTCCTCAATCTTACCTAATTCTCCCATCTTCTCACTCTAATCCGTCAAGAGATTGATCTATCTTTCCATATTGTCAAGTCGATCCTGGATCTCTTTGGGTCGATCAGCTACTTATAGTTTACTAGATTATTCAACTTATTCTTCATGCTTAGTTAAGATCTTGTCGACTTCCTTCAATTTGTCTTGGATGTAAGCTAACATATTTATCAGGTTCATACTAAACCTATTGCCTCTTCAATGTACTTCTTCTCTCTCTGCTACTTTTTGATACTCCTGTGCACAATTGAACTCATTGATGAAGAATTGGTCGTGTCTCTTGCTGCACTCTCCCTCATGATCATATTTGGTATGCTTCCACAGGTCATTGAAGCACTTAGAAACCAAGATGTTTTTGCACACATCCTCATTCCAATAGTGAGCATCGTTCTTCCTCTTGCTTGCTACGACATTTCTCTCCTTGCCGAATAGCTCATCCAGAATGTAACGAGAATCATCACACATTCTTTTAATAAATATTTAAATTAGTTTCTATCTATATTGCTTAAATCATAAAGTCAATAACCTAATAGTTGATTCTCCAATAACCAAGATCTTATTCTACACAAGACAAAAGTCATAAACCTTGAAAATAGGTATCTATTTGCATTGATTGCTACTCAAATCCCATTCTGAATAAATTCTATTTTTGGTTTATGATACATTTCTAATTCAAAAACAGACATTTATTGATGAGTTCCCCCTTGGTCTTGCAAATCTGACTCAACTTCAAGTCCCTAATGATCCACTCAGACTGTGCATTCAGCAACAGATACTACTCACTAAATTTCATCTACTTCACAACACTTGGACGACAATCAGCTATGGAATATAATCAAATCTAAATACCTTTTTAAACCTATTGCTAAGTGTTGATGTCCCACACTTCAATTTGATTTTTGTTATTCAGAACATAAAGTAAATTTTGACAAGGCATTCCAAAAACATCAGCATTAAACTATTATTAAAATTGCACTTTCAATAGTCTTTTAATATTCTCATCATACACACTGATTCCAGTGATTAGATTAGCATCATCGATTCTTTTGGGTCCAAAGAGATTGAACTACTAAGATGGAGCTGGTTTAAAGTCATAACTGAATACTGATCTATTGAAGTACAACTAGCATGTCTTGTACTTCTCAACCAACATTTCCTCTTCATTATACTCATTGGTTAGGTAATTCCATTTGACTAGAATGGGATTGACACTTTTTGAGATTTTCAAGATGTACTATATGGTTGAATCGTTCATAAACATGACTGTCTTGATTTCTAGGTTATCGATTTCTTTTCTTCTCTCAAATTCCAATTTGTTGTCAAAGGGGTAGACTTCAATTTCAATGTGAAATATAACTTCTTCATCATAGAGCAATCCGCATTTTTAGACTAATGCTATGAACTATCCATTTGGACTGGAACAGCAATGCAATACCTATTTGACTCTAGCTTTGTAGAAGAATTGCTTTTCTAGGTGGGTGTTCAATAGAATGAAGTCTTTTTTGTCTTTGTGTTCAGCTATAATGATTTCTGGATTCATCAATTACAAGGAGTAGACTCCAGGACAGAATTTGACTTCGGCAGTTTTGATTTTGGTGCCTGTTTGAATGTTCCAAGAAGTTACGACAGCATTCTTATTGATTGAGAATAGATGATTGTTGGAGTAACACAATCCGTGATGAATATCATCTTTAGAAGAACTCAATACAATTTGGACAACAGCCTGTTTGTTTTTTACAAATTTGGTGAGTACTATCTGACCATTAGAGGCAAAAGCAACTGAATCATAAGAAATTGGAGTCCAACATGTCACAGCACATCCATAGGTGGTTTACAATTCTTCTAATTGGTCGTTTTCAAAATCAATTATGTACACTTCACCTACTTTTTTTTGTTTAGCAAAAACCAGTCCATTTTACAACATCAAGAGATCATCGCATTCTTCTAATTTTTCAGATAAGATTTTTTGTAATTCTATGAGTTCCTTGGATTTAGGTGCAAAATTATTAAAGATGGGTTCTTAAAGATTGGGTTTGCCTAGATTAGAGGTTCTCCAGAGAGTAATTTCGCCTTCATTGACACCTACAATTCTAGGTATGTATATGACACTACCTTGGATTAGTATGATCTGATACGCAAAAGGCGGTAAGTGGTTATTCTATTAAAAATGTCTTCTTATTAATTTCAGGTTGTAACAGGAGTAGTGTGTCCCCGAAAATCAAATAAATTTTATCATGCACTGCAACTAATGAGTACGGCATATTTTCAATCAATCCCTTGTACTCCTTTTTTAATTTCATTTCTTGATCCCAGAGGGCTAAAGAATCAGATCCCGAGGTATCACATAAATGTCCATCAAATGCAATTAAATTGTTCATGGAGGGTTCCAAATATTCATCTGCGATAGGAATCTAGAATTGGCAATAGAACAATACTTGATCGAAGTGTTGGTCTTTCACAGTAACTTTGAGTTCAAGATTCAAGGATTCCAATGAGGTCTGTTGTTAACTTAATTTTTTGTTTATGTGAAATTTCTTTTTTTTGGGTGCATCGATGCCAGGTGGAGGACCAATTGGTTGTTCATCATCATCGCCTAATCCAGGAGGGGGGTTCATAATATATTAGAAAATTCTTTAATTTAAATTATACACCATGTATATATATATATTCAGAACAATAAAATAACCAATATGATCATTACCATTGTTCCATGATTTGTTTTGATATCATCTTCTACAGTGACGCTGCTACTACATTGAGTGCACTTCGACGTTGTAGTATTCCAGTAGAAAGTATTCGAGGTATTTATTCTACAAGATTAAATATTGTAAATTTCTGGATCGGTTTCAATGCATTTCCCATTCTTCGAGGTGCATAACTTAAGAGAGGTTTCATACATATTTTAAATGTTATGACAGTCACTCTCAAGGAGATCTTAGCATTCTAAAGGAACGCATTAAGTCTCAGATGTAACTTAAGGATCTTCGACCCATTTGCATTTCTCTGAAAACTATTAGCATATCAATTTGTCTTAATGACAATCGGAACACTCCAGAACCTTTACACATTGATCACCATCCCAAGCACAGGTTCCATCGAGACCGCCATAATCGCATGAAAATTTATTCTCATAATTAGCGCAAACCTCAAAAGCTACACAAGAATGACCATCTGAAATACAGTTTGGCATCTGTTTCAGACAAGTTTCATGAGTGTAACCATAAGGTATATCATTACATGAAATGGTTTTACAGGCTTAGTCCTAATAAACACATTTTCCATTGCTACTTTGAGCATATAGACAAGTCTGTTCATTTCCATAATCCTCACATGTTTTAATGGTAACACATTTCATAGAATCGGAAGTGCAACCATACAACTGAGCACTGCAGTCTTCATGTGTTTCTCCAACCAATTCCTCGCATTGTTGATCCCTACATTCACTAGTATTTGTATCCCAAACGCAATCTCCAGTTTGAATTATGAATTACTGATTCGAGTTTTATCTAACCACTTTTCCATTCGAACTTATTTTGCATTGTGCCATCAATTTATAAGATGAACACAGTAATAATGGAATACATCCATTTTATGTGTCAGTGGTACATTTCGAGGATGTGTTATAACATTCATCATGAGTCAAGTATGGTAAATCGTAGCAGGAGAAGAACCTCTTGCAAATTCCCTACTTTTACCTCCAAATGCAATCCCCATCTAAACCAACAACACAAGCTTCTGCTATTGAGTAATCAGCACATTTACTCAATCCCACGCATTTGTTGCCATCAGTTGTACAATTTTTTGATAAGGATTTACAAACTTCATCATATTGACTTGATATAGTATTACAACCTGTATAGAGATAACAAGTGTTATCAAACCATTTGCAGATGCCATCAATACCTTTTGTGCACAGATCTTCAATATAAAATTCTGAACATTTCTTCTTGGTTGTACACTTAATGCCATATATAGATGAATTCTAGAAGGCACAATTTTAGAGTGCACATTCTTATTCAGATGTCCCAGGAATGTCATCACAAACTTATTCTCTGCATTTGAATGAATCCCAAACACATAATTTATTATCAGCAGATGTTGTACAAGCAGCTTACAATTATGCATTTTCACAAGACGATTTCGGAATGCAGCCTCCTCCCAATCTGGTAGTGCAATTACCTTTAGGATAATATTGCTAGCAATCCCTTTCAGTAGTATTGTAATCTGGCGAGGTGCTGCAAGACTTATTGGTGCAATAGGAACTTTAGGGAACCCATTAACATTCAATACCATTGACATCTGTATTGCATGCCTCTTGAACACGGGCATCAGAACATAATTTACGATCAATACAAAAGTATCCATCAGATGTGCAATTGGAATTATATTTCTTGCATTCATCATTAGTTCTGTACATCAAATCACTACACCTTTGGAGTCTACAATAGATATAATCAGTATAGCAGAAGGGATAGTGTTGCTCACATAATTAAGCAGTTATGGCAGTGTCTGGAGCATTTTAACAAGATCTAACCTAACATGTATTAGTCTTTGGATTCCAATAGCAAGATTGATTGGTAATAGTGATAACACATTGCTTCTCGGTTTGATATTACTCACAATAAGTACCTTTGAATTAACACCCATTTCCGATAGCAACTGTTGTGCATTCATTTAGATAGGATTGACATTCATCATGTTAAGTGTACGACTTAGGAGCAGTCTGACATGATTTGTTCATACATTTAGTTCCATCCCAACCACATGGCAGATGCAAATTATTGATGACACATTGTCTCTCACTGATGTAGGTTGTACAATCTTACAATGGAACACAACCACCAATACCTTAATGAATGACAGTGCAATCACTCAGATACTATTGACATTCTACATGAGTATCCCTTGTACTATCATATGCTGCAGTGTAACAAGACTTAACATAACATCTTCCACCACTCCAAGCACATGTATCACCATTGGAACCGATAACACAAGACAATTCTGCTGAGTAATTTAGACATCCATTCAATGTCATACAACCTCCTCCTAACTTCGCAGTGCAAGTACTTAAAAACCCATTGCATTAAGTATGGGTTGTATAACTTGTAGGAGCATTGGAACACTTAATATCAGCGCATTTACCAATGTCCACATTCCAAAAACATATCCCCTGAGAAGTATTCTTGAAACAATGAGACTCTTATAGATAATCAGAACAATTAGTAGCCTTAGTGATGCATTCACCAATTCTAGCTACTGTACATGCCGATAAGAATGTCTTGCATTCAGTATCATCATCAAATGAAGTATTCTAAGTGGCATCTTCACAAACTCTATCTTTACATTAAGTACCAGTCCAAAAACAAACAGTATTATCCAAACTCTTGATACATTAATCTGAAGTCAAAATCATGGAACATTTCTATGGCTTAGTGATGCAACCTGCATGTACACTTAATGCATCTACTGTGCATGTTGATAACCAAGTCTCGCAATCAGAGTGTGTGAATGTTACACCAGTGTAATTAGCACATGTTCTATTCTGGCATTATCCTGATAACCATACACAATTCACTAAACTAATATTAGTTACACATTAATCCTAAGTCACTCCTAAATCTGGGCAATTCGTGGGCTTATTTACACAATTTGTCGGTGATGCTCCTGCCTAAACAGTACAGGTTTCTAACCAAGACTCACAATCAGAATGTGTGAATGTAGTTCCTGTGTAATTGCTACAAGTCCTTCTCAAACAAGTGCCATTATACCAAGCGCATTCATACTTACCACTGTCTATCACACATTAATTATATGACACTCCTGCATTACTACAATTTGATTGTAATGTTGTGCATGTTGTTGGTTTATTTAGTTAACATTGAGGTAGCCATTTTTCACAATTACTATGAGTCCAGGGGCTGATACCAGTTGTGTTTGAACATGTTTTATTGATGCATGCATTATAACCTGAATTTACAGTGCATATGGATAACCAATTCTGACAATTTGTATGATTAAATGAGAATCCAGTTGCATTAGCACAAGTCTTAGCAGTACATGCAGTATTACCTGTATTTACAGTGCAATCAAAGTTCCAATTTTAACAATTATTGTGATTGAATGTTGTAACAAAAGATCCATGATTAGTACATGTTTTTGGTTAACATGCTGTTAATCCTGAATTGACTGTACATGTAGACAACCAGAATTAACAATTGCTATGATTGAATACAGTAACTTCACTTCCATGGTTATTGCATGTTCTACTTGTTACGCAGGATGTACCATCATCAGATACTGTGCAGTAATATAACCAATTTGAGCAGTTTGTATGATTGAAAGTACCTAAACCATGATTACTACATGTCTTATATTCGCAATTAGTACCTGTTGGCGCTAATTTACAATAACTAAACCAATTACTACAGTTTGTACTGCTGACAGAAAAGCCAGAAGGATAATTTGTACAATGTTTCTTTTCACATTTTGTAGTTGAATTATTAGTACAAGTAGGTAGCCATCCAGAACAAGTGATATAAGTAAAAGTACTCAATTATGATCCATAATTTTCACATGTTTTATCCATGCAACCATCATTTGTATTATTCACAGTGCAATATGGCAACCAATTTTAACAAGTTTGGAGATTAAACGATGTAACCTGATTGCCATAATTGCTACAAGATCTTGTGCTTATACATTTCGTAGCTGAATAATTTGGAGTGCAATAGGGTAACCAACCTCTACATTAAGATTCGTTGACAGTTCCTGAGTAGTTGTCACATGTCTTATATTCGCAATCATATGCTATGTATGTGCATTAATTATTCCAATTATAACAGTTGGTTGATGACAATCCCATTGATTAATAGTTTGTGCATGTCTTATAATTGCAAGTGCTTTCTCCTGTTTAAAATGTACATGATAACAACCAAGATTAACAATTCGTATGATTTAGGGTACTCACATTTGAACCATGATTTTGACATGTTTTATATTTGCATGCTGTTGAACCATCATTAGTGCAAATGTCATACCAATTGTAACAGTTTGTGTGAGTAAATGTTGTAACTTAGGATCCATAATTTGTACAAGTCTTGTCTATACAACCAGTTTAAGAGGTATTGGGTGTGCAGGTCGTCAGCCAATCCATACAATAGTATTAATCATATCTAATATTGTATCCATTATAACTTTATAAACATGTTCTTTGAGGCACACAAGCAGCATTTGTGACTGTATTATAGGTACATTGATTGCCTATCCAATAAGGACAATAAGCACTAAATGAATTTGTGATTGCACTACCATAATTGGTACAAGTTTTGAGTTCACATCCATTTCCACTTGCATTAGCTTTACAAATGGTTAACCATTATCCACATTTTGCAGTAGTTGTTGATGACATACCATGATTGAAACATGTTTTGTATGTGCATCCATTGTTTGTTCCATTGACTGTGCACAAAGGATTCCATTATTCACAATTTACATGGTTGAATATCTTGATATTGTCACCATAATCGCTGCATGTTCTTTATGAATGGCAGGCTCTCTGACTTTAACTCCTGGTGCAATGTGGTAACCAATTCTCGCATTATGATACAGATCC